GGTCAAACCAGCGACTGAGCCGTAATTCTGCCTTATTCGTTGACAGAACTCTTGATTCTGGGGCTGAGAACTCAGAAGTAACACATCCTATCCCACCAAACTTATTGCAGTTTGAGGGTCACCTACACGTTATTCTTTAATACACACAAAGCAGATGGAAGTGAATTTCTTGATTCAAATTCTTCAAAATTGGAGGTGACACATTGAAAAGAGTGTCTGTGCCTTGAGAATTCCTCTCTTCAGAGTGAAGTTTACATTTACTTGTCATGATCAGCTGTGTGACCCCACAAAGCCTGCTGTGGCTCCGGATTCCATATCACAATCCATAACGAGAAAGAAAAAAGAAAACCTGCGCTACTTTTAGGAAAAGCAAAGACATGTATATGTTTAAAATCTTGTTTCTTCCAGGGTTTTTAATCAGTCCTGTTCCCAGAAATATGCGTTTCCCCTAGTGCATACATTCATCTAGGATTATTATATATAGGATACACAGAGGATGAGGTGTTGGATGACGTCACTGACTCAGCGGACATGAGTCTGAGCAAACTCTGGGAGATGGTGAAGAACAGGGAAGCCTGGCGTGCTGCAGTCCACGGGGTCACAAAGAGTCAGACACAACTTAGCGACTGAACAATGAATGAAGATATCTATAAGATTATTATATGTAATAAAAATATCTGTTGCCCACTAAGTCAGATTATTGGCTATTGGGGACGGGAAAAAAGAATTTTTTTACAAGTACATAGATATTTTTAAGAGAAGTTTTTGGTTCACAGCAATACTGAGAGAAAGGTAGAGAGATTTCTCATATACTATTTGACTCATTTATGCATAGCTTCCCTAAGTGTCAACATTAAAAAAAAGTTAATAGGGACTTCCTTGGAGATCTAGTGGTTAAGACTCTGTGCTTCCACTTTGGGTGGTACAAGTTCAATCCCTGGTCGCGGAATTAAGATCCCACATATTACACAGTGTGGCCAAAATAAATGTCTGGCACTATATATACATGGGGGTGTTTAAGCAGTAAAGAATCTACCTGCAAATGCTGGAGATTCAGGAGGCTCGGGTTCAATCCCTGGGTCAGGAATATCCCCTGGAGGAAGAAATGGCAACCCACTCCAGCATTCTTGCTTGGAAAACCCCATGGACAGAGGAGCCTGGCGGGCTATAGTCAATAGGATCGCAAGAGTCAGAAACAACTTAAGCAACTGAGCATGCATGCACAAACTATTTAAAAGTGTAGACGGAATTTCATCATTTACACCCTCACTTTGGTAAAACGGTTAGTTTGTTACCCAGATTAGAGTGCTTTCACAAATGGCAAAGGTTTCTATCAGTTTAACACGTGATATACCTTCCACTTAAAATTTGTATTGGAGTAGAGTTGGCTTCCCTGGTGGCTTGGGGGTAAAGAAATCACCTGTGATGTGGGAGACCTGGGTTTGATCCCTGAGTTGGGAAGGTCCCCTGGAGAAAGGAAAGGCCACTACCCACTCCAGTATGCTGGCCTGGAGAATTCCGTGGACTGTATAGTCCATGGGGTCACAAAGAGTTGGACACGACTGAGCAACTTTCACTTAGACTTGCTTGATTTACAATGTTATGATACCGTCAGTGAGAGTGAGTGTTAGTCGCTCAGTTGTGTCCAACTCTGGGACTGAAATCCACCGGGCTTCTCTGTCCATGGGATTCTCCAGGCACGAATACTGGAGAGGGTTGCCAATCCCTTCACCAGGAGATTTTTCCCCACTCAGGGACTGAACTCAGGTCTCCCACAATGCAAGCAGATGAACAAACAGGTTCTTCCTGGTGTACACTAAACTGAATATATACATTTCTTTCTTAGATTCTTTTTCATACATATCATTACAAAGAATTGAGTACAGTTCCCGTGCTACAGGGTATCTCCTAAGTCACTTCAGTGGAGTCTGATTCATTGTGCCCCATGGACATTAGTGGCTAGTCTGTTCTGTCCATGGGATTCTCTCGGCAAGAATACTGGAGAGGAATCTCTTTTCATTCTCCAGGAATTCTTCCTGACCAAGGAATTGACTTGGTCGATTCCTGACTTGGTCTTCCTGACTCATTGGAAAAGACCCAGATGCTGGGAAAGACTGAAGGTGGGAGGAGAAGGGGACGATAGAGGATGAGATGGTTGGATGGCATCACTGACTCAATGGACATGAGTTTCAGTAAATCCCGGGAGTTGGTGATGGACAGGGAGGCCTGGCGTGCTGCAGTCCGTGGGGTCGCAAAGAGTCGGACACAACTGAGTGACTGAACTGAACTGAAGGAATTGAACAAAGGTCTCCAGCGTTGAAAGCAGATTGCTTAACAGTATGGGCCATTACGGAAGCCCAAAAAGTGTTAGTTGCTAAGACGTGTCAGATTTTAACAAAGAACCCCCTAGTTCCTGCCATATTTCTCTCTGAAAGCCCTACTTTCTCTCAGATTTGACTCAAAACCCCTACCTAACGTCAGATTCCATCTTAGACCCTTTAGTTCTGGTGAGGTTTTTACCTCACGACCCTCTAGCGTTGGTGAGATTTGCCTCAGGTCCATCTAGTTTCAGTCAGTTTTTGCCTCGGGAGCCCCTAGTTTCTGTGAGATTTTGTGTCAGGGCTGCAAGGATTCTGTCAGATTTTGCCTCAGGACCAAAAGGTTTGTTTATGAAACATATAACTCAGGATCCCCTAGTTACTGTCAGATTTAGGCTCAGGAACTCACGTTTATGTCAGGTTTACCTCAGAAGGTACTAGTTTTCCTCATATTTTTGCCTCAGAAAGACTGTCTTTCTGTAAGATTTTTACCTCAGAAGTGTCTTCTTTCTGTCAGATTTTACCTCAGGAGATCCTTCTTTCTGTCAGATTTTGCCTCCAAACCCTCTGGTTTCTCTCAGATTTTTGCCTCAGAACCCCCAGATTTTGCCTCATTCTCTGAAAGCCCTACTTTCTCTCAGATTTGACTCAAAACCCCTACCTAACGTCAGATTCCATCTTAGACCCTTTAGTTCTGGTGAGGTTGTTACCTCACGACCCTCTAGCGTCGGTGAGATTTGCCTCAGGTCCATCTACATTCAGTCAGTTTTTGCCTCGGGACCCCTAGTTTCTGTGAGATTTTGTGTCAGGGCTGCAAGGATTCTGTCAGATTTTGCCTCAGGACCAAAAGGTTTGTTAATGAAACATATAACTCAGGATGCCCTAGTTACTGTCAGATTTAGGCTCAGGAACTCACGTTTGTGTCAGGTTTACCTCAGGAGGTACTAGTTTTCATCATATTTTTGCGTCAGAAAGACTGTCTTTTTGTAAGATTTTACCTCAGAAGTGTCTTCTTTCTGTCAGATTTTACCTCAGGAGATCCTTCTTTCTGTCAGATTTTGCCTCCAAACCCTCTGGTTTCTCTCAGATTTTTGCCTCAGAACCCCCAGATTTTGCCTCAGAAACCTCTCCTTTCTTTCAGATTTTACCTTTTAATTTAAGCTTTGTTTAAAAAGCATAATTAAGGAACGAATCGCCAGTCCAGGATCGGTGCCTGATACAGGATGTCCGGGGCTGGTGCACTGGGATGACCCAGAGGGATGGGATGCGGAGGGAGGTGGGAGGGGGCTTCAGGATGGGGAACACATGTACACCCATGGTGGATTCAAATCAATGTATGGCAAAACCAATACAATGTTGTAAAGTAAAGTAAATTAATTAATTAATTAAAAACTTTAAAAAAAAGAATTTAAGGTGAAAGTACTTGGAGAAAATTCTCTGGAGCTGCTACACTGTTAAACAGAAAATTAAACAGTGGAAAAGATCCTATTCAAAATTACGACTATGTAAGAACATACTCCAATTCCTTTTTTTTTTTTTAACATGGATGAAACTGAATTTCACATTACACTCAATTTATTGCAATGAATATGTTTAGTAACACTGGTAAAACAGTTTTTATCTGTAAATATCTGTATTTATTATATGATGCGTCATTAAAGGAAAGCAGCTGTGAATGTTCATTGGAAGGGCTGACGCTGAAGCTGAAGCTCCAATACTCCGGCCACCTGATGGGAAGAGTCAAGTCACTGGAAAAGACCCTGATGCTGGGAAAGACTGAGGGCAGGAGGAGAAGGAGGCTGCTGAAGATGAGATGGCTAGATAGCATCACGGACTCTTTGGACATGAGTTGGAGCAAGCTCCGGGAGATGGTGAGTGACAGGGAAGCCTGGTGTGCTCGAGTCCACGGGTATCGACAGGGAAGCCTGGTGTGCTCGAGTCCACGGGTATCGACAGGGAAGCCTGGTGTGCTCGAGTCCACGGGTATCGACAGGGAAGCCTGGTGTGCTCGAGTCCACGGGTATCGACAGGGAAGCCTGGTGTGCTCGAGTCCACGGGTATCGCCAAGAGTCAGACGTGACTCAGTGACTGAACGGCAACAAGGCCTTAAAGGCGAGGACTTAGCTACTCTCCCAGCAGGATGAAGAGAAGCCAAGGAAAACAGACATGACTGTACTATCTGATGCTATCATATTTGCAGTGTGTTTTGAAAAGCAATATAACTTAAATACTCTTTTCCCATAACATTTATACAATCTCGTGCAGCTACTTAAATATGACAAAAATCACTTTCCTCATGTGGAAACAGAGCTGAGACTACTTGCCTCTTCTAAGTTTTGCAAAGTGTTTTAAAAACACATATCTACACTATCATAGCGTTACTGTAGCTGTGTGTCTTCTCTGCCTATTTTGAGAATTTTCGTAGTCTCCATGATGCAAAACAAGAACAAGAAACTTGCCAAATTCGTGTAAGCTCGGATACAAAAGCAGTATCTCTGGGTTTAGGATCTGGATGAAGACATTTCTAACAACACTGTGAAAGTAAAAACAGTGACATTGAAAGGGCTGCTTCTAATAATTTTTTGTGGAAGGTATCATCGAGATTNGGGGGGATCGGGATGGGGAATACATGTAACTCCACGGCTGATTCATGTCAATGTATGACAAAACCCACTGCAATGTTGTGAAGTAATTAGCCTCCAACTAATAAAAATAAATGGGGGGAAAAAAGGTAAAATGAATGCTCCATAGTTTCACGGGTATGCGGATCTGCTTTTGTTTCACCATGCTGCTGGCTGTGACTTGAGGAAAGATGTAAAATCTGAGGATTTAAAAGGAACATGACAGAGGGCATCGTGTTTGACCCCCAGAGGACTGGACGGGCCAGCTGAGCGCGCTGTGGTAACCGCGTGTTGCTGGTGGGTAAGAAGCAGCCCCTCTCTGCTCACCACGCGGCGGACACGATGTCGTCCGCCCTGTCGCAGCCACAGAAGGGGAAGGTCCCACAGCAGGGCTGCAGCCACGGTTTCCAGAGGCTGTTGAACGTGGACAGCTGTTGGGGGACCGGCGTGAGCGTCCCACGGTGCCGCCTCACAGCCGCTTCGACCTTCTTCACCACGGAGTCAAACGAGGCTTCGTTGTCGGGGTTGAGAGGCCTCGACTCGGAAGGGTCTCTCGAGATGTCGAAGAGCAGAGGAGGGTCGTGGTAGGTGACGTCGCCCGAACACGGACAGGCTCCACTCCCGTAGCAGGCGCCCGCCCCCTCAGGGAAGAACTTGGGCGTCACGAAATGCACCTTCCACACGGTTGCACCTGGAAGACAGAGCCCCCCTGGGATGCTGCCTTTGTTATTATTTTAGGGTTTTTTTTTCATTAATGATCAATAGCTAGTGGCAAGCTGCTATATAGCATAGGGAGCTCAGCTCGGGGCTCTGTGATGACCTAAGGAAGGAGGAAGGCTTAAGAGGGAGGAGACATATGTAAACATACAGTTGATTCACTTGTACAGGAGAAACTAACATAAAATTACAAAGCAATTACGCTCCAATAAGATTACATATATTTATAGCAAATGCTTTTGCTAATAACTGAAAATCTTCTGCACACAGAATTAAATTAGCAGGGTTGTATTTCTTCGATTGCAAGAACGATGCACAATTTCATGGGCAACTTGAAGACTTTTTTTTATGTCACCCTGAGAGCCTTGGGAGACAATAGTTACGACCTGAACGGCTGATTTCATCATAGAAATGATCATTCAAACTAACTCAGTTCGACCTGGCATGGGCAAATGCAAAAGTTTCTAAGGCTAACTACCATTTGCAGATCTTAAATTGGCAAAAGTCATTTGGCAAGATCAGTCCTTCCTTATTCTTTCTTCTTTCCTTCTCCCTTTCTTTCTCTCTCTCTCTCTTCCTTCCTTACTTTTTTCCTCCCTGTCTCCTTCCCTCCTCTTTCTCCGTCTTCCCTTCCTCTTTTTCTTCTTTTCTGTCATCTATCTATGCAACTCTCTATTTTATCATACATCTGTATATCTACCTATTTGTCTGTCACTATCTCCTCTCCTTCCCTTCCTCTTCCCTACTCCCTCCCTTCTCTGCTTTCATTCTCTCTCTCTCTCTTTCTGTCTTTCATGTCATTGCTTGGCAATTCCATTTCCAGAGGTCAGTTTCAAACAGAAAACATACCCAAAACCCAATCTCTGTTCAACCAGACTTCTACGGAAGCCCTCTGCTAGGCTCTTGTGGAAAAGCTATGCTTTTCACATTACATTAGATTAAATCCCCCGGCTGACTCCTTCACCCCTTTTGCTATTCTCTCTACTTCCCGGGTGGAGCGTAAATGTGATGTCTGGAGGAACAGCAGCCATTTTGCAGCCATGGGGTCAGAAACATGAGCATGGAAGCTGACATGACAGAAGCGGTTTAATGGGAACAGAAAAAACCAGCACGGGTCCCTGATAATGGCCTTGAACACTGGATCAGCCCTCTGCTCCCAATTTCTAGAATCCTTATTAAGAAAATATGAGTCAAATTCTACTTGTTTAACCCTTGCTGGTTAAATTTGGGAGGCTTTTATTCCTCAGGGGCAGAGGGTGTTTTCTCTTATTCCTTACCACTGAACTAACTCTAACTGAAACATACTCTAAAAGGAAGAGATTCCTCTTTTTTTTACTTTACATGGAAGACTCATCCACACTGATAAAAAGAACAGATCACACCACGAAGGATGGCTCATAGGTGCGAACACCAATATCTTTTCAGCAAATCGCCAAATCCAGTCAAAAATTCTGGAATGTCTCCGAAAGAGCTTCTTTTTCACAGATGTGAGGAAATCGATGCTGTTTGTCCACTCGTGTTTGTTTGCCTGAATTTACCAGGGTAAACGTGGAACTCGGGCAACGACTCAGAAGGTGGCAGTTGGTGACTGATGTCTGGGTTAGACGGAAGACGTTAGATTTCGTTGCTGATTATCTCAGGGGTCCTCTATTACGGGAATTCCTATTCTGTCTCTGCCTGGCCTTCTTTCTCCCGTTGTCATAATTATGCACCAGAGCTCAGGGACACAGACGCACAGACATCCCTCTAAAATCCTGCTGTGATTTCTACCATAAGGAGCAGCTATGTTTAGGTCACTTTCTGCAGGACGTGGAACCACCGTGACAAGGGGTTACTCACTGCAGAGAGTGTGCCCTCCCCTAGGAGATGAAAGAGAGAAGGAGGTGTCCTGGCCGTGTCCCCACGCGTCGGCCCCCCTCAAATACTCACAGTCCTTCTGATACCACCTGGCCGTGTGCAGGGAGGCCCCGCAGTAGTGGAACAAGAACTCGTGCTCGGAGCGGGAGACCCGGCCTTCCAAGAGCGGCATGAGGTTCCGGCCGTCAATCACTCTGCGGAGAGAAGGCGTGACCGCAGCAGGCGGTGAGGGACGCGTGGCCGAGTCTCCGCGTTTTTACTAAAGAAGCGGAGGCGCAAGAGAGAGAGAAGCAAGCGGCAGATCCAGAAAAAGAAGCGCAAGGCGGAAGGCCGGGGACGAAGGGCCGGGAGGGGAGGCGGAGGAGCGGGGAGGGGCGGAGAAGGACAAGGAAGCGCCCGTTGAAAACTCAACACGCATTTGCACTTATTTCTAAGCTCGCTTAGACAAGTGAGCTATTTGCACTCGTGGTCAGAGCTATGGTTTTTCCACTGGTCATGTGTGGATGTGAGAGTTGGACTATAAAGAAGGCTGAGCGCCGAAGAATGGATGCTTTTGAACTGTGGTGTTGGAGACGACTCTCGACACTCCCTGGGACTGCAAGGAGATCCAACCAGCCCATCCTAAAGGAAATCGGTCCTGAATATTCACTGGAAGGACTGAGGCTGAAGCTGCAGCTCCAGTACTTTGACCACCGATGCGAAGAGCTGATTCATTGGGAAAGACCCTGATGCTGGGGAAGATTAAAGGCGGGAGGAGAGGCGGATGACAGAGGATGAGAAGGTTGGATGGCATCACTGACTCAATAGACATGAGTTTCAGCAAGCTCCAGGAGATGGTGAAGGACAGGGAAGCCTGGTGAGCTACAGTCCATGCAGTCGCAACACAACTGAATGACTGCACAACAACACTCATTTGATTCCACAGAAACTCAGTGTGCAATGAACAGACAGCCCCACTGATGACTCATTGCTACTGTTCAGTCACTGAGTCGTGTCTCTTTGCAACCCCATGGAATGCATCCCACCAGGCTCCCCTGTGCTCCAATATCTCCTAGAGTTTGCTCAGATTCATGCACATTGGGTAGATACTCCTACTTCATTTATTAATTTTTAAAAACCCATAGAGAAATGCAGCAGCATTCATCACTTATAGGTTGACATGTACCTACTTTTCCTTGGGAATTCACTTAGCAAATATTTACTTAATGGTCTAGATGCTGCAGGGCTTCCCTGCTGGCTCAGATGGTAAAGAATCTGCCTGCAATGCGGGAGACCTGGGTTCCATCCCTGGGTCGGGAAGACCTCCTAGAGGAGGAAATGGCAACCCACCCCCAGTATTCTGCCTGGAGAATCCCCATGGACACAGGAGCCTGGAGGCTCCCTTGATAAAGGGCAAGCACGCTTTCGTACCTGCCCGGTGGTAGAATGCCTCCTCCAATGTAAGACAGGGTCGGGAAAATGTCCATGAGGCTTGTAGGTTCGTCAATGACCTTCCCCGCCTCCAGGACTGTTGGCCACCGGAAAATTCCAGGCACCCGGATGCCTCCTTCCCATCCGCCCATGCCTCTGCCTCCTGAAACCAAAGATGAAAAACTGAGGGGGATTCAACCCCATGGACTCATTCTCTGTGTATCTGAAAATCGCCACGGCCACGCCAGTGACAAGCTGGAATCAAGATCGCTGGGAGAAGGTATCAATAACCTCGGATAGGCAGATGACACCACCCTTACGGCAGAAAGCGAAGAGGAACTAAAGAGCATCTTGATGCAAGTGAAAGAGGAGAGTGGGAAAGGCTGGCTTAAAACTCGACATTCAGAAAACACTTGGGCTGTGTTCCCAAACCCAGTTCAGTTCTGAATCTCAGCATCTCTTCAACATCCAGTCTCCAGGCTCCGAAATCTCTTCGCTTCTAAGAGATTTAATGTACGGAGCATTCCTCTATTTTGCGACCCCATGGACAGTAGCCCGCCAGGCTCCTCTGTCCATGGAATTCTCCAGGCAAGAATACAGCAGTGGGTTGCCAGGCCCTTCTCGCAAAGAGTTGGATATGACGTAGCCACTGAACAACAAAAACAAACCAATAAAATATATTCACAGAGAGATACAAACAACACTGAGGCCAAGTTCTTGCTTTCAAGACTTGAAAACTCCAGCTGCGGACTTCTAGCATCTAGGACAAATGCAATTCAGTTCAGTTCAGTTGCTCAGTCGTGTCCGACTCTTTGCAACCCCATGAATCGCAGCACGCCAGGCCTCCCTGTCCATCACCAACTCCCTGGAGGAGCGAATGGCAACCCACTCCAGTGTTCCTGCCTAGAGAATCACATGGACAGAGGAGCCTTGGTGGGCTACCGTTCCTGGGGTCGCAAAGAGAGGAAGGCTCCATAGATTAAATCTCTCAGAAGCGGAGAGATTTCAGAGCGTGGGGGACTGGGCGTTGCAGAGATGCTGAGACTCAAGGGTCAGAGACGATGGAAGTGACCAAGCTCGCAGGCACTAAGCCAGGCTTGTCCCACCCCGGCGCCGCACAGGGCCCACGCCCACCCGCGCACGCGTCACCTTTGTAGCGCCCGTTCCAGCCGCCCAGCTGCCCGCTGCGGTCCTGTGCCTCCAGGCGGCCCCCGTTGTCCGAGGTGAAGTAGACCAGCGTGTGGTTGGCCAGGAGCTCCCGGTCCAGGGCCTCCAGGACCTTCCCTGGTGGAGGCGGGAGACAGAAGCTGTCACGTTTCAGAGTGGACCGAGGGTCTTCTGGCGCATGTCTAGTATTGCGCGTGTAAGGCTATGTGGTTTATTGTAACCATATAACATGTTTGCATGTAATGCTATAAATGTTATCCTACTTTCTGTTGTATAATATGCACTATATCACCATTGTAGACACTACACATAGAGAAGGAAATGGCAACCCACTCCAGGATTCTTGCCTGGAGAATCCCATGGACAGAGGAGCCTGGCGGGCTACAGTCCATGGGGTCGCAGAGAGTCGGACACGACTGAGCGACTAACACACACATATATACATAGGATATATATACTATGTGTAATATAGATCTGTAATAGATACTATTCATAATATACCATATATACGTAATAGACCATTATGCATGATATAATATATATACCATATATATACATAATGTACCATATGTATGATATATATGTTTGTAAGATACCATATATATGTAATGTACCATCATATGTAATATACCATATATGCCATATTATATATGTAATATACCATATATATGATATATATGATATATATGTAATATACCACATATATGATACAGCATATGATATATATATAATTACTTATTAAATATTCATGATATTTATGAAACATAATGGATTTATGCTACATATATATTTAATACAAATGTATAAGAAGATGATATGCATTATTATATAATAAGTATGGTGGTGGTGGTTTAGCTGCTAAGTGGTGTCTGACTTGTGTGACCCCAAGGACTGTACCCTGGCAGGCTTCTTGTCAGTGGGATTCTCCAGATAAGAACACTGGAGTGGGTTGCCATTTCCATCTCCAGGGGATCTTCCCAACCCAGGAATCGAACCCAGGTCTCCTGCATTGCAGGCAGATTCTTTACTGACTGAGGTATGAGGGAAGCCCTATAAGAGTATAAAAGGTTTATATGTTATAGCATGTTAAATCACCAATGATAAGCAATGTATGATGAAGGCTGAAATATATAAAAATTTAATGTTTAAATGTAAATATATACTCTATATAAATGTATAATAATATAGCATATATAACTTTACTATGTAATAAATATAAGACATTTTATATTTCATAATGCACTAAATTAATTATTGTAATGACTTGTAATATGGAATTCTCCAGGCAGGAATACTGCAGTGGGTAGCCATTTCCTTCTCCAGGGGATCTTCCCGACCCAGGGATCAAGCCTGGGTCTCCAGAATTGCAGGTGGATTCTTTACCATCTGAACCACCGACGAAGCCCCCAATAAACCATATAGATGGTTTGTAATATATTGTTTATGCGTAAATATATTTATATAATTATGCTGTATAATTTTGATAATATTCTGAGCATTATATACTATGTTATATATTATCTATAGGGCTTCCCTGGTGGCTCAGTGGTAAAGAATCCACCTGCCAATGCAGGAGTCTCAGTTTTGATCCCTGGGTCGGGAAGATCCCCTGGAGAAGGAAATGGCAACCCACTCCAGGATTCTTGCCTGGAGAATCCCATGGACCAAGGAGCCTGGTGGGCTGTGGTCCACAGGGTCACAAAGAGTCAGACATGACTGAGTACAAGCACGAGATATGAGACAAGATAGTATATAATACATAAACATAAGCATTATATCTTTATTCTCAGCATCAGGGTCTCTTCCAGTGAGTCAGGTCTACAGCACAACGTTATTTGTCCCCCGAATGAGTTTTTCGGGAAAGTGATTCTCTTTAAAAGACCGGAGAACCTGTATTTCTTAAATCATGGCTCTTCCCTTGGAAAATTTCACTGCATCTAGAGTCCGCTTCGCATGTAATTCAGCACAACAAATACGCATCCATTTCCCAAAACATGCAGGGGGTTGTACCTTATTTGATGCCGTTCATGGAGACTCGCTTCCCTCTAGTCTGTAAGTAAGATGCTTCAAAACCAGAGAGTGATCACCTACCCACCATCCAATCCATCTCTTCTACGTTGTCGCCATACAAGCCGAATTTACTGTGCCCGACGAATCTCTCCTTGGTGATCAGAGGCGTGTGGACATGCAGAAAGGAGATGAAGAGCAGGAATGGTCCACGCTTATACCTAAGGGGGTGTACAGATAAGAAACTGGATTGATTAAATAGAGTAATTATTATTTTTTTAAGGGAGCTAAAGATATTTCTTTCCCTTTTCAGTGTTCAAATTTTGCAGGACATTTAACACTTGGGCTTCCCTGGTGGTCCAGTGGTATAAAGAAGCCTTAGTCACTTGGTCCTGTGTGACTCTTTGCGACCCCATGGACTGTAAAGCCCACCAGTCTCCTCTGTCCGTGGGATTCTCCAGGCAAGAATACTGGAGTGGTTCACCATGCCATCTTACAGGGGATCTTCCCGACCCAGCGATCAAACTTGGGTCTCTTACCTTGGCAGGCAGATGCTTTACCAATTAAGCGCCACCTGGGAAGCCCACCCACATTAACAATGAAAACCCAGCACAGCGTCAAAGAAATCAATACAATTTTTTTTAACGCATCTATTTTAAAAAAAAAGAAAGCTAACACTCTTATTTATTTTAAGGAGAGAATTTAGTGTATCACAAATAACACACACACACGCGCGCAAAGCGCTTATCACCAAGTGGTACCCAACTTCTCTGGGGAAAAAAAAAATCGCGAGTCTCTGACTCGGGTGGCGGGGTGGTGGTGGTGGGGGCGGTGATGGGGTTATCAAACTTGGGTCTCTTACCTTGGCAGGCAGATGCTTTACCAATTAAGCGCCACCTGGGAAGCCCACCCACATTAACAGTGAAAACCCAGCACAGCGTCAAAGAAATCAATACAATTTTTTTTAACGCATCTATTTTAAAAAAAAAGAAAGTTAACACTCATTTATTTTAAGGAGAGAGTTTAGTGTATCACAAATATCACACACACACACACACACACACACACACACACACACACAATGCGCCTATCACCAAGTGGTACCCAACTTCTCTGGGAAAAAAAAAATCGCGAGTCTCTGACTCGGGTGGCGGAGTGGTGGTGGGGGCTGTGATGGGGTAGGGGGTGGGCATCGAGCCAGACAGAGCCGGGGTACCTGTCGATGAAGGCCAGCGCCTCCTTGAGCATCAGCGAGGTGAGCCTCTCCAGTCGGACCGGCTGCTGTAGGATCTCGTGGTCCCGCATGAGCACGCAGTTCCAGCGGCGCGTGAGCCCGTAGCTGGAGAACCAGGACACGAAGAACAGGAGGGCCAACAGGGCGAAGGCCAGGGTCACCGGCCAGGGCACCGGGAACCAGCGGGCGCAGGTGGGGACCAGCAGGAGCAGGGGGATGAGCGCCAGCACCACCGTGGTCGCCCAGAGCCGCACCCTCAGCCGGCGGTGCAGCTCGGGCGCGTGGAACGCCTGGCAGTCGCTCCGGAGCTCCAGCGGCATCCCGTAGAAGTAGTCGAAGCCGTGGTTGAGCGGGTGGAAGCAGTGGTCGTCGCGGGACGCACAGCTCAGACCCTGGTGCCACTTTCCTGGGAGGGGGAGGAGACGCGGAGACGTTGCCATGGCAACACCAGCATCCATCCCCTTCAAGGAGGGGCGTCGCCCTCAGCAACAAAGTTCCGGCGGACACGTGGACGCCCAGGGTGGAGTCATCCCAACAAATGGGAAGAACCCCCGCAATATTGTAATTAAATTATTATTTTATAATTTTATAAAGTTATATATATTATAATTAAATTATTTCTTTTAATTGGTAATTATTTATTACCAATTAAAAGAAATAATTTAATTTAAAAAAAGGAAGTTACGGTGGAGGTAGCATCTTCTTGTGTTCCGTGCGACCGTGGTCAGCTGTGTCCGACTCGTTGCGACCCCCGTGGGCTGTAGCCCCACCAGGCTCCTCTGTCCATGGAGATTCTCCAGGCAAGAATCCTGGAGCGGGCTGCCGTTGCCCCCTCCAGGGGATCTTCCCCAACCGAGGGATCGAACCCCGAGTCTCCTGCATTGGCAGGAAGATTCTTTACCCCGGAGTCACCAGGGAAGCCTTTACTACCAGGGAGAAGATTCATCATCTAGATTTATTCATCAGTCTGACATCTCATTCATTACTTGGTTACGACAGACGTGAATTTGAACTCAGATCTGGAGGTGCCCTAGAGTGTTCCTGAAAGATGCTTTAGAAAACTCCATTCACGGGATGCTACCCAAGAATTTCACAGGAATGAACTATCTCTTGGTCATTTATGGAGGATGCAAAGTCATTCCTTTTTTTTTTTAAAGAACATCTCTGATGACTTAATAGTCTTACAATTCACGCTGAGAATCCTAAAAGCACTGGCTATACCAAGCAAGCAGGCTTCGCTGGGGGCTCAGATGGTAAAGAATCCGCTTGCAAGGCGGGACACCTGGGTTTGATCCCTGGGTCGGAAAGATCCCCTGGAAGAGGAAATGGCAACCAGCTCCAGTGTTCTTGCCTGGAGAATCCCATGGACAGAGGAACCTGGCGGGCTACAGTCCACGGGGTCGCAAAGAGTCGGACATGACTGACCAACTCACACACACACACATACCCCAAGCAAGCAGCCTCTCTCCTAATTCTTGACTCAGAGTCTCGTCTTAGAGGAATCACTCATCAGACCAGAATTCTTCAGGATGAAGTTCCTTGGGGGGCATGCTGTCTCACTCATCACACAGCCCCCATGAGGGTACAGAATGTCAGGCCACCTAAGTCAACAGACCAAGTATTGCCTGAATTTGCATCACCACTCCAGCCTTTGGTTCTCAAGTTCAAGGGGACACCCTTAAACATCACTACCCGTGTTATCACAGGAGTAGCACCCTTTCTATAAAGTATTCCGCTTCAGGAGCAACGAACGATCAGCATACTTACCTTGCCTTCTTGAGATCCTTGGCACACTTGGGTCTCAATACGGAAGGCCCTTAAAATTGTGTCTTAAATTCCTTTCCCACCGTGTATCATGTCAAAGAGACGTCAACTACCGTGTACTCGGCCAACCTCCCTGAGAGGGATGACCACTGGGAAAGGGAACCCGAACCAGCACGTCTTCACGGTCACGGCCCATACCTATGAGTCCCGTGCGGTAACCTCGATGCTGCAGCAGCTTGGCGAACGTCGTCTCGTTGGGGGGCAGGCCGCCCGACCCTCCGAGCCAGACCACGTCACGATTCAGGTTGGAGGAGGACGCCATTCCTGCGTTCACAGAAGCGGACAGCGGGTGAGGACCGCGGTCTCGTCGTGGCGACCCCACGGACTGCATCCCGCGTCTCCCGCCAGGCGGATTCTTTACCCACTGAGCCACCGGGGAAGCCCCCCAGTTCCAAACTCATGATGCAAAAAAATAATATTTGAGCTGGGATCATGACCCTCAACTTGCGTAAGTCTACATGTTGAAACTGTGATGGGGGAGGCAGGGCAGGGACGTGAGGCAGGGAAGAGTAGGAACTCAGCAAAAGGAATCCATCCTTTCCTTTCCATTTTCTCTGCCAGACTTTCTTCTCCACTGGTCCTTCTCATGTTACAATCTCGTCCCCAGAGACTGGACACATCTCCTCTCCTGAGAACTATGAAAACCCACTTTTCTTTAAAAAAAAAAAAAATCTCCGCCAGCTTTCAGAGACAAGGAGTCTCCTGGGGGGGTCTTACTACGAGTTTCTGGAAAAGGGCACGATCCAGGTCGCCTGGGACTTGCACACCAGGGGATCAAACCATGTCGCCAGATGCACACAGGTGAGTAGGCTTGGCGGCCCCTGGGCAAGACACACACCGCTTTCAGATGTCCAGCTCCAGCAACACAACTCCCATGTGAATTTAGATTTTTAACATTTCCAAGTGACCTTTGGAGAGTTTGCATGAAGAGTTGCAGGAGATCTCCCTAGCGGCCCAGTGGCTAAGACTCCGTGTTTCCCCCGTGCGGGGAGCGGGAGGGAGGGTCACGGGTTCGACCCTTGGTCAGGGAACTGGATCCCACGGGACAGAACTAACAGTTCACACGTCGCAATGAAAAGACCCCGCATGCCGCAGGGAAGNCATGAAGAGTTGCAGGAGACCTCCCTAGCGGCCCAGTGGCTAAGACTCCGTGTTTCCCCCATGCGGGGAGCGGGAGGGAGGGTCACGGGTTCGACCCTTGGTCAGGGAACTGGATCCCACGGGACAGAACTAACAGTTCACATGTCGCAATGAAAAGACCCCGCATGCCGCAGGGAAGATGCAAGATCCCGCTTGCTGCCACTAAGACTTGGAGCAATCAAACGCTAAACAAATAAAGACCATTTTTTTTAAGAAAGACCTGCATCTGTTCGTTTCCCGTGCCCCACCTGATCTGACGGGGTAGCGGCCGGTCAGGAAGGCGGCCCTGCTTGGGGTACACATAGAGGCGGCCGCCAGGTGCTGGGTGAGCCTCACGCCCTCGCTGGCCAGCCGGTCGATGTTCGGCGTGCTGCAGACAGACAGAGAAGTCGGCAGGTGAGTTTGTGAATCCCCCCCCTCCCCGCCCAAAGCGAGCAAGATTCATAAGGCATCCTGTCTGGGAAGTGAACACGACTGTTTCCAGTCCACCTGAAAGACATCCGTTTTTTACACATCAATCCACCGATCTACTCCATCCCTGCGTAGACACAGATGGGAACCAGAGGGCCAAGCCACGTGTCTCCAGGCAAGATGATGACAGTCCATCACAGAGCATCGTCAGATATAACCAGGTCAAAAGCGAAAGTGCGTTAGCGGCTCAGTCGTATCCGACTCTCGGCGACCCTGTGGACTGTAGCCCCGCCCGGCTCCTCTGTCCATGTGATTCTCCAGGCAAGAACACTGGAGTGGGTTGCCGTGGCCTCCTCCAGGGGATCTTCCCGACTCAGGGATCGAACCCGGGTCTCCTGCATGGGCAGGTGGGTTCTTTACCACTAGCGCCCACCCGGGAAGCCCGCACACGAAGCTGCCGGTGAAGCCAAACGCTCTCCTGATGGTTTGCAGCTTTCATAAGACAAAGCCTTCTGCTGTTGTGTTTGAAAACTGCTCCCTAAAAGTCATTCTCCTCCAAGACAAGAGACATGGCTGGCGGGGCACTACCATCCACAGGGAATTTCCCCCTTTATTTTTATTTTTTTGCCTTTTCTGTTCCTTTCATTTATTGATTTATTGATGGTATCTCTACCTCACTGAGTTGTTACCGTAGCAGCATAAATCTCCCACCCCAAGGTCGTCCGCCATGAACAGGACAATGTTGGGTCTCGAGTTCCTGGTGATGAACGTTCCCTGAAGGCTCCCAAAGAAGCACCACAGGGATGCTGGCAGCCAGCAGCGCCTGGAAGGCGGGGAAAAGAAAAAAGAAAAAAAGAAAAAACTCAAACAGAAGCAACTGATGGGGAGGGTGGCGGGAGAGGGGTTCAGGATGGGGAACACATGTCCACCCATGGCTGATTCATCTCCATGTATGGCAAAAACCACTAGAGTATTGTAAAGTAATTAGCCTCCAAACCACCCAGAAACCATCAGTTCCATTTCTCTTTGTAGGCAACTTAAAAGAGGAAGTGAGGCTTCCCCAGTGGTTCAGCGGTAGAGAAATCCACCCGTAACGTAGGAGACGCTGGAGATGTGGGTTCGATCCCTGGGTTGGGAAGATCCCCCTGGAGGAGGAAATGGTGACCCACTCCAGTGTTCTGACTGGCTTCCCTGGTGGGTCTCAGATGGCAAAGAATCTGCCTCTAGCGCAGAAGACCAGGGTTCAATCCCTATGTTAAAAAGATCCCCCAGAGAAGGGAATGGCAATCCAGTGCAGTGGAAGAATCCCATGCACAGAGGAGCCCGGGGCGGGGTGGGTGGGAGTGGGGCTTCAGTGCATGGGGTCTCGGAGTCAGCACGACTGAGCACCCGTGCAAAATAGCAATTCATAGGGCGTTCCCTGGTGGGTTACTGGTTAAGATTCCAGGCTTTCACCGCCACGGCCTGGGTTTAACCGCTGGTTGGGGAACTGAGATCCTGCAAGCTGCAAGTGTGGTCAAAAGCTAAATAAATAGGAAATAATGGTATTTCCACAGTGTCCCTGGAGCTGGCTTGCTCAGAAGCCACACAAAAACATTTTACGTCATGATTTATGTTAATCAGATCTGTCTGTGTGTGTGCACTCAGTTGGGTCCGACTCTGCGACCCCATGGACTGTAGCCCACCAGGCTCCTCCGTCCGTGGGATTCTCCAGGCAAGAACACTGGAGTGGGTTGCCAGGCCCTCCTCCAGGGGATCTTCCCCACCCAGAGATCAAACCCGAGTCTCATGGATCTTCTGCACTGGCAGGCAGATTCTTTACCACAAACGCCACCTAGGAAGCCCTGAGGTCTTACAGCTTACAAATTACTTTTAAATGCGCTACGACATTAAATTCCTCATGATTTTTCAACTGCTTTAGTGACAGGAAGCCCTTGAAATAAAAACAGAGGTTAAAAAAAAAGGCCTAACAATTTAAGTTCTTAGCATAAACAAAATGGAAAATCAGAGGTTAAATAGCCAGCTAATCAGGCTTGATTTTCTTTAATGCTCAGCTGTATGTTTTAATACACTTTATAACTTCATCATTTTGCTCTCAGCCACACAGATGGGAAAGCAGAGCCTGTACTAACTTCTTGGCTCTGAGCCCGGGAAGAAATGATGAAAAACTGGTTTTTTCAGGGTGAACTACATGTGTGCACAGAACGTAATTCTTCCTTTTCCTTCACCAGAAAAATATGTCTGCAAAACAAATCAGGTGGGGGAGCTCAGTTGCCAAAAATAACAAGAAGTGCTAGGAATTCTTTTGACGTTTGAAAAATGAAATCTAACACATCCATACATGTTACTAAATTTTGGACTGTGGAATCAGCCATGTGTTCAATTGCTCAGTCGTGGCCAACTCTTTGCAACCCCATGACCTGCAGTCGCTCCAGGCTCCTCTGTCCATGGGATTCTCCAGGCAAAATTACCGGAGTGGGTTGCCATGCCCTCCTCCAGGAGATCTTCCCGACACAGGCATGGAAGCTGTGCCTCTTACATCCCCTGGATTGGCAGGTATGTTCTTTGCCACCAGCGCCACCTTGGGAAGCCCTGGACCACAGACGACTGTCCTTAAAAATCCTCAGAGGGGTCCACGACGTTTGCCGTTGCGCTGTTTCCATCTCTAGAAGGTCTTGCCTCCCCCTCCCCGTGAATTCCCAAACACACGGTCACTCCTATGAAGTTAGCATGGCGCTCGTGGTGGTTTAGTTGCTAAGTCGCATCCAACTCTTTGTGACCCCCGGGGACTGTAGCCCACCAGGCTTCTCTGTCCATGGCGTTTCTCAGGCAAGAAGACTGGAGCTTCCCTGTGGCTCAGGCAGTGAAGCGTCTGCCTGCAATGCGGGGGACCCGGGTTCGATCCCTGGGTCGGGGAGATCCCCTGGAGGAGGGCATGGCAACCCACTCCAGTTCACTCCAGTCTTATTGCCTGGAGAATCCCCATGCACAGAGGAGCCTGGCAGGCTACAGTCCATGGGGTCGCAGAGTCGGACACGCCTGACGGACTTCACTTTAACACGGGAGTGGGTTGCCATTTCCTTCTCCAGGGATCAAGCTCACATCTCTTGCATGGGCAGGTGGATATTTTACTGACCAAGCCAGCAGCAAAGCCCCTGAGAAAACACTGCCGTTTGACTCCACCAACACCTGCAGCGCCCGCCACGCTCCCCGTTGCGCTTATCGCGTGCAAACAGACGAAACATCCGCCAGACTGAGGAAGACTCGGGCAAAGCACCCTTCTCTCTAGAGACAGAGAATAGCAAAGGTTCATCAGTTTTCCTACTTACCAGCCGTAGAACAGCTGTTTCATGGCTTCTTACTGTTACCTAGAAAAGAAACAAACAACCGATGAACTTCTGCAAAGCAGTTATTTTTCTTATAACTAGGTGGTTATGGTCCAAAGCGGAAAGGAGCCTGTTTTGCTTTTTTCTTACTACAGCAACCCACTGAAAAGACCCTGATGCTGGGAAAGATTGAAGGCGGGAGGAGAAGGGGACGACAGAGGATGAGATGGTTGGATGGCATCACCGACTCAACGGACATGAGTTTGAGCAAACTCTGGGAGTTGGTGATGGACAGGGAGGCCTGGCGGGCTGCAGTCCTTGGGGTCTCAGAGAGTCTCACACGACTTGGTGAGGGAAAGAAAACAACCACTGAATTCTTTATACTGAATTACACACAGCTGATGTTGGTACAGACAGAACATGGCAGCGTCATGCACGATCCTTTCATTTGCGGGTCATTCCAATGGCATAGTTCCCACCCTTTATGTAGGTCCGATAACAAAAATCCTTCATTCTGAGGGCACTGAGCAATCAAGATGAAGGACTACAATAAAATGTCTGATGTGCATTTTTAAGGATTGTATTAATTGTCGTCTAGGGTCGTGAGACCTTTGAGAACGAAAAGCAGTGTTAAATCAGACCACACTCTCCTGGGTTGTTGGAAGAAGGTCTTGCTTCTCCCTAGATATCTAACCCAGGAATTTTATTTTTCATGTGACTGATTTTTTTTCAACATTCTAAGCCCTATATCTTTTTTTTTTCCAATAAGTAACAATGAACTAAAGACATACTTTCATTAGAGAATATTCTATTGTTTATGCAGTTTCCTGAAGAGGGCAGATGAGTTTTTTTTTTTTTTTAAGTTGTCTAGCTTCTTTCTGGTTTTCATTTGCAACTCTAAATTATAGGTTTCAGGGCAAGGGGGAGGACGTGGGCACAAAGATTCAGGTCTAATTTAAATATATGTGCTCAGTCGCTCCATCGTGTCGGGCTCTTTGTGACCCCAATGACTGTAGGCCACCAGACTCCTCCATCCATGGGATTCTCCAGGCAGGAATACTGGAGTAGGTGGCCATGTCCTTCTCCAGGGGATCTTCCTGACCCAACGATTGGATCCAGGTCTCCCGCATTGCAGGCAGATTCTTTACCAACCGAGCTACCAGTTCAGATCAGTTCAGTCCCTCAGTTGTGTCTGACTCTTCTCGACCCCATGGACCACAGTGCGCCAGGCCTGCCTGTCCATCACCAACTCCCGGAGCTTACTCAGACTCATGTCCATTGAGTCGGTGATGCCACCCAACCATCTCATCCTCTGTCGTCCCCTTCTCCTCCCGCCTTCAATCTTTCCCAGCATCAGGGTCTTTTCCAATGAGTCAGTTCTTCGCATCAGGTGGCCAAAGGACTGGAGTTTCAGTATCCATCTTTCCAATGAATATTCAGGAATCATTTCCTTTAGGATGGACTGGTTGGATCTCCCTGCAGTCCAAGGGACTCTCAAGAGTCTTCTCCACCACCACAGCAGGGAAGCCCTCTAACTTAAATCTTCGGTTCCATTCTAAATATTCTTCACCTGTTAGTAGTATCGACTTCCTTCGAGGCTCAGTCACCTTCTGAATGTCACACAATAAAAAGATGAGATAGACATGCTGTGGTTCCTAGACAAGAACGTTAATAAAAGAACTTTCTCAAGTGACACCAGCAATAAAACCCTTCAATCTGGAGCCTCTAAAATAAAGCTCGCCCAGGAGCAGGCAGCCGTCCAGGAAGTCTTTGTGTGAGACCTACTGTGTGGTCTTCTAGGAAGGATGGAAGATGGTTGAGCATGGTGGATCACCCATGCCTCTTGCCTTGAAAAGCGCAAGGAGCAACAGTGTAGACCTGGGGGTTACGGTGGCCAGACTCATTCCCCCCAGAAGTGTGTCTGCAGCAACTGTAATTAGGACCGTTTTATGAGAGTCCCAAGAGTGATACAGCCTGGTATCCCCTTGCCTTGGGATGCTTTAAATTCCCCACGTCAACGAGGTTCTTCTGTCAGCTGAGCACCCACCCCACAGACCAAATGACAGGTAGTAAAGATTAATGACTCCGCCAAACAGTTTATAGGGTTTTCTCAACCCCAAGGCATTGCTACACACGGCTTCCCACTGGGTCCTCAAAATACCTTACCTGGCTCGCCTCGAGGGGCTAATGATAGCTGCTCTGTTTTATGGGAGAGGGACCTGGGGATCACAGGGGTTAAAAGACTTTTCACGAGGCTGGTAAATTGAAGATCAGTGTGCAGTGTGAGGTGTCTGAGTCAGTCCTGAGTGTGTGTGTGTGTGTGTGTGTGTGTCCAACTCCAAGGGCCATCTTGTCATCTTTGACCTCCAGTAAGGATCTCCAAAGAATGGATGCCTTCAGATGGTGGTGCTGGAGAAGACTCTTGAGAGTCCTTTGGACTGCAAGGAGATCCAACCAGTCCATCCTATAGGAAATCAATCCTGAATATTCATTGGAAGGACTGATTTATTTAAGCTGAAGCTCCAATACTTTGGCCACCTGATGCGAAGAGCCAACTCATTGGAAAAGACCCTGATGCTGGGAAAGATTGAAGGTGGGAGGAGAAGGGGGCGACAGAGGATGAGATGGTTGGGTGGCATCACCCACATGATGGACATGAGTTTGAGTAAGCTCTGGGAGTTGGTGATGGACAGGGAGGCCTGGCGTGCTGCAGTCCACGGGACTGCAAAGAATCAGACACGACTGAGTGACTGAACTGAACTGAGCAGCTTCAAAGATCCAGTGTATCTGAAAATAAATAAGTAATTAAAAAAAAAAGAATTATGCTGGGTGGTCATACGTACCACTGCGAAGTCCTTCCTAATAGGCATGGAACAAAATCTATCTGTTAAATAGACAGGAAGGAAAGTTGCCTTCACGATTTAAGGGAACGCCTATTGCCTCAAAATACTGGGCTTATCAACTCCAGATTTTAAGAAATATCAAGAAGATCCTGTCTACCAAGAAGCTGCTCCAACTAAGCCTGTATTCCTCACCCCACCTCACCCCCATAGCCTGCTATTTTTTTTTTCAGATTTTAACGTAGAATGTTATTAAACGTAGGTACATGGGCAAGAGGCAATTGGACTTCAGATCTATAAATGCATGAAGCTGACAAAGTGAAAGGGTCAGTCTCTCAGTCGTGTCTGACTCTGTGGGATCCCGTGGACTGTAGCCCTGCCAGGCTCCTCTGTCCATGGGATTCTCCAGGCAAGAATACTGGAGTGGGTTGCCATGCCCTCCTCCAGAGGATCTTCCCAATCCAGGGATCGAACCCAGATCTCCTGCAGGCAGATTCTTTACCATTTGAGCCACAAAGGAAGCCTCAAGCAGCCTGACACATTACACACAAATACAGTCTTATAAAACCGTCGTTATCTTTCAGTAGTCTTTAAAGAGGTGGCCATAGTCACCTCCTTCATCAAGAGCACCCCTGAAAAAATTACTAAGCACGTAAACTCCACTACAGAAAAATCGGATTGCACACCCCACGTCCACCCACAGGCGAATGCCTCAATCAACTCTGGTGAGGCCAGAAATCCTTAGAATACGTAGTACTCAGAAGATTATCATTTTTTTTTTTAAGGAGCAAACCATCCATAGAGATAACAGTATTTATGGACTGAAAGATAAATACGCTGGGTGAAAGAAGCCAGAGAAAGTAATATATATATTGATGATCCCATATCTACACACATTTAATATTGCAGAAAATGTGAAGGGCAGAGTGAGATGGACAGAGAGAGGTGGAGAGAAAGACAGAGAGAGGCTGACAGATGGAGAGACAGAATTGGAGAGAGACAGAGAATTTGATGAAACTAACACTCAAGTCTCCCCCGTCTCTCCCTTGACCAGATAACAATATGAGCACCCCAAGCTGAATTTTCGTCAAGTTAAACTGTTTCACTCACTTGAGACGAGTTCTTGCCCCAGGCTCCTCGCATTTGTGAACGTCGCTCCTGCAAGTCCAAATTCCTCGCTCGGCCCGAGCTCCCGTCCTCATGATTATAATTAAACACGTATTAAGTGCCCAGGCTGGGCTTTGCTCAAATCCGCCAATTATTTTTATATCTAAACATGACCTGTTGAGACTGCTGCACACATAGTTATTTACGGAAGGATATCAGGCATCGTTGACAGTCAAGTGGTACTGCTGTTTACTCCCTCAGTCACGCCCCACTCTTTGCTGTGACCCCATGGACTGTAGCCCGCCGGGGTCCCCTGTCCATGGGGATTCTCCAGGCAAGAACACTGGAGTGGGTTGCCATGCCCTCCTCCAGGGGATCTTCCCGACCCAGGGATCAAACCCAAGTCTCTTGCGTTGGCAGGCAGATTCTTCACCACTGAGCCACAGGGAAGCCTTTTGCGTGGTACCAAAGATACACAGATAAGAAAGGGGAATTCAGAACGTTGAATTTTTTTTTTTTTTTATGAAACTTAAGCAAGGACCCCAGCCAGACGTTCAAAGCAGGCAAGAGAGGGCAGATGCGTAATAAGGAGAGTTTCAGCCTCTTCCGGTCTGCAAGCATCTTAGGGACCTTTCACGGCTCTATGGACGCTGAGTGCCATGGGCTGCAGACATAGGTGGTGGTTTCATGGCACCCAGACACCCTTTCTTGTAGATTCAGCCAAACATTCCTCTAGAAATGCTACCGCTGCACTTATTCCTGGGCATCTCCACCCTTTCTTAAAGTCTTATGTTGGTGAGACAGAGGATGAGATGGTCGGATTGCATCACCGACTCAACGGGACATGAGTTTGAGCAGGCTCCGGGAGTTGGTGATGGACAGGGAGGCCTGGCGTGCTGCAGTCCATGGGGTCGCAAAGAGTCGGACACGGCTGAGCGACTGAACTGAACTCATGTTGGTGAGAAGCCAGGAGTTAGGCAAAGAAGAGATGCTCGTTGTGAGAATGCTTTGAAAGTCTTGACGCGCTGAATCGCCCAGTTTTTCATACAGGGTCTGTTACTTCACTTCTGTTATTTTCTTTAAAAATGTATTTATTTTTAATTGAAGGATAACTGCTTTACAGTTGCATTGGTCTCTACCAGACATCCACATGAATCAGCCATAGGTTTACCCATGTCCCCTCCCACCTCCCTCCCCATCCCACCCCTGTAGGTAGTCCCAGGGCCCTGCTGTGAGCACCCTGAGTCAAATAGCAAATTCCCACTAGCTGTCTATGTTACATATAGTGATGTACGCGTCCATGTTACTCTCTCCGTATCTACCACCCTCTCCTTCCCCCCCATCCACAACGTCCCTAAGTCTGTTCTCCATGTCTACATCTCCATTGCTACCCTGCAAATAGATTCATCAGTACCACCTTTATATATAGATACACATATATAAATATATATATATATAGGCCATATATATGCATTTGTTTATGATCATTGTTTTTCTCTTTCTGACTTACCTCACTCTGTATAATAGGTTCTGAGTTCATCCATCTCGTTAGGACTGACTCAAATGCGTCCCTGTTCATGGCTGTGTAATATTCCGCTGTGTATATGTACCACAGCTTCTTTATCCATTCACTTTTCGATGGCCATTTAGGTTGCTTCCATGCCCTACTTATCGTAAATACAGCCTTCAGTCTTCTGTATATTTGAATCTCAGGTAGAAGCTCCTTTTATTTTAATATTTATGTTTGTTTTTCAACTGCTGGGGAGAAAAGTTGTGTCTGGTGATGAAGATTAGATCTGAATCCATTCCTGGGAAAGATGGGCTTCCCTGGTGCCTCCACTGGTAAAGAATCTGCCTGCAATGCGGGAGACCTGGGTTCGATCCCTGGGTTGGGGAAGATCCCCTGGAGAAGGGAAAGGCTACCCGCTCCAGTATTCTGGCCTGGAGATTCTCATGGACAGTCCATGGGGTCGCAAAGAGCCGGACACGACTGAGCGACTTTCACACTCACACACTCACTCACACTGGGAAAGATGTCCTGACGTGATTTATTTTAAAAAGTAAAACTGAAAGTATTAATCATTCAGCTATGTCCGACTCTTTCCGACCCCCAGGGACTGTAGCCTGCCAGGTTCTTCTGTCCATGGGATTTTCCAGGCAAGAATACTGGAGTGGGTTGCCATTTCCTTCTCCAGGGGATCTTCCTGACCTAGGGATTGAACCCAGGTCTTCTGCATTGCAGGCAGATTCTTTACCATCTGAGCTACCAGGGGAGCCCTATGTTTATAAAATGAAGCGGTCAGATTCAACATCTGTTCTCTCCAGGGAGGTTCAGTGGACAAGCTCAGGTTAAGCACTGCTGTGGATCACACAATGTACTAGAAATGGAATTCTGAGGCAGGTTCCAAAATCACTGCAGATGGTGACTGCAGCCATGAAATTAAAAGACGCTCTCTCCTTGGAAGGAAAGTTATGACCAACCTAGATAGCATATTAAAAAGCAGAGACATTACTTTGCCAACAAAGGTCCATCTAGTCAAGGCTATGGTTTTTCCAGTGGTCATGTATGGATGTGAGAGTTCGACTGTGAAGAAAGCTGAGTGCTGAAAAATTGATGCTTTTGAACTGTGGTGTTGGAGAAGGCTCTTGAGAGTCCCTGGGACTGCAAGGAGATCCAACCAGTCCATCCTAAAGGAGATAAGTCCTGTGTGTTCATTGGAAGGACTGATGCTGAAGCTGAAACTTTGGCCACCTCATCCAAAGAGTTGACTCACTGGAAAAGACCCTGATGCTGGGAAAGATTGGAGGCGGGAGGAGAAGGGGACGACAGAGGATGAGAGCGTTGAATGGCATCACCGACTCAACGGACATGAATTTGAGTAAACTCCAGGAGTTGGTGATGGACAGGGAGGCCTGGCGTGCTGCAGTCCATGGGGTCACAAAGAGTCGGACACGACTGAGCGACTGAACTGAACTATCTATGACACTGAAAGTGTAAGCAGCAGAAGAAAGGGAAAATAGGTAAGTTTTATCTCATCAGAATTAAAAACTGGTATGTCCACAATCAGCAGAATGAGGAGACAGCCCCCAGTGCAAGAGACTTCACATGCAGCATCCTGCAGTTTAAATATGTTTAAAGTAAACATTTAAATCGGAGTTTAGACATGCATTTTACTGCGCTTGGCAGCCAGGTGGCAGTCACCACCTATTTCTGCCTAAACTCTCTGCCAGCACCTTCCGGAAAGATCAGAAAAAGGGCTGATGTAGGGGTTTCAATGAGCAACTCAGGGCACGTCCACTCTTGTCACAACTGCACCTTTTCCAGATTGTGGTTTTGTTTGTTTTTTTTTTTTTGCTGTTGTTCCAGAAACCTGCATCCAAAGCAGACCAACCAGCTCTAAGGAATTTCAATCCCCAACCTGCCCAGTTTTCACCAGTTCCGGGGTGTGATAACAGTCACATTGGGCTTCCCAGGTGGCATTTGTGGTAAAGAACCTGCCTGCCAATGTGGAGACATAAGAGAGGAGGGTTTGATCCCTGGGTCAGGAAGATCCCCTGGAGGAGGAAATGGCAACCCAGTCCACTCTTCTAGCCTGGAGAATTCCATGAACAGAGGAGCCTGGTGGGCTGCAGTCCACAGGCTCACAAAGAGTCGGACACGACTGAAGCATCTTAGCATGCACACGCAACAGTCACATTACCGGAGGGACCGTTGCTGAAAGCTGAAGCTCCGATACTTTGGCCACCTGATGCGATGAGCCAACTCACTGGAAAAGACCCTGATGCTGGGAAAGACTGAGGGCAGGAGGAGAAGGGGACGACAGAGGATGAGATGGTTGGATGGCATCACCGACGCGATGGACACGAGTTTGAGCAAGTTCTAGGAGATGGTGATGGACAGGGAGGCCTGGCGTGCTGCGGTCCACGGGGTCGCAAAGAGTTGGACGCGACCGAGCGACTGAACAACAAAATAACTGATTCACTTTGCTGTACATCAGAAATTAGTCCAACATGGTAAATCAACTTTACTCCAATAAAAACTGATTTAAAAAAAAAAGAAATATATGTTCTGCCACCGTATGGAAAAATGTTTCCCCTAGCCAACAGAAAAGAAAAAAAAAAATGGCATGACGCTGAAAAGGAGTTCACACAGATGGTCACGCTATTGAGAGGGTAATGGGCCAGGGGTCTCCAAACGGAGGAAAGAGGCGGCAAGTGTCAGGCATTTTTTTCTCTCTCCCTTAAGCAGAAGGAGACAAAGTCCAGGTGTCAGATTTTTTTTTTCCTTCTCTATACAAAATTAAGAAGAAGGAAATGGCAACCCACTCCAGCATTCTTGCCTCGAAAATCCCGCGGATGGAGGAGCCTGGTGGGCTACAGTCCACGGGGTCGCAAAGAGTCAGACACGACTGAGCAACTTCACTCCACTTCATACAAAATCAAAAGGAGGTTTCTCTTACAAGTATCTGCTGCCCTGACGACACCCAGTTCCCCCTGAACTTAACTCTTCTCAAACCTTGAGCTAACCAATGCATTTTTCTTATGGAAGTGTTTGTCTTAAGCTATGCGGATGAAACGGCGCATTTGCTTTGGAATTTGCAACTTCTTCAAAAGGGTTCCACCTAAGACTAACTTTTTTTTTTTTCTTTTCTTTTCTCAAACCTTGGGCTGATAATAGCTCAACAAACCAGTATTCGTATCAATTGTTTTGTGACTGGGGGATGACACATCTCGTGCTAAGCTATCTCAAAAGGGCATATTGTGGGAGAGGGGTTTGGTGAAACTCCTTCAGCGTTGAGGTGTCCCTCTTATCTGGTTAATACCTTTCTAAGAGACTAAAACGGCTTGCTAAAAACCAGCAAGGGGTGGTGGGCGGGGGGCACTCTTTCTGCCCCTTCTGATATCTGTGTCAGAAGCTTTGTCTGTCTCTCCTATACTTGAATAAACCCTTGATACACCGAAGCTCTGAGCGATCCAGGCTCCTTGCTGCTCCCAGAATTGAAATCCTCCCATCCGGAGGCCCAGCATCCCGGCGTGTTCAGGGCTCAGCAACAACCCTTCAGTTTCTGGTGATCAAGCGTTGTTGGTACACACAGGAGTCGAAACCTCAGAGCCGTCCTCTGTCTTTCCATCTCGGGAGCGGACACGAGAGAAGGGGGGAAGGCAGACGACGTTTCAGGACTTTTGCAAGGGGGCATTTTCAAGGCAACCGCCTCCCTGCTTTGGGACAGCGGCCAGCAAACGCCCCGTGTGACTTGAGAAATGTGCCGGAGACGCGGTCCAGCCCTATTTGTGAATGAAAAGGCTCCGTGTTTCCGGCTGTCCGAGATCCCTTGGCAAACATTACCATCTCTCAAGGAGCACAGAAGATCTTCTGTTGACAGGCCAAAAAAAGAAAAAAGAAAAAAAAAGGACGGACGACACGCCCTCCCTACAGATCTTCTGTGCTATTCTTCAGATTGCAAGGCTTGCTGAGTCCGCGGACAACCTAACTTGGGTCAGGCAGGACGGCTGTTACTCCGGAGAGTGAATCAGCAGCACATGCGTGGACCGCGCGGACCTCCTGGGGTCAGAGCCTGAGATCACATCTCCCGCGCGCGGCCCGCTGACCTCGGCTTCCCGGGCCCGGAGACTGCCCTGCAGGTAACCCGCTTTTCTTGATTTGTTCTCCAAGCAGCAGCCAGCCCGGCTGGTGACCCACAGCCCACACGTGGCCTCCTGGCACCACCCCCCACCCCACCCCCCGGAGGCTGGCTGTACTTGGCAGGCAAATTTTCTTTAAAAAAAAATAGAAAAGAAAAGAAAGAAATCCATGTTAGATGTTGCCTCGGAGCGGGGTTTCTGGAAGGACTGTAGAATTAAATAGCAAAAGACAAGGCTTCCCTGGTGGTTCAGATGATAAAGACTCTGCCAGGCCTGGGTTCATCGCCGCATGGAGAAGATCTCCTGGAGGAGGAGGGCGTGGCAACCCACTCCAGTATCGTTGCCTGGAAAATTCCACGGTCAGAGGAGCCTGGTGGGCCACAGTTCACCGGGGCCGCAGACAGAGGAATGCTGTGCGGAGCAGACCTCTCAGATGCTAAGAGATTTCAGAGCGTGGGGGACTGGGTGCTGAAAGAGATGCTGAGATTCAAAACTGAAGTGGGTTTGGGAACCGAGCCCGGAGCGTAGTGGAGAAGCGAGGCATGCTGCCCGGGGGTCTGGAGGGTGGCCAGAAACCCAAGGGCTTGCAATTCCTTCTTCCCTGGAAGAGCATCAAAGGCTGAATTATAGGTACTACTTCACTGAAGGGCTTTCTTTCTCTTTTTCTGCATCCTTTTTTTTTTTTTAATGGAGATATAAATAGCAGATAACTTTGTGAGAGTCTGCCCGGTACAAAGGGACATTTTGATACACCTGTGTGTTGCAATATGCTTGCGTCGATAGCGATAGGGTGAGCTAAGTCTGCTGTAGCCTCACATAGCTTCCATTGCCTTTTGTATGTTCAGAACAATTAAGGTCTAGTTTCTTAGTAACTTTGACCCTGCTATTATCTCCGGAATGTATTTACCTACACGTTGCAAGGTTGCCTCCTTAAACATCTTCCGGTTCCCCCGGGACAGCTCAGCTGGGAGAAGGACGATGCCCCCAGCTCAGAAGCCCACCCCACCACGCAGGCCACACAAGCCAATCTCTCTTCCGCTCATAAGCAAGGCTCAGGGTCACTGCGAAAGTCATGCCACATCAAGGGTCACCGACCTCCCCCCCCACCCCCACCCAAGAGCCAGAATTGGCTTCCCTCATGTCTTTATGGTTCCTCATGGCCACAAAGAGGCTGCCAGGGACCGGCATTTTCACTACACATAATGTTACCTAGTCACTCGGTGACATTCAATCTTTATTGGGTATCCAGGGAAAGAGAAGTCAAAGGTTAGCCCAAGGAATGAGCCTCACATCAAGGGACACGATTGCCACTCATCTGTACAAAGCACCTGTTGTCACCAGACGGTTGTTTGGACAAACAAATAAACGTGTTCCTCCCTTTTGCTGGAGTAGGAAGTGGCAACCCACCCCAATATTCCTGCCTGGAGAATCCCATGGACAGAGGAGCCTGGTGGGCTAACAGTCCACAGGGTCGCAAAGAGTCGGACGTGACTGGGCGTCTAACGCAACACTTCCCTTTTCCTATTATTGTTTGCGACAGATATCAGCATACCATGTGCTATCCTGACTCTTTTTCTTTTTTTTATTTTTTTATTGACAAATAATTGCTTTACAGAATTTTGCTGTTTTCTGTCAAACCTCAACATGAATCCGCCATAGGTATACATATATCCCCTCCTTTTTGAAACTTCCTCCCATCTCCCGCCCCTCTAGATTGATACAGATGCCCCCGTTTGAGTTTCCTGGGCTATACAGCAAATTACCATTGGCTATCTATGTCACATATAGTAATGTAAGTTTCCACGTAGTCTTTTTCATTAAAAAAAAAAAACAAAACTGGATATATGGGCTTCCCTGATGTCTCAGCGGTAAAGAATCCACCTGCCAATGCAGAAGACCCAGGTTCGATCCCTGGGTCAGGAAGATCCCCTGGAGAAAGAAATGGCAACCCACTCCAGTACTCTTGCCTGGAGAATCCCATGGACAGAGGAGCTTAGCAGGCTACGGCCCCCACGGGCTCGCAAAGAGTTGGACACGACTGAGTGACTAAACAACGACAAAATATCGCATCTATAGATCATGTGGTCCATGCACACAACGGAATATCATTTAGCCACGTTGGGGGATTCGGACACAGGCTACAGCGTGGGCGAACCTTGAGGACATTTCGCCACGTGAGATACGCCGGACAGGAAAGGACAGATACTGTGTGGTTCATGGATATAAGCAGCATAGACTCATCCGATTCATGGAGAAGAAAGCATGAGGGTGGGCTCCGTGGGCTGGGGGAGCGTGTTTCATGGGGACAGAGTCTCCGTCTGCAGAGACGAACTAGTTCCGAACGTGGGCCCCGGGGACGGCTGTACAGATGGGACTGTGCTCACTGCTACCGCGCTGTCCACGTAATGACAGAGACGGGAAATTCGGTGATGTCTGTTTGTCACTGTTGAGTTGCCAAGTCCTGTCCGACTCTTTTGCAACTTGACAGACTGTAGCTCGCCAGGCTCCTCGGTCCATGGGATTCTCCAGGCCAGAGTACTGGAGTGGGCTGCCGTGTCCTCCTCCAGGGGATCGTCCTGACCCAGGGATTGAGCTCAGTTCTCCTTCACTGGCAGGCGGGTTCCTCACCACTAGTGCACCTGGGAAGGAATTTCGTATTGATATGAGATGATTTTCCATACAAATCTTTTTTGTTTTTAATCAATGTATGTTTACCACAATTAAAAGGCCATCAGGGCTTCCCTGATGGTTCAGCTGGTAAAGAATCTGCCTGCAACGCAGGAGACCTGGGTTTGATCCCTGGGTTGGGAAGATTCCCCTGGAGAAGGGATAGGCTACCCACTCCAGTATTCTTGGGCTTACCTGGTGGCTCAGCTTGTAAAGAATGTGTCTGCAATGTGGGAGACCTGGGTTCCATCCCTGGGTTGGGAAGATTCCCCTGGAGAAGGGAAGGGCTAGCCACTAAAGTATTCTCGCCTGGAGAATCCCATGGACTTATGTATAGTCCACAGGGTCGCCAAGAGTCAGACACAACTGAGCGACTTTCACTTTCACTGGAATTAAAAATAAAAAATATGTATCAGAGATCATGTTGTATCGATGTCTTATCACTTCATTTTGCGTTTTCCTTTACACTGCCTCCTTTATATTGGGGATCAGAAAGCTGTGGTCCCTTCCGCAAACTCAGCCTGCTTTTGGAAATCCAGTTTTATTGATAGACAAGCTCAGCCGTCTGGATGGTCAGGGGCCACGTCCCGCTGTACAGGCAGAAAGAAGTGGCAGGGGCAAGACCACCTTGGCAGGAAAGCCCGAAATATTAATCATCACGCTCTTGATAAACACATGTTCTACCTTCTTTTTCGTTCCCCCTTCTCTCCTTTTCTTTTTTTTTTTGCTCACACCTCAAGGCTCGCAGGATCTTCGGTCTCTGACCAGGGATTGAAATGGGGCCCAGAATTAACAGCATGGAATCCTAACTACTGGGCCACCGGGGCGCGGCGGGGCGGGAGGAGTCTTAATATTCTTTTTTTTTTAAATTTTGGACAGTGTTATTTATTGATTGACTTGGCGCTGTGCTGGGTCTTCATCACGGCTCAGGGCGTTTTCTCCAGGGGCAGCGAGCAGGGGCTCCTCTCTAGCTGTGGTCTGCGGGCTTCTCACCGCAGGGCCTCGTCTGGTGAAAGGGCACGGGCTCCAGTCTCCTGCGGCTGCAGCTCGTGGCCTCGGGAGCACCAGCTCAGCTAGTTGCCCCACCGCGGCACGTGGGATCTTCCCGGACTAGAGATCGAACCCGTGTCTCGCTCTCCGGCAGGTGGATTCTTTACCACTGGGCCACCGGGAAAGCCCTCACATTTTTTTTTTTTTTAAAGTCACATCAGGACTCAGACACAAAAGGCCAGAAACCCCAAACCAGTTGGTTTTTTGTTTTGTTTTTTTTTCCTGGTCAAGTTGAAAGAGAGTTCCAACCAGGACATACCCACTCCAGCCTACGCCCTGCAGTCTGGCCCCAAGGACACTGTTTGGACANGTTTTGTTTTTTTTTCCTGGTCAAGTTGAAAGAGAGTTCCAACCAGGACATACCCACTCCAGCCTACGCCCTGCAGTCTGGCCCCAAGGACACTGTTTGGACAGGCTCGCCAGCTGGCTCAGTGCTAACCGACCTGCCTACAGGGCAAGAGACTTGAGAGACGGGGGTTCGATCCCTGGATGGGGAAGATCCCCTGGAGGAGGGCATGGCCACCCACTGAACAGTCCGTGGGGTCGCAGAGACTCGGGCAAGGCTGAGCGAGCACACACGCTGTTTGCACACCGGCCCCATCTGAGCCAAGGACCTACCTCGAGGGCATTTGGAACCTCATCAAACTGAACACGCCTCCAGTCTGCCGCTGGACCAGAACATCCGCTTCGTCCCGAGTTTGTGCAAACAGGACCAGTAAACCGCAACCTGGGTGAGGTCTGAGGATTCTAGAACCTTCGGAGGAAACACGGCTTGCTTGCTGTTGTTGAGTCACGTCTGACGCTTGCGACCCCGTGGACTGTAGCCCCGCCAGGCTCCTCGGTCTGTGGGATTCTCCAGGTGAGAAGACTGCAGAGGGTTGCCATTTCCTCCTCCCGGGGACCTTCCAGACCCAGGGATCGAACCTGCGTCTCCTACATTGGCAGGGGGCTCTTTTAACCTCTTGGGCCAGCAGGGAGAACCTTGCTTCCTTGCTCCCGATGTGGGACTCAAGGTCCGTCTGGACCGAACCAGGCTTCCAGCAGCCACGCCTGAATCCAGAACGCCTCGGGAACTTGCACCACAAGGGAGAAACAGTGGTCTGTTTTGGGGCCTCAGAAGCAATCACCCCCTCTGTCCTAAGCTACATCTAAGGAAGTCCGCGTTCTACATCCTGGAGACGGTGTCCAGTGTCTGTAAAGCTTCTTCTGCAGGGAAGAGCATCGCTTTGGTTCTTTATTGTTTCCAGACTGATTTATTACTTATGACTGTGCTGTGTCTTTGCCGTATGCTAGATCACAGGCTCTAGGGCTCACAGACTTCACTGTTCATCTGCAAGAGGGATCTTCCCAACCCGGGGATGGAAGCAGCGCCTCCCGCATTGGCAGGCGGATTCTTTACCGCTTAGCCACCAGGGAAGCCCCTGTGTGATTTGCTGATGTTTTGGCCACACCGGTCAGCATGCGGGATCTTAGTTTCTCCGACCAGGGACTGAACCCACGCGCTTTGCTCTGGAAGCTCACAGTCTTAGCTACTCGATTGCTGGGAAATTTCCAGGAAGAGCCTTCCTTTATGGGTTTTGGGTCACTTTCACAGGCTACTGGCAGAATCAGATTTTTCCCTATTGTTGAAACTCAGTGCCCTAAGCTGACTGGCCTCACAGGATTGCCTGCATGCTCAGTCGTGTCCGACTCTTTGCAACTCCAGGCTCCTCTGTCCGTGGGGTTCTCCAGGCAAGAAGACTGGAGTGGGTTTTCACGTCTTCCTCCAGGGGATCTTCCCCACCCAGGGACTGAACCCACAAGTCCTGCATTGCGGGCAGATTGTTTATTTATCTAATTTTTTACCACTAAACCACTGTATTACTTACTGTATTACTTATCAACAGTTCCGTTCCTGCCGCCCAAGTATTCACCTCTTTATTTCTTACAGGAAATACAAGGAAAGAGAGGACATGTTACATCTGGAACACTCTTGGTAAGACAGGGCTGTGTGCAATTGGTCAGCTCCACCGTCTGCCTCTGCGTCTCTTCCGGTCAGTTTCTCAGAATCCGTTGATAGTAAAGTGAGCTTTCTCAGTTAGTCACTCATCAATGCCCCTGGGAGTTCCCTGGAGGCTCAGATAGTAAGGAATCGGCCTGCAATGCAGGAGACCCAGGTTCGATGCCTGGGTCGGGAAGATGCCCTGGAGGTCATGGCAGCCCACTGCAGGATTCCTGCCTGGAGAGTCCCGTGGACAGAGGAGCCTGGCGGGCTACGGTCCTCGGGTTGCAAAGAGTCGGACACGCCTGAGCAGCTGAGTGCATGTTATTGAATGTACGACAACACCGCTTCCGTTTTACATTTTGGGTTTTTGGCCTCAAGGCATGTAGGATCTTAGCTTCCCGACCAGGGATCAAACCTGTCCTCCCTGCATTGGAAGGCGAAATCTTAACTGCTGGACCGCCTGGAAAAAAAAAAAAATTCAAGTGCCTAAGAGATGTAGTCAGACTCTTCTGAAATGGGATTGATGTTATGTATTTTAAAAGTGTGAGTTGTTTTAACTAAAAAAAAAAAATCAAATGCCTAAGAAAGTGAAACTGAAAGTCACCCAGTCGTATCCGACTCTTTGTGACCCCCGTGGACTATACAGTCCATGGAATTCTCCAGGCCAGAACACTGAAGTGGGAGCCTTTCCCTTCTCCAGGGGATCTTCCCAACCCAGGGATCAAACCCAGGTCTCCCGAATTGCAGGCGGATTCTTTACCAGCTAAGCCACCAGGGAATGTATTTGAGCCACAAGAGATGTATTCAAATTCTTCTGAAATGGGATGATAATATATATTTTTAAAGTGTGAGTTTTTTTAAACTATCTGAAATCTGAAATGGGTTGATAATATTTTTTTAAAAATAGTATGAGTGTTTTTGCTTAAAAAAAAAAAAAAAGGAAAAAAATGCCTAAGAGATGAATGCAAACTTTTCTGAATGGGATGATAATGTTTTTTTAAAAAAAGAGCATGAGTTGTTTTTAACTAAAAAAAAAAAAAAGAAAAAAAGAGTCAAATGCCCAAGAGATATATTCAAACTCTTCTGAAATGGGATGATAAAATATATTTTTAAAAGTGTGAGTTGTCTTTCACTAAAAAACAAAAAATTAAATGCCTAAGAGGTGTACTCAAGCTCTTCTGGAATGCGATCATATTAACAAAGTGTGACTTGTTTTTAACCAAAAGAAGAGAAAAAAAATCAAATGCCTAAAAGATGTATTCAAATTCTTCTGAAATGGGATGATAATATATCTATAAAAGAGCATGAGTTGTTTTTAACTTGAAAAAGGCAGGGGTGGGGAAACTCAAATGCCTAAGAGCTGTACTCAAGTTCTTCGGAAATGAGATGATAATATTAAAAAAAAAAAAGTGTGAGTCATTTTTAACTAAAAAAAAAGAAGAAAAATCAAATGCCTAAGACGTATTCAGGCTCTTCTGAAATTCAAAGCTAATATTAAAAAGTATGAGTTGCTTTTAACAAAAAGAAAACGCCTAAGGGATGCATTGAGACTCTTCTGAAATGGGATGATAATTTAATAGAATATATGTTTAGGGCGTCCCTGGGAGCTCAGCTGGTAAAGAATCCACCTGCAATGCAGGAGACCCCACTGAGATTCCTGGGGCGGGAAGATCCCCTGGAGAAGGGAAAGGCTACCCACTCCAGTATTCTGGCCTGGAAAATTTTATGGACTGTATAGTCCACGGGGTCGCTAACAAAAAAAAAAAGAAGAAGAACAAGAAAAATCTAATACTTAAGACACGTATCCAACCTCTTCTGAAATTCAATGCTAATATCCAAAAAAAGTACAAGTGGCTTTTAACAAAAAGAAAATGCCTAAGAGATACTTTCAGACTCTTCTGAAATGGTATGATAATATATATACTATATTTAATACAATATATATTTAACTAAAATAATAAAAATATTGAATAATTGATATATATTATATTTAATGTAATATAACATATATTTTTAGAAAGAAGAAAAAAGAATCAAATGCCTAAGAGATGTATTCAAACTCTTAGAAAAAAGAATCAAATGCCTAAGAGATGTATTCAAACTCTTAGAAAAAAGAATCAAATGCCTAAGAGATGTATTCAAACTCTTCTGGAAGGGGATGATAATATATATTAATTTAATACAATTTATAGTATATATTTAGTAAGTATACATTATGTTTAATCAAACATATCTATTTTTTCATTTATTTTTATTAGTTGGAGGCTAATTACAATATTGTAGTGGTTTCTGCCACACATTGACATGAATCAGCCATGGATTTACATGTGTTCCCCATAGCATATGTTTTTAAAAAGAAGGAAAACGAATCAAAGGCCCGAGATGTATTCAGACTCTCCTGCACCGGGATGCCCCTCTGGCAGCGGCCCGGAGGGGCGGCCCCAGCTTTCCCGCTCACGGAGGCTGTGTACTTCGATGCAACCCCGCACGCAGCCTTGGCTGGCCCGTGTCTTTCAGGAGCTGGCTGGCGCTCGCCGTCGCTGCGCTTCTGGGTCCGAAACCCTCAGCCTGCGGCCCTGCACCTGACCCCCGGCCCAACATCCTCCTCCTGATGGCGGACGATCTCGGCATTGGAGACGTCGGTTGCTACGGCAACACCACCATCAGGCAAGGACCGGAGACCGGCTTATCTGACACCCGGGTGCAGAGGTCCACGATGAGCCCTCTGACCTTTGGTCTAGGCAGTTCAAACTTGAACAGAGCTGTGCACACATCCTTTCTTTGTAAGGCATCGGGCTTCCCAGGAGGCTCAGTGGTGAGTTCGCCTGCCAGTGCAGCAGACTCGGTCGGCTTCTACCCCTGGGTGGGGAAGATCCCCAGGAGGAGGACATGGCAACCCACTCCAGTAGGCTTGCCTGGAGAATCCCATGGACAGAGGAGCCCGGAGGGGCTACAGTCCATGGGGTCGCAGAGTCAGACATGACCACGATTAAAAGCACTTCCACCTTGCATTCTTCCCACACCTGCACTCAGCCCAGCTCAAACGCATAGTATAACTGAATCACTCCACTGTACGCCAGAGACTAATGCAACATGGTGAATCAATGATACACCCATATAAAAAATTTTGAAAATAAAAAAGACTGAGAGTCCTAAGTGAGAAATCACCCTGGCTCTCAATTCTGGATGTTCTATTGAGTCCATCTCAGCCTCAGTAGTACAGTGTGGAAGCTTCTGGTAAACAATGCAGTTAAGTGGGATTTCCCTGGTGGTCCAGTGGTTAAGACTCCACCTTCCAACGCCAAGGGACGCAGGTTCGATTCCCGCTCAGGGAACGAAGATCCCGCATGCAGAGGGGCGTGGTCAAACATTGAAAAACAGTTCTGCAGTTGATGTTTCTTTGATGGTTCGGAAGATGTTTGAGGTTTTGCCACTCTTTGTTTTCTTTTTGTTGTTATTAATTTTCAGTGGAGTATAGTTGCTTTACGATGTTGTTAGCTTCTGCTAACAAAGTGAATCAACTATACGTATACCTGTATCTCCCATCTTTTTGGATTTTCTTTTCCATTTAGCCACCACAGGGCATTGAGTAGGGTTCCCTGTGCTGTAGTGTAGGTTCTGACTAGTTATCTGTTTTATATATAGTGTCACGCTAAGTTGCTTCAGTCATTTCTGATTTTATACACAGTATCATGCTAACTCGCTTCAGTCATCTCCGCCTCTTTGCAACCCCATGGACTGTAGCCCGCCAGGCTCCTCTGTTCATGGGGATTCTCCAGGCAAGAACACTGGAGTGGGCTGCCACGCCTTCCTCCAGGAGATCTTTCTGACCCAGGGATCGACCTAGGAATCTCCTGCATGGGCAGGTGGGTTCTTTACCGCTAGCGCCACCTGGGAAGCCCATAGTATCAGTGGGGTCTATAGGTCAATCCCAAACTCCCAAATCATCCCACCCCACCCCACATTCCCTCTTTGGTATCCATATGTTTGTCTCTACATCTGCGTCTCCATTTCTGCTTTGCAAACAGGTTCATCGGTACCATCTTTCCAGATTCCACATATACGCGCTCATATACGATATTCTTACGTTTCTGACTCACTTCACTCTGTACGACACCCTCACCTCTGCAAAGTCGTTGCCTTTTGCTCATTCCTAAGGCGGTAAAAAATCCGCCTGCCAGTGCAGGAGACGCAGTTCAATCCCTGGGTCAGGAAGATCCCCTGGAGTAGATTAAGGCAACCCACTCCAGTATTCCTGCCTGGAGAATCCCATGGACAGAGGAGCCTGGTGGGCTACAGTCCGTGGGGGTCACAAAGAGTTGGGCATGACTGAATGTACTCACGGAGGTATTCATTGGTAAACTGCCAGGTTTTCCATCAAGTAGGATGTCACTCTGCTTTATGGAAAGAAAAACAAACCCTGTGTTGGTTTGCTGAGGATTAAGAGAGTTAATGTTTTCTTGCACAGGACTCCAAACATCGACCGCCTTGCGGCGGATGGTGTGAGGCTCACCCAGCATCTGGCCGCCGCCCCTGTGTGCACCCCAAGCAGAGCAGCATTTTTAACAGGCAGATACCCACTCCGATCAGGTCGGTCCTTCTGTCTAACCACACAGTGGACAGGAACACCCTCTCTGTGACTAATCAGGCATGAATTATTCCGTACAGGGTCTGGAGAATGCTCCAAGTCCCCCTGTATTTCTTTTTTTTTTTACTGTTTTTGTTTTATTGTGGTCAAACTCACACAATATACAACATCCTATTTTAACCATATTTAACCACACAGTTCAAGGGTTCCCCTGGTGGTTCAGATGGTAAAGAATCTGCCTGCAATGCAAGAGACCTGGGTTTGATCCCCGGGTGGGGGAGATCCCCTGGAGAAGGGCACGGCTATCCACTCCAGTAATTCTGGCCCGGAGAATTCCATGGAGTGTACAGTCCGTGGGGTTGCAAAGAGTCAGACATGACTGAGCGCCTTTCATCCACAAACTGAAATGGTGTCTCCATTAAAGACAAAGTCGCCATAACTAGACTGGCCGGCAGCCACAAAGACCCAGCGCAGCCAAAAAATAAGATAGACATAAATTTTTTTTTTTAAAAAGAAAGTACACTGGGTGAGAATGCCAGGAATAAACCCCATGAGCTCAACTCATGTTGGAAGGTTAAATTTCCCATCGCATATTGAGTCACAGAGATTTCCACCAATACAGGGTTCAATCCCTGGGACAGGAAGATCCCCTGGAGAAGGGAATGGCAACCCACTCCAGTATTCTTGCCTGGAGACTCCCATGGATGGAGGAGCCTCGTGTGTCACGGTCTACGGCTCACAAAGACCCAGACAGGACAGAGTGACTAACACTTAACAAGAGCAGTGATGATAAAACTAGATGTCTGACTGTAACCTCTCTCTGAACACCATTGATCAAAGGTATGGTTTCCAGTCAAGGCCACCGTGTTCTTCGGTGGACAGCCGTCTCTGGAGGACTTCCGCCCAGTGAAATAAGTTTTGCAAAAATACTGAAAGATAGAGGCTATACCACCGGACTCATAGGTATGTACACTTTCTAAAGATTAAGCACATTACTATTTGTTTCTTCTGAAGACTTTTATACTGGACTCAGTTTAGATGATCCCAATTTTGTTGGCAACATCCAAAGAATCATAGTCAGGAGCCAGCCAAATAGTATTGAGCACATTATTTTTATACAGACATTTAATTCATCTATGGGCTTCCCTGATAGCTCAGTTGTAAGGAATCCGCCTGCAATAAAGGAGACCCCAGTTTGATTTCCTGGATTGGGAAGATCCCCTGGAGAAGGGAAAGGCTACCCAGTCCAGTATTCTTGGGCTGCCCTTGTGGCTCAGCTGGTAAAGAATCCACCTGTAATGCGGGAGACCTAGGTTTTATCCCTGGGTTGGGAAGATCCCCTGGAGAAGCGAAAGGCTACCCACTCCAGTATTCTGGCCCGGAGAATTTCAACGACCGATAGTCCATGGGGTCACAAAGAGCTGGACACGACTGAGCGACTTTCACTTTCAATTCAACTAAAAAGTTTCCAAATGAAATAGTTGGGAAACACAGTAGAATCTCTCACTGGACATAAAGCTCCATGCATGCTGAGATGCTGTTACCCACATTGCTTCATGCAAAGTAGATGCACCAGAAATATCAGCTTAATGAGACTTTTGGTGGTTCATACAGTTTTCCGTTGGGAAACACAGTAGAATCTCTCACTGGACATAAAGCTCCATGCATGCTGAGATGCTGTTACCCACATTGCTTCATGCAAATTAGATGCACCAGAAATATCAGCTTAATGAGANAAACCTGAACATACTCTGTCCTGGTGGGAAGAAGTCAGTGGGGGGTGAACATTGAAGAACTATGTGTGAGAGGGGTTAATTGACAGCAGTCCCTAAGAAGGTAACAGAGAACTTGATCCAGACGGTTAGAGGTATTAGATTGCTTGATTGATTTATTGATTTTTAGTTTCCGGTCTTAGTTTCCTGACCAGCCCCGCGGCAGTGAAAGCTCTGAGTCCGGACCACTGGACTGCCAGGGCAGTCCCCGGAGGGATTATATTTACGTGGTATAATAGTCTACTCAGACTACCTTAACAAAATACCACCATGTAGGTGGCTTTCAACAACACAGTTATTTTCTCATGATTCTGGAGGATGGAAGTCCCGGTTGGTTTCTGCTGAGGCCTCTCTTTCTGGTTTATAGATGGCTGCCTTCTCCCTGGTCCTCACATCACCGTTCCTCTGTCTGCTATATAGAGAGAGTGCTTTCTAGTGTCTCTTCTTTTTAGAAGGACAATAATCCCATCCAAGCAAACCTGCCTTGGAATCAAGTGAACACACCAGCATAGTCCAACCCCCTTATTTTCAGATTCTGTATTTGCAAATTTGCCTACTTGGTAAAATTTATTTGTAACCCCACCAAATCAATACTCATGGTCCTTTTAGTTGTCATTCATGTATACACACAGGGTGGCAAAAAATTTGAGTCACCTAACATGTATGTTCCCAGTTGAGGTCAAACAAGGCAATGCTCTGCCTCCTTATTCGAAGCTCTCATGCTCTCATCCAGGTGTCCTTTACATGGTCTACCTAGTGCCACATTTTGTTTTGTACTTTTTTCTTGTTGAGTTCACTGTTTAAAATGTCTCCTAGGGAGGTGGGAGGGGGGATCGGGATGGGGAATACATGTAACTCCTTGGCTGATTCATGTCAATGAATGACAAAACCCACTGCAATGTTGTGCAGTAATTAGCCTCCAACTAATAAAAATAAATGAAAATAAAATAAAATGTCTCCTAAATGTAATGCTAAAGTGCCTGGTTGGGAAGATCCCCAGAGGAGGGCATGGCAACCCACTCAAGTATCCTTGCCTGGAGGATCCCATGAACAGAGGAGCCTGTGGGCTGCAGTCCATGGGGTTGCAAAGAGTTCGACACAACTGAAGCAACTTAGCAAAGTGCTGTCTAGTGTTCCTAAGCACAAAAATGGCTGTGCCGTGCTTTATAGAGAGAAATGTATGTTAGATTAGCTTCATTTAGCCATGAGTTGTAGTGCTGTTGGCTGTGAGTTAGTGTTCGTGAATCAACAATACATGTTAATTAATGTGTCTTTAAACGGAACATATAAAACAGGGTTATCTGTTGAACATTTGACAAATATATGATGAAGAGACTCATGGAAGCCTATCCCTGTATTTTCCATAGGACCAGAGCTTCAGTGTTGGCTAAGTCAGTGTTCGTTGTGACTTTATTAGAATATTGTTGTTGTTCAGTTGCTAAGTTGTGTCTGACTCTTTGCGACCCCATGGACTGCAGCATACCAGGCTTTCCTGTCCTCCACTATCTTCTGGAGTTTGCTCAAACTTGTGTCCATTGAGTCAGTGATGCTCTCCCACCATCTTATCCTTTGCCGCCCCCTTCTCCTCCTGCCTTCAATCTTTCCCAGCTTCAGGGTCTTTTCCAGTGAGTCAGCTCTTCCCATCAGGTGGCCAAAGGACTGGAGTTTTAGCATCAGTCCTTCCAATGACTATTCAGGGTTGGCTTCCTTTAGGATGGACTGGTTTGATCTTGCAGTCCAAAGAACCCTAGGAGTCTTCTCCAGCACCACAGCATCAGTTCTTTTGCACTCAGCCTCTTCATGGTCCAACTCTCACATCCGTACATGACTACTGCAAAAACCAGAGCTTTGACCACACCCACTAGAATCCCACACTTCTATCACTGGTCACTCAGCATGCTTTCATACTAAAGACTCCTTTTCATGAAGCGTTCCAAAAATTTGGTGAAAGACTGTCTTCTGTTTTGACCGCCTCAGACACATGTGTTCTTTGCAGGCCAGATCCTCGATACTTTGGACACAGAAGGGTTGACCAACAGCACCCTCGTTTATTTTACATCAGATCACGGGGGATCCTTAGAGGCTCAGTCTGGAAACAACCAATACGGTGGCTGGAATGGGATATACAAAGGTGAGAGATAGGCATTCTCAGATGTGTGTCTACAGTCTTCATCTCTTCCCAATAATTGTCAACCCTTCCTCTGGAATGTGACTTTACAAAAGCAAAGTCACAAAAATCAGAAGAACCCCAATGATCACTGTGGTGGACAGAATCACGTCCCCAAAGATATCCATATACTGACCCCCAAGTGCTGGATAGAATAATGTCCCCTGATACATTCACATCCTGACCCTAGTATGGTGGAAAACCAACACCCAGATTTATAAGCAAAATAAAATCCAACCATGTAGGAGCTAAATGTCATCATGTCATTAAACAGAGATGGGGAGAAAGAGTGATTTAAAATGAACACAAGGGTTAGGTCACCCAGGGAAGCAACCCCTGATTTGCAGTCACATTCTTTCCTGTTCATGTTTAAACACAGGTGGCAAAGGCACGGGCGGCTGGGAAGGCGGGATCCGGGTCCCGGGGATATTCCGGTGGCCTGGGGTCCTGCCGGCTGGCCGCGTGGTCCATGAGCCCACCAGCCTGATGGACGTCTTCCCCACCGTGGTCCACCTGGCAGGTGGCCAGGTGCCCCAGGACAGGTAAAGACCAGCCCAGAGAAGGCAATTCCGTTTTGCATACAAAGTGTGCGTCAAACATCACTTTCCTTTGGCCTAAAACGCCCATGAGATGGGTACCTGGAAAAGCATCGGTCATTACGGGCTCCCATGTCTGCTTTATGGTGTACACGTGTCCTTCTCCTGAGTTAAAAGTGGAGCCTCTTGAGTATGACGATGGTCGCTGAAACACACCAATATATTTACTGACAGTCCATCACGAGACAGTCGTTTTCACGTAGCCTGGTAGAGACTTTTGATGTTTCCATTTTTTTTTTTCTTTTTAAAAATTATTGAGACTTCCCTGGAAGCCCGGTGGTTGAGACTCTGTACTTCCAATGCAGGAGTTGGGGGTTCAATCCCTAGTCAGGGAACTAAGATCCTACACGAAGCACAGCATGGCCCCCCAAAAAAATTATAGAAAATTTGGGAGTAAAAGAAAGAAAATAATGTCTTAAACTTGCCAACATACAGATGAATACATAATTAATTTATATGATGAAAGTGAAAGCGTTAGTTGCCCAGTCATGTCTGACTCTTCGCGACCCCATGGACTGTAGCCTGCCAGGCTCTTCTGTCCATGGGATTTTCCAGGAAAGAATACTGGAGTGGGTTGCCATGCCCTTCTCCAGGGGATCTTCCCAACCCAGGGATCAAACCCGGGTGTCCTGCAGTGCAGGCAGATTCTTTACCAGCTGAGCCACCAGGGAAGCCCCATATATATCGTATATACGCATACTTATTTTATTATATATATTTATGGAATGATTCCAGGTCTTGTGGAAGCACACCATGTATTTCTGTAAGGAGTTAAAGCTCCAATGCGTATAAAACCAAGCAGCTGTTCCCAAACAATAACCCATCCGTGCATTCAGAATAAGGCCTGGTAGACCTTTGCTTCAGGCCCCTGCAGGGGGCGGACCCGCCAGACTGTTCCAACCCAAGGTCCTGCCTGCAGGCGGATGGTATACCAGCTGCCCGCCGGGGCTAATGGCTCCCGCCCGCTTCCCAACGCCTCGCCCTGAGTCCGCCCCCCTCGCTCCCGACTGCAGGGTGGTGGACGGCCGGGACCTGCTGGGCCTGCTCCAGGGCACTGCGCAGCACTCGGACCACGAGTTCCTCATGCACTACTGCGAGAGCTTTCTGCACGCCGCCCGGTGGCATCAACGCGACCGTGAGTCCGCCGCACGCGGGGGCCCGGCTTGGCCTCTGCTCTCTTTTTCTGCTCCTTCACGCCTTTCATTTATTTCCACGTGATCGTCTTTGCTTCCTTCTTGGCGGTATTTTCCTTTCGATCCCAGGAGCATCCTTTAGCAGTCAATCATCCTGTCCCCCATGGGAAGGGAAGGCTTGCCTATGGTTTCCTGTTTGTTCAGTCGCTTAAGTCATGTCAAAGTCTTTGGCGACCCCATGAACAGTGTGTAGCCCCGCCAGGCTCCTGTCCATGGGATTCTCTGGGCAAGAATACTGGAGTGGGTTGCCATGCCCTCCTCCTCCAGGGGATCTTCCCGACCCAAGGGTCGAACCTGGGTCTCCTGCATTGCAGGCGGATACTTTACCTTCTGAGCCACCAGGAAGCCCAAGGATACTGGAGCGGGTTGCCAGGCCTTCCTCTAGGGGNGGATCTTCCCGACCCAAGGGTCGAACCTGGGTCTCCTGCATTGCAGGCGGATACTTTACCTTCTGAGCCACCAGGAAGCCCAAGGATACTGGAGCGGGTTGCCAGGCCTTCCTCTAGGGGATCTTCCCAACCCAGGGATGGAACCTGGGTCTCCTGCATTGCAGGCGGATTCTTTACAGTCTGCCACCAGGGAAGCCCACGCCTGTCCCATCCGCCCCAAAAACGCTCATGAGACCGGCCACCATCCATCCTTAGCCTGCAGGTCCCACCCGCACTAATTCTCGCCTTCCCTCCAGGAGGTGCAGTGTGGAAAGTCCACTTCGCGACCCCCGTCTTCCAGCCCGACGGCGCAGGCGCCTGCTACGGGCAAGTGGTGTGCCCCTGCTCCGGGGACGGGGTAACCCAGCACACCCCACCGCTGCTGTTCGACCTGTCCCGAGACCCTTCCGAGGCCCACGCCCTCACGCCGGACACGGAGCCCTCGTTCCACCGGGTGGTGGAGACCGTGGCCCGGGCCGTGGCGGCCCATCGCCGGACGCTCAGCCCGGCTCCGCTGCAGCTGGACGCGGCGGACAACACGTGGAAGCCGTGGCTGCAGCCGTGCTGTGGTCGGTTTCCCTTCTGCTGGTGCGATCGGGACGCGGACCCACGATAGGAGCCCGCCTGGGAAACCCAGCTCCCCGACCCCCTGCACGTCTTCACCGGCGTCAAACAAATATAAACCACCGGTGTGAAGTCAAGTCGCCTGCTGGTGTGGGCTTGAATCCTTTCACCTAGAATCCAGGCTGCGGTCAGTGTAGGGCAGTGGTGGGGGGGAAGGAAAGGCTGAGATGTATGAAGACGGTAACTTGGAAACTCACATTGTGCTGCGTTGTGCCAGACTCTTTGCGACCCCATGGACTGTAGCCCCACCAGGCTCCTCTGTCCATGGAATTCTCCAGGCAAGAATACAGGAGCGGGTTGCCAAGCCCTCCTCTCGGGGAGCTTCCCGACCCAGAGATCCAACTGCATTGCAGGCGGATTCTTTACCAGCTGAGCCTCCAGGGAAGCCCGGAAACGTACATGACCATGTGTAAATTACATAACCAATGGGAATTTGCTCTATGGCTCACGGAACTGAAACAGGGGCTCGGTAACAACCCAGAGAGGGGGGCTGGGGTGGGGGGCGGGAGGCAGGTTCGAGAGGGAGGGGACACAGGTATACCTATGGCTGAATCGTGTTGAGGTTTAGCAGAAGCCAACCAAAGTCTGTAAAGCAATTATCCTTCAATTAAAAAGATAAATCAATAATAAAAAAAAGAATCCAGTACTTGTCTTTATGTCTCGACTATGAGAAAGACAAATATCCTATATTAATGCACATGGGAGAAGGGGACGACAGGGGATGAGATGGTTGGATGGCACCACCGACTCGAGGGACATGAGTTTGGGTAAACTCTGGGAGTTGGTGATGGACAGGGAGGCCTGGCGTGCTGCGGTCCACGGGGTCACAAAGAGTCAGGCGACTGAACTGAACTGAATGCACATACATGGAATCTAGAAAGATGGTCCTGGAGATCCTAAGTGCAGAGCAGCAAACGAGGCGAAGACATAAATGACAGACTTGCAGACACAGCGGGGGAAGGACGGGGTGGGACCAGCGGATAGGGCAGCCTTGAAACATATGTCCTCTCCTTCGTAAAGTAGACAGCCAGTTGGAATCTTCTGTACGGCGCCAGGAAGCCAAAGCTGGCGCTCTATGATGAACTACAGGGGTGGGGTAGGGAGGGAGGTTCCAGAGGGAAGGGGCATGTGTATACCTACGGCTGATGCAGGTTGAGGTATGGCAAAAGCCAGCATGGTATTGGCAAGTAATGCCTCTCCAATAAAAAAAATAAGACTCCTACGCTAAAATATACAAATGAACTTATCTATACCACAGAAACCCGGGTCTGGTGCCTGGGTCGGGAAGATCCCCCTGGAGGAGGAAATGGCAACCCACTCCAGGATTCTGCCTGGAGAATCCCATGGACAGAGGAACCTGGTGGGCTGCAGTCCACGGGGTCGCGAAGAGTTGGACACGACTGAGCAATGAACTCACACACCCACGCATGCTACAGAAACAGAGTCACAGATGTAGAGAAGAAAATTAGGCTTACCAGGGGGTAAGGGGTGCACAGGATAAATTGGGAGGCTCGAACGGACACATACAGACTATGACGTCTTAAATGGCTTTCTTTTTCTTTTTTGCTATTCAAATATAATAGTACATTTTGAAAAGCAAAAATAATCTAGGTCTAAATTTTTGGAATTAACATGCATGTTTAGAGGAACTGTTGTTAAATGGCTTTCTATGTGGCACTGGTGGTGAAGAACCTGCCCACCAGTGCAGGAGACGTAAGAGACGCAGGTTCAATCCCTGGGTCGGGAAGATCCCCCAGAGAAGGAAATGACGAGCTACTCCATCCAGTATTCTCGCCTGGAGAATCCCGTGGACAGGGGAGCCTGGTGGGCTATACAGTCCACGGGGTCACAAAGTGTCGGACATGATCGAAGCAATATAGCACACATGTATTAAACAGATAGCTTGTGAGAGCCTACTGTATAGCTTCAAGGAACTTTACTCAGTGCCCTGTGATGACCTGAATCAGAAGGAAATACAAAAAAGAGGGGATCCATGTTTATGTATGACTGGTTCACTTTACACCTGAGACGANATAGTCCAACTCTCACATCCATACATGACCACTGGAAAAACCACAGCCTTGACTAGACAAACCTTTGTTGGCAAAGTAGTGTCTCTGCTTTTTAATGTGCTGTCTAGGTTGGTCAGTAACCTTTCTTCCAAGGAGCAAGCGTCTTTTAATTTCATGGCTGCAGTTACCATCTGCGGTGATTTGGGACCCCCTCAAAATAAAGTCTGTCACTGTTTTCATTGTTTCCCCATCTATCTGCCAACCAGTTATAACGAATTTCAATCCCTGTTCTTACCACATTGCCACCAGTTTGGGGGTGTGATAACAGTCACATTACTGGAAGGACTGTTGCTGATGCTGAAGCTCCAATACTCTGGCCATCTGATGCGAAGAACTGACTCACTAGAAAAGACTCAGATGCTGGGAAAGATTGAAGGCGGGAGGAGAAGGGGTCGACAGAGGATGAGAAGCCTGGATGGCATCACCGACTGGATGGACATGAGTTTGAGCAAGCTCCGGGAGATGATGACGGGACAGGGAAGCCTGGCAATTCCACAGTCCATGGGGTCGCAAGAGTCAAACACGACGCAGAAAGTGAACAGCACCCCCACTTTGGCCCCAGTGCCCTGCGAGTGCCAGCCACCGAGAGCCACCCAGGCAAACCTGTTTAGGAGCTCAGTTCGCCCTGAGGCCCCAGGACTTTAAGCGGATTAGAGCGGGAGGGGGACCCCACACCCCTGCTCTCGCAGCTCGGTGGGCGGGACACAGCGCGCACGGCGCAAGGTCCCGCGCTCGGGCCGCGCTCCGCCATGGCGCCCGCTGCGCAGAGGAGACGCGCCGCGCACGCCGCCAGGTGCGCGGGACCCCGGGACCCCGTCCTTCCCCGACCCCGGGGCTGGGGGCGTGGAAACATGGGAATCAAGAACGGAGGGGCGTCTAGGGCGAGCGCGGACCGCCCCCCACCCCCATCCCCACCCACCCAGCCAAAGGCCGGGCTGCGCTTGCGCCTCGGAGTCTCCAAAACGCAGCTGGAGGCCGGCTCGCCTTCCCGGACGCCGGCTGGACTAGAGAGCTGGGTTGAGGGCGTCGGGGGGTGGGGAGGGGCGACGAGAGGGAGCGGAAGGAAACGGACCAGAAGCGGGGGGGAGGCGGCGGGGAGGAAGCGGGGACAGGCAGGCCCGGCCCCGGTAGAGGTGGCGCAGCCCCTCCCCCGCTCTCCAAAGACTTCCTGTCCCGTCCCAGAGGTCCCGGTCCCCGAGCGCCTCCGCGTCCCCTCCGGCCACTCACTATGGCGCGAGTCTCCCAGGTTCCCTCTTGGAAAAGCCCACGCTCCGGAGCCTCCTTCCAGCCCTCTCTCCCCGCGCGCCCTCCGTCCCCAAAGTAAGACACACCCCCGTTCTGAACAGTGACCCCCCTCCCATCCCTCACCCCACAGCCGGGGCCGTGTGCCTGAAGCCCACTAGGAAGCAATCGGTCTGCCCCTTGTCCCTACCTTTCGGACTCTTGGCGACCCCCCGTGGACTGGAGCCCCTCCAGGCTCCTCTGTCCATGGGATTCTGCAGGCAAGAATTACTGGAGTGGATTGTCATTGCCTTCTCCAGGGGGTCTTCCTGACCCAGGGATCGAACCCGGGTCTCCAAAAGCAGACAGATTCTTGACCTTCTGATCCACCAGGCGAGCCCCCAAAGAGGTGATAGGATCTTGATTTCTTCCTCTTGCATTGTTTCAAAGGCAGTCCTACACTGTCGTCAGGAACCCATAACTGAGTCTGGCGGTTCGGTGGCTCTGGGGAGCCTTCTTTCTGACATGTAACTTCAAGGAGAAGGGTGTTGTAAGCGTGAACACCACGTAGGGGGTGTATTTAGCATAGAGTCCAAGGGGGGAAAATGTGAACTGTGGCTCCTGCAGAGTTAGGGGTCAGAAAGAGCAAACTTTAGTTACAGACAGGCAGCGTTCCGAGCAGTTAAAGTGAAAAAAAAAAAAAAAAACCAACAACTAGGAATGATCAGGCCTGCTCACTGTTCACTTTCTCTTCTTTGTTCGAAAGGGAAAGAAATTAGGGGGTGTATATAGCATAGAGTCCAAGGGGGGAAAATGTGAATTGTGGCTCCTGCAGAGTTAGGGGTCAGAAAGAGCAAACTTTAGTTACAGACAGGCAGAGTTCCGAGCAGTTAAAGTGAAAAAAAACAAAAAACAACAACTAGGAATGATCAGGCCTGCTCACTGTTCACTTTCTCTTCTTTGTTCGAAAGGGAAAGAAAAACTTATTTCTGTTTTCCTTTTCACCACAACAAATTCCTCCAAGGGTAACCCCACTCCCCAAGTCTCAGGCCACGGGCTACAGGTCCGGAAACCCAAGCGCGGCAGAAACGCCGCCCCCAGTTTCCGGACTGCTTGGCGCATCGGGGCCCAACTGGGGGACGGGTTTGGCACGGGGTTGGGGGGCGGGGGCGGCTGCTGGGGACTCTGGGCTCGGCTGAAGCTTCTAGCCCCCAGGGCTTGGGGGTGGGGAGAGCCTCGGTAGGTCCACCCCCAGGACCGCCCAAACCTCCGTCACGCAGTGCACACGCCGGGGCGGCGCCCGGCACTCGCTGGCGGCGCGCCTTGCAAACCGGAGCAGTGATTGATCCAAACAGCTGTGCTGTCTAGGGGACTTTTAATCCCGTATTGATCCTTTACAAACCGAACTTCCCAGGCTACAGGTCCCCAACCCCGAGCACCGCAGAGACGCCGCCCCGATTCTCCGGACTGCTTGGCGCATCCGGACGCGATCGGGTAACGTCCACCGGGACACGATCCGGGAACGTGGATGGCACCAGGGGCCCTGCTAGGGTCTCGGGGATCCGCTGGAGCGTCTAGCCCCCGAGTGCCTCTGGCTTTTGGGGAGCGGGGAGAGCCTGCGTAGGTCCACCCCCAGGACCGCCCAAACCTCAGTGGCGCGCGCGCGCGCCGGGTGCGCCCCCGACGCTCGCTGACCGCGCGCTTTTCAAATGCGAGCAGTGATCATTTGATCAAAAGAGCTGTGCTGTCTAGGGTAGTTTTAATCCCCTGTTGATCCTTTAAAAACGAAAGTCCCCCTCTGATCCGACCTGGCCCCGTTTCCCTCCTGGCGGAGCCTGGGCCCCCCTGACCCTGGGCTCCCCCCACCCTGGGCCCCCCTCACCCTGGGCCCCCCTGACCCAGGAATGCAGTTCTGAGGCCCAGGGAAAGGCGTGCCCGTGGTGCAGGGAGAATTAATTACAAAGTAGTGCAAGGTGGGGGCCTAGGTGAATTCAGTGAAAGAAACTGAATTTGGGCGGATCACGACTTTCAAAAGCAAAAACTAACGCGTTCAAGTTTTGCGTGGCGCGTGGAATGGATTGGTCAAGCCTCTGGGATAAAAGTATACAAGGGCTGCAGGCCTTTCTTTCTTAAATCCTAATATAAAGGAAGAGCTTCCTAGGTGCTCAGTGGTGAAGAATCCCTCTGCCAGTGTAGCAAACACCGGTTCAGTCTCTGGGTGGGGAAGATCCCCTGGAGGAGGAAATGACAATGCACTCTAGTTATTCTTGCCTGGAGAATTCCATGGACAGAGGAGTCTGGTGGGCTCCTGTCAGTGGGGTCGCAAAGAGTTGGACTGGACCTATGGAAGGAGCACTCGTGCAGTGGAATGCAAATGCCCGAACCTTCCCTGCAACCTGTTTTGAAAGGCTGACTTTTTCATTCCAAAGGAGACGTTTATTTCGTTTTTGGCTTTTTTCTTTCTTTATTCTGTCTCTCTAGGGACTCCCTAAATGTGTTGCTCATCATGTGTTTGCTTCTGAAGACTTGCGAATTAAAATCAGCAAATANCAGACACAACTGAGCATGCATGGAAACCTTTTTTGGAATGCATGTGCATGATACCATCAGCCACCACCTCTGAAAAGAAGTTTCAGGAACTGCCTCTGCAGATGTGTGTATGTGTTAGTTGGTCAGCTGTGTCAGAATCTGTGACCCCATGGACTTGAGGCCCCTCTGTCCATGGGATTCTCCAGGCAAGAACACTGGAGTGGCTTGCCTCCCCCAGGGGATCTTCCCTACTCAGGGATTGAACCCAGTTATACTAAATTACAGGCAGGTTTCTTTGCCATCTGAGCACCCAGGGAGGTCCGGCAGGGGAGAAAATGCAATTAAATCTAAAGCGAAGGGAGCTCTTCACATGGAGAACTCATCCGTACACCTTTCGGCAGGGGGACCCAACCCCGCTCGCTCTCGCCCGGCCCATCCTAACGGCAACTTCGGTGTGCTTTGCCCAGGACACCGAACATTGACCAGCTTGCGGAGGAAGGCGTGAGGCTCACCCAGCACCTGGCGGCCGCCCCCCTCTGCACCCCGAGCAGGGCCGCCTTCCTCACAGGGAGACACGCCTTCAGATCAGGTCGGTGCTGTGGGGGCGGCCGGGGAGAGGGCTGGCCTTGTCCGCCCGCTGACTGTCCCTAAAAATGCGGTGGTGGCCATCTCCCGGAGTTAGCCCAAGTTCGTGTCCATTGCATCGGTGCAGAGGCAAGCCACTCCAGTATATTTCCCAGTGAGAACCCCATGAACTACTGTGTAAAAAGGCAAGGGGGTTTGATACAAATAAAAAAGACTAACACAAAAAACAAAGAAACAAAAAGAATTAGGTGGCAGGACTTCCCTGGTGGTCCAGGGGTGGAGACTCCATGCTCTTCCACTGCACCGGGCATAGGTTCAATCCTTGGGCAGGGAACCAGATTCCACATGCCATAACTAAGACCCTGCACAGCCCACACACACACACACACACACACACATCTTTCTTTAAAAAAAAAATCAGGTGGTGGGACTTCCCTGGCAGCCCAGTGGTTGGGACTTTTCTTCCAATGCAGGGAGCTTCGGTTTGATCTCCAGTCAAGGAAATAGATCCCACTTGACACTACTCAGATCCTTCATAGCCAAATAAATAAATGTATATTAAAAAAAAAAAAAGAATCAGGTAGTGGGGCTTCCCTGGTGGTCCAGTGATTGAGACTCTGAGTTCCCAGTGCAGGGGGCATGGGTTCGATCCCTGGTCTGGGAACGAAGATCCCGAAAATAGCCAAAAAACAAAAAAGGAAAAAGAAATCAGGTGCCAATGGTTGATAGATGGTTAAAATACAATCTGCAAATTCACTTTCCTGGAATTATGTAAACATTGTGCTTTGGTGGTGCGAAGCTGCTCAGTCATCTCCAGACTCTTCGTGACCCCATGGACTGTGGCCTGCCAGGCTTCTCTGTCCATGGGATTCTCCAGCCAGGAATATTGGCGTGGGTTGCCATTTCCTTCTCCAGGGGATCTTCCCAACCCAGGGATCGAACCCCCGTCTCCTCCACTGCAGGCAGTTTCTTTATTATCTGAGCCACCCAGAAAGCTCTGTAACTACTGAGAATTCAGACAGCTGAAAGTCTTCAGGGTGACTGATTGTATTCCAACTTGTTTGTCCAGAATCTGTGAGTCAGTCTCGAGGTCAAGCTGCAATTTCAGACGGCTCCTTACAGGGTCGTGTGCGGTGGAGAACCTCAGTCCCCGGCGGCGACCCCCGGCGTACTTACCGGAAGTACGGGAGTTACCGGAAGTGCGGTACTTCCCGGAAGTGCGGTACTTCCGGCTGTTTGCCGGAAACCAGCCTTTCCTCTCGGGTCTGCTCCACTCTGCAGGCATGGACGCCACGGACGGCTACCGGGCCCTGATGTGGAACGCGGGCTCGGGGGCCTCCCGCAGAATGAAACCACGTTTGCAAAGATTCTTCAGTGGCAGGGGTACACCACGGGCCTCGTCGGTATGTGGTGACGTGTATATTTTCCTGCTTTCTTTGCGTGACGGTGAAGGTCAGGGATGGCAAGACCCTCTGTTCCTAGAATCACTGGAAAAGCCCCTGATGCTGGGAGGGATTGGGGGCAGGAGGAGAAGGGGACGACAGAGGATGAGATGGCCGGATGGCATCCCCGACTCGACGGGCGTGAGTTTGAGTAAACTCTGGGAGTTGGTGATGGACAGGGAGGCCTGGCGTGCTGCGGTTCATGGGGTCGCAAAGAGTCAGACACGACTGAGCGACTGAACTGAACTGAACTGACTGATGTTCCTAGAAAACATTGAAACGTCAGAATCCAGATGTAGTTGCTGGTTCCACTCATGTCTCTTGAATGGTTCACCATGTTGAAACTGAAGAGTCTTTTTTTTTTTTAACCCAGTAATTTTCTTTTCTTTGAACAATATTCATTCTTATTTTCTTTTTTTTTCTAGGCTTTTTTTTTTTTTAAGGATAGTTGTTTTACAATGTTGTCTTGGTCTCTGCTTTACAATGAAATCAGTCAGCCATGAAGAATGGTTCCTCTTGAGCCTCCGGCTCACCCCCACATCCACCCCACTAGGTCATCACAGAGCCCCGAGCTGAGCCCCCTGCACTATAGAGCAGCTTCCCACTAGCTGTCTGTTTTACACATGGTCGTGTATAGATGTCAGTGCTGCTCTCTCAGTTCATCCCACCCTCTCCTTCCCCTACTGTGTCCACAAGCCCTTTCTCCACACCCTCGTCTTGATTCCTGCCCAGTGAATAGGTTCACCTGTTCCCTCTTTCTAAATTCCAAACATACCCGTTAAAATACTATACTTGCTTTTCTCTTTCTGACTTAACTTCACTCTGTATAGCAGGTTCTAGGTTAATCCACCCTCACTACCAGTCACTCAAATTCGTTCATTTTTTACGGCTGAGTAATATTTCATTGTATATATGTACCACATCTGTATCCATTGATCTGTCAGTGGACATTTAGGTTGTTTTTATGTCTTGGCTATTGTAAATAGTGCTATAGTGAACATTGGAGTGCATGAGTCTTTTACAATTATGGTTTTCTCAGGGAGTCCTTGTAACTTTAAAATATTTCTCCATTAGCTTCTTTGCTGGAGGAATCTATCTTTCCCTCATGGCACTGGTCAGAATCTTCTAGACATCATATTGGTTTAAATGTCCACACCTCATCTCAAAACTCAGTGTTAAAACATCAGATGGTGGAAAGCTTTGGAGGTGGCATTCTTCTGTATGGTTTTTATTCTCCACAATCTTCACTGCAGCCCGCTGTTTTTGTTTCCTTAAATGTAAAAGGGCAGATTCCTGGGTTGGGAGCCAGGATAGCTTGTGAGGTTCTGAAGATAGCTTGTGAGTCGTGGGGAGACCACGGGAACAAGTGTCACTTCTCCACGTGGAGTTTTGGGCAGCTGTAGCCCGCCAGGCTCCTCTGTCCATGGGGTTCTCCAGGCAAGAATACTGGAGTGAGTTGCCTTCTCCTATTCCAGGAGATTTCCCAAACCCAAGGATTGAACCCGCATCTCTTGTGTCTCCTGCATTGGCAGGCAGATTCTTTACCACTGAGACACCTAGGAAGCCCCTATTGCTTTTTGCGTGTTGGTGTTCAGTTGCTCAGTTATGTCCGACTACTTGCGACCCCATGGACTGCAGCATGCCAGGCTTCCCTATCCTTCACCATCTCCCGGAGTTGCTCAAACTCACGACCACTGAGTCGGTGACGAACCTCCTAACCCTAACCCTCAGAAGGTAATTTCAGGCTGGGTCCCTTAGGCATACGCTGTTTTTTTATGTTTCATCTTTTTTTTTTTAAGTTCTTGCTTCTGTCTTCAGGAAAATGGCATCAGGGTGTAAACTGTGCCTCGCGCACCGACCACTGCCATCACCCTCTGCACCACGGCTTTGACTATTTCTACGGCATGCCCTTCACGCTGGTCAACGACTGCCACCCAGACAGGCCCCCGGAAGTGGATGCGGGCTTGAGGGCCAGGCTGTGGCTTTACACCCAGATCATGGCCCTGGGCGTGTTGACCATCGTGGCTGGCAAAGTCTGCAGGCTGATCTCCGTTTCCTGGAAACTAGTCTTGAGTGTGGCCACTCTGGTCCTGCTGTTTTTCACGTCCTGGTACGCCAGCTTTGGCTTCGTCCGCCGCTGGAACTGCATCCTGATGAGAAACCACGAAGTCACCGAGCAGCCCATGGATTTGGAAAGAGCCGCGAGCCTCGTGCTCAAGGAAGCCGTTTCCTTTATTGCAAGGTAATGGCGCCGTCCCCTTGGAAATCGGAGGTGAGTTCTCGGTGCATCTGGGTCTCTTTACCACCGGTGGGAATCTGCCAGCTCTACGAGCAGGCGTATGTGTGTGTGTGTGTCTTAGTCACTCAGTCATGTACAACTCTTTGTGACCCCGTGGACTGCAGCCCACCAGGCTCCTCTGTCCATGGGATTCTCCGGGCAAGAAGACTGGAGTGAGTTGAAATGAGCAGGTGGATTTGAAGACTTCAGCAGTTACACATGGATTGGTTTTCAAAACTCCAGTCTCTTCTTTCTTTTTTTGGCTCTGTTGTGTTTTTGTTAGTATAAACGTTCTCTGTGTGCATGCTCAGTCGCTCGGTTGTGTCCGACTCTTGGCGACCTCTGTGGTCTGTGGCCCGCCAGGCTCCTCTGTCCATGAGATTCTCCAGGCAAGCATACTGGAGTGGGTTGCCATTTCCTTTTCCAAGGGGATCTTCCCAACCCAGGGATATGAACCCGGGTCTCTTGCATTGGCAAGCTGATTCTGGTGACACTAGCGACACCTGGGAAGCCCCTGCATATTTGGCTGAAGGAGATGAAATCAGAACATTGAACAAATATCTGGACCTTTATGTTCACTGTGGCACTCTTCACAATAGCCAAGACATGGAAACAGCCTAAGTGTCTTACTGATGGATGAAAGGATAAAGAAAATATATATATACACACATGCTCATGTTCTTTGCAACCCCACGGACTATAGCCTGCCAGACTCCTCTGTCCACGGGATTGTCCAGGCAAGAATACTGGAGTGGGTTGCCATGTCCTCCTCGAGGGGATCTTCCTGATTCAAGGATTGAACCTGGGTCTCCTGCACTGGCAGCTGGATTCTTTACCACTGAGCCACTTGGGATGTCTAGAATACTGCACAGCAACTTACAAGAGTAAGGGGACTGTGTGTGCTGATATGGAAATGTAGCTGACATGACCCTCTGGGGCATTCCTGGGACAGACCCCGACCCCTATCCTCTGCCCCAGTTCCTGTCTGAAGTATGTAGATCATAGTATCTGATGCAGATTTCTTTAGTTGTTGTACAGATGCTAAAACCCCCAGCAAATGGAAGATGTTAACTGCTTGATGCCCACGAGGCTTCAGTCTCTACTTTTAAGTCCTGGATCAAAGAGATGCTCTTATAACCAAAGGATGTCTTCTCCTCTTTCAGAAATAAGCATAGTCCATTCCTGCTCTTCGTGTCTCTGCTGCATGTCCATATCCCCCTGGTGACCACAGAAAGGTTCCTTGGGAAAAGTCAGCACGGCTTGTATGGCGACAACGTGGAGGAGATGGACTGGCTCGTGGGTGAGTCAGCCCACGGCCAGGCTTCATTATTTCCCGGCCTTCCCTTGATGGCGGGGTGACAGGTAGGGGAACCTCCCCAGGAGCCAGCCTTCAGTAAAGAATCAAAGACAAAGAGGATGATTCTCCCATATCATCCACAGACTCCTTCTGCGTTTCTGATTTCTTTTGTCTACTTTTGCACAATGGCGTCCTTCTAAAGTCTGTGATTGAACGCTGTCACGCCAGGACTTCCCTGGTGGTTCAGTGGTGACGACTTCACCTTCCAGCGCAGGGGGTGTGGGTTCAGTCCCTGATCGGGGAGTTAAGATCCCACATGCCTCGTGGCCAAAAAACCAGACATGAAACAGAAACCATATTGTAGTACACTCAATAAAGAGCTTAAAAATTAAGTTTTAGTCGCTCAGTCGTGTCTGACTCTTTGCAACCCCGTGGACTTCAGTCTATCAGGTTTCTGTGTCCATGGGATTCTCCAGGCAAGAATACTGGAGTGGGTTACCATGCCCTCCTCCAGGGGATCTTCCCAACCCAGGGATTGAACCTGCATCGCCTGCATTGACAGGCGGGTGGGTTTTTTTTACCACTGAGCCACCTGGGAAACCCTCAGGAAGGAGACATCGTGTTGAATTCTCAGATGCTGTTTCATTTCTGTCGCCCTGAAATGCTCCGTCTTTCCCAAAGGGGAGATTCTGAATGCCGTTGAAGAACACGGTCTGAAAAACACGACTCTCACGTACTTCACCTCTGATCACGGGGGACACTTAGAGGCAAGAGACGGACATGTCCAGCTGGGCGGGTGGAACGGAATATACAGAGGTAAGGCCCGCGGGCATTGAGGGTCCAGGGTAAAATCTCTTTACATTGGTACTATTAAATATCTGACATGAGAGACTTCCCTGGTGGTCCACTGGTTAAGACTCTGCACTTCCATTGCAGGGGGTACGGGTTTGATCCCTGGTCAGGGAACTAAGATCCCACATGCCTGTCAGCATGGCCCAAAAAACTTTTAGAAATAAAATGAATAAAGTAAAATTTGATACAGTCCATCTGAATTATTCTGGAGAAGGAAATGGCAACCCACTGCAGTATTCTCGCCTGGAGAATCCCATGGACAGAGGAGCCTCATGGGCTACAGTCCATGTTTGCGTGCTCAGCGCTCAGTCGTGTCTGACTCTTTGCAGCCCCACGGACTGTAGCACGTCAGGCTCCTCTGTCCATGGGATTCTCCAGGCGAGAGTCCTGGAGCGGGTTGCCTTGCCCTCCTCCAGGGGATCTTCCCAACCCAGGGATCAAACCAACGTCTCTTACACCTCCTGCATTGGCAGGTGGGTGCTTTACTATTAGCGCCCGTGGGCTCCAGCGATGGGGGGGCAAAGAGTCGGACACCACGGAGCGACGGAGTGCACACACTGGATACAGACACACACAGGTACGTCCGGGTGTGTGCCTAGGCTGGAGCATCTCCTGAGAACGCAATGGCATCCTTCCCTTCCAGGTGGCAAAGGCATGGCCGGCTGGGAAGGCGGGATCCGGGTCCCCGGGATATTCCGGTGGCCTGGCGTCCTGCCGGCCGGCCGTGTGGTCCATGAGCCCACCAGCCTGATGGATGTCTTCCCCACCGTGGTCCAGCTGGCGGGCGGCCAGGTGCCCCAGGACAGGTACACTCCTCCCTGTGTCCTGAGAGAGCCCCCTTCCCTTGTCTGTATTTTAGGGGAAAACATTCTACAATAGGAGAACATTTAAAACAGTCTACCATGTAGGGGACAGGCTGATGTGAAATGACCACACCCTGGAAAACAAGGCTAAATGAACTATTGGGTCCAGTGACTTGTTGTAATTTTTTTTTTGGCAAAAGTTTACATTTCGGCATCACAATCCGGAGATCTAGTTGTCAGAATGTGACATCTGTTATTAATCTTCTGAAATGCAGTCTTGCCCACAAGTTGGTGCGGCTATGAAAAATTAAAAAAGAAAGTTTATTTTATTTATTTTTAGGCTGTGCCACACAGCAGGTGGGATCTTAGTTCCCCGACCAGGGATCAAACCTGTGTCCCCCACTACAATGCAAGTTCAGAGTCTTAACCTTGCTGGACCACCAGGGAAGTTCCTGGAAAATATGATTTAAAAATGATTATGTACCTCGATACACACCCCAAAAGCCCCTCTCATACATGAGATAAAATAGAAGTCAATATGTTGGTTTTTTCTTAGAAGTAAATATTTTGATACGATTGGATTTTACTTCATTTAGGATAACCAATAAAGGACTTGCCTAGAGCTCCAGTGGTTAGGAATCCACGTTTCCACTCACAGAGGGTATGGGTTCGATCCCTGCTTGGAGAACAAGGATTCTACCAGTCACCCCCTCCCCCCCCCAAAAAAAACCCTGAAAAAAAAATAACCAATAAATATTTGTGTATGACGGATAATAATATAAGGTACTTTATCCCCTAGTTCTTACTGCCCCCCTAAAAAAGCCATCTTATTAATTTTTTAGTTTAGTAGTATTTTTAGTTCAGCAGATTTCTCTGGAGAGAGAGAGAGCCAACATACATATGCGTGTGTGTGTGTGTGTGTCTGTGTGTGCGTGGTGTGTCTGTGTGTGTGTGTGTCTGTGTGTGTGAGAGCGTGCGTGGTGTGTGTGTGTGTCTGTGTGTGTGTGTGTGTGTGAGCGTGCGTGGTGTGTGTGTGTGTCTGTGTGTGTGTGTGTGTGTAAGTAGTACGGGCTCTGCTAGTGGCTCAGATGCTAAGGAGTGCCTGTCTGCAATGCAGGAGACCCAGGTTCGATCTCTGGGTTGGGAAGATCCCCTCGAGGAGGACATGGCAACCCATCCAGTATTCTTGCCTGGAGAATCCCATGGACAGAGGACACTGGTGGGCTTCAGTCCATGGGGTCGAAATAAGACATTTATCATAAGGAATTGGCTCATGCAGTGGTAGAGACTGGAAAATTAAAATTTGATGTTGGGAAGGCTGTAAGGTGCAAACTCAGAGGAGAATTTCTGTATCATTGTGTTGGGGGAGAGTTTTCTCTTCTCCAGCAAACCTCAGATTTGTTTTTGACAGCCTTCAACTGATCGGACCAGGCTCACTCTCCTAAACCCAGGGCGATCTGCTTTACTCAAAGCCTTGCTGACTGTAGATGTTCACCTCACCTACTATATATAAAACAGATAACCAACAGGGCCTGGCTATACTGCACAGGGAACTCTGCTGAATGCTCTGTAATCACCTAAATAGGGAAAGAATTTGAAAAAAGAATACATACATGCCTTACATATCACTGATTCACTTTGCCATATACCTGCAACTATCACAGTGTTGTTCGTCAACTATACTCCAGTAGAAAATAAAAATTCAAAAATACATACATAAAATGAAAAATATAAATAAAAGGTTTCTGTTCCCCTAGACTTTGCAGCCTAGGGGCACGGCAGCCCAGCTGGAATTTAAGAAGACTTGGTGTTAATATCTGCAGTCAGCGTGGTGTGTGGTGTTGTGTCTGGGTGTGTCTGTGTGTCTTCTATTTATGACGTGCTACGTGCAACCTGGGCATCCTCGGGGAGACGGGGCGTGTCTGATCCACTGTGTGTTATCTGGGGTCCTGGCAGCCTTGGGGTTTCGAAGGTCCCAGGTCCACAGTGCTGCCCACACAACCTCAGTCTCAGTCCCTCCTGTGGTCTCTTCCCTGAATCAGGGTGATTGACGGCCGGAGCCTGCTGCCCCTGCTGCGGGGAGATGCTGAGCACTCGGCACACGAGTTCCTGTTTCATTACTGTGGGCAGTATCTCCACGCCGCCCGCTGGCACGAGAAGGACAGTGAGTACACACCTCCCCACGCCTCGGCAGGTGCTGGTCTTAGTCAGGGTCCTCCAGAGAAATGGAACCCAGAGGATGTGTGGGTGTCCGGGTGGATGGGTGGATGGATGGATAGATGATGGATGGATGGATTCATAGTTGATAGATGGATGGATGGATAGACTGATGGATGAATGGGTGGATAGAGAGATGGGTAGATATATGCATGGGTGAATGGATGGATGGATGATGGATGGNCAAGAAGGGAGGGAGAAGACTCACAGAGCATCTTTAGAGGTGGTTCTGGAGCATGCAGTGATTCTGATATTTTGGGGGAATGCTCACAGTGTTTCCCACAGCGGCTGCTCCATCCTACATTTCACCAATCGTACTCAAGGGTTCTAGTTTCTCCACATCCTCCCTGACACTGTCATCTTTTGTTTTGTTTTGTTTTGTTTTTTGTGGATAGCCATCCTAACCAGTGTGAGGTGGTACCTCGTTGTGGTTTTAATTTGCATTTCCCCGATGCTTAGTGATGCTGAGCACCTTTTCTTATCTGTATGTCTTCTTTGGAGTAATATCTAGGTGAATGCATAAAGAAATGTAGCAGATATTTACAATGGGAGAGCCTCCCAGGTGGTGCTAGTGATAAAGAATTCAGCTACAGTGCAGGAGACATAAGAGACGTGGGTTCCATCCCTGGGTCAGGAAGATCCCCTGGAGGAGGACATGGCAACCCACTCCAGTATGCTTGCCTGGAGAATCCCATGGACAGAGGAGCCTGGCAGGGTCACAAAGAGTCAGACACAGCTGCATATAGAGGACACAGCTGCATATAGAGGAAAAGATACAGATAGATGACAGGTGGCTGACAGCTGACACACATCAAGACAGAAATACGAGCGATGAGAAAGCCAGGTGTCCGCGCAGCTGATGGGCGACCGTCTCCGTTTGCCCGTAGGCGGAAGGCTGTGGAAGGTCCATTACACCACACCCCGCTTCCACCCCGAGGGCGCGGGGGCCTGCCACGGCCGCGGCGTGTGCCCCTGCTCGGGGGCCGGCGTGACCCACCACGACCCGCCCCTGCTCTTCGACCTGTCCAGGGACCCGTCCGAGGCCCGGCCCCTGTCCCCCGACGCCGGGCCCCTGTACCGCGAGGCGGTGGCCCGCGTGGGCCGGGCGGTCTGGGAGCACCGCGGGTCCGGGAGCCCGGCGCCTGCGCAGTTCTCCTTCCACCACGTGGCCTGGAAGCCGTGGCTGCAGCCCTGCTGCGGGGCCTTCCCGTTCTGCGCGTGCTCCCGGGACGCAGACCCCGGGGAGACCTGACCTCCATGCTCCCAAGGTCAGGGCACGGGGTGGGCGAGGAGGCAGGGAAAACGGGACCCCTGTGTGCTGTCGGGGACGGAAAACTGGAGCAGCCGCTTGGGACAGCAGGCTGGAGGGTCCTCCAACCACCAAAAAATGGAACTACCCTAGGATGCAGCAGTCCCAGCCCTGCGTGCGCGCGTGTGCGTGTGTGAGAGAGAGTCGCTTGGTCATGTCCAATTCTATGCGACCCCATGGACTGCAGCCCTCCAGGCTCCTCTGTCCATGGGATTCTCTAGGCAATAATACTGTAGTGGGTCGCCATTTCCTCCTCCAGGGGATCTTCCTGACCCAGAGAGTGAACTGGAGTCTCCTGCATTGCAGGCAAGATTCTTTACAACTGAGCCCCCAGGGAAGCCCTGAGTATTTGTCTGCAGGAGATGAAATCAGGATATTGAAGACTTATTTGCACCTCTGTGTTCACGGCAGTGCTATTCACAATAGCCAAGACAAGGTAACAACCCAAGTGTGTTACCGATGGATGAATGAATACAGAAAATATATGTACATACACATGGTCATGCTCTTTGTGACCCCATGGACTGCAGGCCACCAGGCTTTTCTGTCCATGGGATTCTCCAGCTAAGAATACTGGAGTGGGTTGCCATTTCCTTCTCCAGAGAATCTTCCCGACCCAGGGATCAAACCTGGGTGTCCTGCGTTGGCAGGTGAGTTCTTTACCAGTGAGTCACCAAGGAAACCCATACACACACACACACACACACACACACGAATATTACTTGGCCATAAAAAATAAATCTTGTCACTTGCAGCAACGGGCTTCCCTGGCTCTGCCTGCTATGTGGGAGAGCTGAGTTCAGTCCCTGGGTGGGGAAGACCCCCTGGAGGAGGGCATGGCAACCCACTCCAGTATCCTTGCCTGGAGAATCCCATGGACAGAGGGGCCTGGTGGGCTACAGTCCACGGGGTCGCAAAGAGACACGACTGAGCAGACAACAGGTGAACCTTGAGGGCATTATGCTAAGTGGAGTAAGTTGGGCAGAGAAAGACAACTATCTTATGCTCTCACATCTGTGTGGAATTGAAAACAATAAAGTTACAGATGCAGAGAGCAGACTGCTGTGTGTCACACACTAGGGAAGGGGGTGGTGATGGGGAGACACTGGACATATCTCCAAGTATAACATGGATAAGTAGTTCCTGGTTGAAAACCTGCAAACTTTCATGCCACCTATAAAACCAGCGATTCAAATAGGAATGCTTCTAATTTAGAGGTTCTGCTTGGCTTCCTTGAACATTGTATTTTTTTTTTTTTTTTACGTGGACCATTTTTTTAAGGTTTTTATTGAATGTATTTCAGTACTGCTTCTGTTTTATGTTTTGGTTGTTTGACCCCGAGGCAAGTGACAATCTTAGCTCCCCAACCAGCGATGTTAACCACTGCACCACCAGGAACTCCTGTATTTCTTAAAAAACAAAAACATTTTTTTAAGTTTATGCATTTTCACCTTCTTTGGGTCTTTTTCTTCTTTTCCTCCTTTACAACTTTCTGACGCACTCCTCGTGAATGGCATTCATTTTGAGTCAGACCTTTTAAATGTTACGCATTTCCGTGGTGATCGGTCGTAAAACTGATTCTGAGAATAAACAAGCGTTTTCTCAGCAGATGGGTGCNCCTCAGTCTTTCCCAGCATCAGGGCCTTTTCCAATGAGTCCGTTCTGTATATAAGCACACAGCACAGGAATTCCGAGAGGTCTCTGTCAACATGCCTCTTTCTGCCTACGGGCGCGCAGGGGTCTCAGCACTGTTTGTGGAAAAGGCTGTCCTTTCTCTGTGGCCGTGCCTCTGCGCTTGGGCGGACCCTTGCCTTCGTGTGCGGGGAACAGTGATGTCGGAGGTGGATGGTCTCCGGATTGGACGTGTACGACTGGCCTCCTGGGGTGCATTTCGTGGGGCCCGGAAGACGTGGGCTTCAGGGTGGAAGCTTAAAACCGGCGTGCTGTGCGCATTTCCCGAGATGATGAGATAGGCCGGGCCCCAGTGGAGGGATGTACCGTCGGCCTCAGAAACAGGGTAACTCGCCAGCGTTTGTCTCTGGTCAACATCTCAAGGGAAGAGTCAAGGCAAGGGCACAGAGCCACAAAACCCCGTGTCACTGAAGGCTTAAGGGACCTCCGTTCACCCCTCTCTGGGGACACGCGAAACACCACGCGTGCTCTCCTTGAGGAGGGTCCAGAGTCAGCAGGTCACGCCAGACCATATTGAGTCTTGCTGCTCCCAGAAGCCTTCACTTCGAGATCCATCTTGCTCGGGGGTGCGTGTGCACACTCCAGGGGAGGGTCCCGGGGTAGGTCAGGTGTGGGAAAAGAAAGCAGGTAATGGACCTGAAGGAAGACCAAGACCCGGAAGAGCTGCCTTACATAAACATCTTAACCGCCTCGGGACTGGGCTCGTCCTCTCTGGGAGGGGGGAACGCCCACACCGTCTGTCTCCCCTTAAGCCTGTCTCTCTCGCTTCTGCTGTAACTAAAGGAACCATTTCTCTCTGTGCTGTCTCACTTGTTAATGCTGTGTCTCTAATAAAAAATTTTACACCTGCATTTACAGTTTCTGCCTCCGAGATAAACGCATTTTTCACTGGGGGCGAAGTTGTAGGGAGAAATAGCTTCCAGCCTCGTAGCCCTTGCCGGAGCGTTGGCTGGAATTCCTGGTTCTCATCCAGCATGCCCGTCCGTGGGCAGGGAATTACGATCTGGCTGGCCTTGGGTGCGTGCTCAGTCATGTCAGTCGTGTCTGATTCTCTGCCACCCCATGGACTGCAGCCCGCCAGGCTCCTCCGGCCACGGGGATTCTCCAGGCAAGAAGACTGGAGTGGTTTGCCATGCCCTCCTCCGAGGGATCTTCCTGACCCCGGGGTCGAACCCAAGTCTCAGGCAGCTCCTGCGTTGTAGGCGGATTCTTTCCCGCTGACCCACCGGGGAAGCCCACTGCTGCCTTGAAGAGATCAATAATAGAAGCCCATGCTCAAGGTATTGAAAATTAAATGATCAGGACATCATGCACTTAAGTCTGCAATACTTGGAGTTTTCTATACTAGTCTTTGACTGCTACTGAAGCCTGGAAAGTCTATAAAAAGGTTTCCTGGAGGAGGACATGGTCTTGATGAAAAGCTTGAGATCTAGACAGGCTTATAGAGAGTGGGTGTATTAGTTTCCTGGACTGATTACAACAAATGACCGCAAACCAGGGGACTTAAAACAACAGACATCCATCTTCCCCTGGTCCCGGAGACCAGACGTCTGAGGTCAAGGGTCCCAGGGCTGAGTCCCTGCAGAGGCTCCAGGAGAGGGTCCTCCCCGCCTCTTCCAGCTTCTGGGGGCGTCAGGCGTCCGTCCCTGGGCCGGTGGCCGCCTCCCTCCCGTCTGTGCCTCCGTCTCCTCGCGGCTTCTCCTCTGTGTCCCTGTCTCTCCTCTTCTCTCTTACCTAAGCACCCCTTATACAAGGCTTTGAAAACAAACCAGTACCAGGGTTTCTTCAAAATTTGTTTTCTTCCCATTTTCTTTTTTCTGTCTCAAGCTGCCATGGTTATATTTTTACAAACGTCTTACAGAGACTCCTGGTTCCTTGAACAGTAAATAATCAAAAAATAGTTCTTGGATGAATTAGTACATGAGTCATTCCAAGAACTGGAAAGGAACGGTCTTGGGGGAGAGTAAAAATGTCCTTGAGAAATCACTTTAAAAGGGCACGTCTTTCAACATTTGCTACAAACCACCCGGCCAGAGAAATATCTGTGAGCCTTTGTTGATACCAAGGAGTGGCCTTCCAGAGATATCATTTGATATGACAAGCAGCAATAGGCTGTCAGAGTTATTAACTAGCCCCACCAGGAAATCAGTGCATGCATGTGGCAGACAGGAGTTCACGAGTTCAACCATGGTGGGGGACCTGCTGGAGAAAAAGATGTGTGACTTTTTTTTCTTTCTTCAATTAGCTTTGTTTATTTCTTTTGGCTGTGCCCTGCAACGTGGGGGATCTTAATTCCCCAACCAGACACTGACCCCACGCCTCCCTTCAGCGGAAGAGAGGAGTGTTAACCAACGGACCACCGGGGAAGTCCCTTTTCCCCAGATCCACAGAGGTGTCACTGACTTACTCCACGGTGTAAATTTATGCTTGCAACACAAAGATCTCAAATATGTATAAATGGGTGGCGCTACTGGTAAGGAGTCCGCCTGCCAATTCAGGAGACGTGGGTTCGATCCCTGGGTCAGAAACATCCCCTGGAGGAGGGCGTGGCAACCCACTCCAGCACTCTTGCCTGGAGAATCCCACGTCATGTCTTGTGAGCCTTTGTTGATACCAAGGAGTGGCCTTCCAGAGATATCATTTGATATGACAAGCAGCAATAGGCTGTCAGAGTTACTAACTAGCCCCACCAGGAAATCTGTGCATGCATGTGGCAGACAGGAGTTCACGAGTTCAGCCATGGTGGGGGACCTGCTGGAGAAAAAGATGTGTGACTTTTTTTTCTTTCTTCAATTAGCTTTGTTTATTTTTTTTTGGCTGTGCCGTGCAACATGGGGGATCTTAATTCCCCAACCAGACACTGACCCCATGCCTCCCTTCACCGGAAGAGAGGAGTGTTAACCAACGGACCACCGGGGAAGTCCCTTTTCCCCAGATCCACAGAGGTGTCACTGACTTACTCCGCGGTGTAAATTTATGCTTGCAACACAAAGATCTCAAATATCTATAAATGGGTGGCGCTAGTGGTAAGGAGTCCGCCTGCCAATTCAGGAGACGTGGGTTCGATCCCTGGGTCGGAAACATCCCCTGGAGGAGGGCGTGGCAACCCACTCCAGCACTCTTGCCTGGAGAATCCCACGTCATGTCACCAAATGGTCACCACCAAACGTTAGCTGACACCTCCATCGTTACCAGCTACCCTTTCTCTCTGGTGATGAGAAATTTTAAAGTCGGCTCTCTCAGCAACTCCTCAGTATATAATACTCTTATCATTCGCTTTGACCAGCGTGCTATACGTGAGTTCACCTTGTTCTATGTTCCGAGTTCCATCCTCACCCACAGGCTGTGTGTCCATGACGCCAAGTCCCACCTTTGTCTCTACTATTAGCACTTTATTCTTGTGTCAGCCCACTGCTAGCTTTTCTTTTTTTTAAGTTAAAAAAAGTTTATTTTCGGTTTTACAACGTTGTGTTACTTTCTGCCAAACAGCAGAGTGAATCAGCTATTCGAGTCCATTGGACTGCGGGGAGATCCAGCCAGTCCATCCTAAAGGAAATCAACCCTGGATATTCACGGGGAGGACTGATGCTGAAGCTGAAACTCCAGTCCTCTGGCCACCTGATGGGAAGAGCTGACTCACCGGAAAAGACCCTGATGCTGCGAAAGACTGAAGGCGGGAGGAGAAGGGGACGACAGAGGAGGAGATGGTTGGATGGCATCACCGACTCAACGGACATGAGTTGAAGCAAACTCCGGGAGATGGTGAAGGACAGGGAAGTCTGGAGTGCTGCGGTCCATGGGGTCACAAAGAGTCAGAGACGACTTCTTGACTCAGCAACAAACACATGTATCCCCTGTTTTTTTTTTTTTTTTGGATTTCTTTCCCATGTAGGTTACTATCAATTCTAAAAAACGCATTTGGTTATTTTAATTAACAGAAAGACAAATGAAGCCAGTCACATTCCTATCAATGGCATTCTGAAGACTCAGAGCACATTCAAAAACCCAAGAATGAGACCGCATTGCCATCCTAAGATTTTAATTGCAATGTGCTGGCCTTCATCCAGACGTGAGGACAGACCTCATAATGCGGGAGAGAGGTCTGAGCTGAGCCTAGACTTGAAGGCAGGGAGCCGTCGGACCATTCATATGGAGAGTCCTCTTTGGAGAAGCTGGACTCTGATGTCCACCCTCCGGAGTTCTCTTCTCATGGACATAGAACCCGCCTTTTGTATGTTATAGTCCAACATCATGTTTCCCCAAAACAAACCTAAGGGATTACTCTGATGGGTGGCAACCCCCACCCCCACTGCCCACCCGACCCACCCAAGGAGTTTGTCCCCACGGCTCTTTCCTAGTAGCCCCTGAAGCATCATAGGTATGAAACCAACCAAGACACCAGGTCATTCGCCCACAGATAAAAAATAAAAGCCCCTCCATAGCACGCGCCTCTCACAGCAAACACCACAACAAACCCCAGAAGTCCACTCGGATCCCACGTGGAGTGGAACAAAGCCATCTCAACCTTCTTCCAAATCCATGTGATGATTTTCAACAGTACGTGTTGTGTCCGAAGACTCAGTCGTGTCTGACTCTTTGCAACCCCATGGACGGTAGCCCGCCAGGCTCCTCTGTCCATGGGGTTCTCCAGGCAAGAACACTGTAGTGGGTTGCCATTTCCTCCTCCCAGGGATATTCCCGAGCCAGGGATCGAACCTGAGACCGCCTGCACTGGCAGGCAGATCCTTTACCATTGAGGCACCCGGGGAAGCGATAAATAAACCACTCAACCATTTAAAACCTGCATCTTGGCTTTACTACGGCGACCCATGTCCAGCTTCGATTATCTTTGTGGTGGCCAGCACCTCCTCCTCCTCAGGACGGCAGCTGACATCTGGCTCTAATTACCCACGTGGTGGCCACCCACACGGACCCCTACGAGAGGGTCTGAAACACTGCACTCATTCCCAGCACTAGGATGCTTCTGAAGTAAGGCTCTCCGGTGGAATCACGGCGTCCAGGGTCACAAAACGGAGGACTGTCCCCACATAGCTGAGCTGCAGTGGGCCTCACCGAGGGCCGAGAGTGCATGCTGTGAAGTGAGGTAGTGAGACCCAGCAGAAGGCAGCCCCATGTCCTCAGGCCCGCACGGATTCGCCTCCAGAGAAACAGCCCGCCCGCATCCAGTCGCCGAGAGCACGTGACCAGCGGACACCCTCGGGTGTAAACCCTGGGTGCTTATTCCTGCGTGCTCAGTGTAACGTGGCAGCCTGGATGGGAGGGGAGTTTGGGGGAGAATGGATACATGTCTGTGTCTGGCTGAGTCCCTTCACCATCTACCTGAAACCCTCACAACATTGATCAGCTACATCCCAATACAAAATAAAAAGTTCAAAATGAAAAAAAAAAACTGGAGTGGGTTGCCATTTCCTTCTCCAGGGGATCTTCCCCACCCAGGGATCGAACCCGTTACCTCCTGCATTAGCAGGCGGGTTCTTTACCACTAGCACCACCTGGGATGTCTTCTCCATCAGTAGGTAAACCAGTTTGGAAGAGGTTGTCTCTCCCAAGCCAGCTAGAATCTCCTTCCAAGTATTTCTGACGTGTCCCCACGCAGACTGTGTCACCACACCTTGACGTCCCCCTGGGTATTTCTGCAGAAGAGAAAGCACAGCCGTGGTGTCTGTCAGCCACCCTTGGCAAAAGTCACACCACAGTCACAGTCAACATCCGAACGTTGACCCAGTCTTCAAGAAAAGGACTTAATCATTCTGGAAGATTCTCAGGGAGCTTAATACCTTTCTGAGTGCTATGTGTTTGAAGATCTCCAATGCTTCAAGCTAACCCTACATAGGACGGACGTGGTCTCATCTGTCCAGGAGAAAATCTTGAGCTCCTTCAAGCAAGTCCAGAGACCCAGGATTGACCAGAAGGCCATCCTCATGTTCCCTTTGGCTGTTGGTGGTGGTGGTCAGTTGCTAAGTTGTATCCGACTCTTTGCCAATCCATGGACCGCAGCATGCCAGGCTTCCCTGTCCTTCACCATCTCCCCGAGTTTGTTCAAACTCATGTCCATCGAGTCGGTGATGCCATCTGACCATCTCATTCTCTGGTGCCTCCTTCTCCTCCCACCTTTAATCTTTCCGAGCATCAGGGTGTTTTCCAATAAGTCTGTTCTTTGCATCACATGGCTAAAGTATTGGAGTTTCAGCTTCAGCATCAGTGCTTCCAAAGAATATTCAGGACTGATTTCCTTTAGGATGGACTGGTTGGATCTCCTTACAGTCCAAGGGACTCTCAAGAGTCTTCTCCAACACCACAGTTCAAAAGCATCCATTCTTCGGCGCTCAACTTTCTTTATAGTCCAACTCTCACATCCATACATGACCACTGGAAAAACCGTAGCTTTGACTTAGACGGACCTTTGTGGGCAAAGTGATGTTTCTGCTTTTTAATACGCTGTCTAGGTTGGTCATAGCTTTTCTTCCAAGGAGCAAGTGTTTTTTAATTTCATGGCTGCAGTCACCATCTGCAGGGATTTGCCAGCAAGGCATGAAGGAGACGGGACCTCCCCAGGGAAGCTCCAGAGGCGTGGGGACCTGGGGTGATGCGGGGCTTCGAGCTGGGTTTTGGGTGCACCACGGAGGCGGGCAGAAGGCACTCAGGTGGATCGACCGTAAACAGGCACGTGGGGAAGAGCTCCTCCTCGGAAAGGGCTCTGGATGCGGACGGAACAGGGCCGCTCACCCGAACGGCGCGGTCACTGCAGGAAGCGGTCCAGCTTCTCCTGAATGCGGGCGAAGGCGTCCTTCCCCAGGTAATCCATCCGCCCCTCCTCCCACTTTCTCCGCTCCTCCTCGGGGCTCGGGGCGTCGGGCTTCTCTTCGATGGAGATCTGGGAGACGGAAATGGTCAGGTCCACCTGGGGGAAAGACAAACCCACAGGGAGATGCTTGTGAGCCAGGAAGAGGGGGTTCTCACCAGACCCCAGACCTGCTGGTGCCTGAAACTGGGACACCCAACCTCCAGAGCTGAGAGAAGTAACATTTCGTGTTATTCGGCAGCCACGCAGACTGTGGTCTTTATTTGTTACAGCGGCCTCCACAGACCAAGGCACAATTAAGAAAACATCAATACCAATCTTATCCTCTGCCCAGCAGTTGGCTCTTGAGCTATATTTGCTCCGACTAATATCAACCCTGAATATCCACTGGAATGACTGATGCTGAAGCTGAAGCCCCAATACTCTGGCCACCTGATGGAAGGAGCCGACTCATTGGAAAAGACCCATGATGCTGGGAAAGATTGAAGGCAGGAGGAGAAGGGGACGACAGAGGATGAGATGGTTGGGTGGCATCACCGACTCGATGGACATGGGTTTGAGCAAAGTCTGGGAGACGGTGAAGGACACCCCTGTTTTTCACTATTGTCACTCCAGGGAAACCCCTGGCAGGCTGCAGTCCATGGACACGACTTAGCGAGTGAACAGCAACAACAACAACAAGAAGTGTTATTACATCATAGCTAGAAACATGAGCCATCAACTTGCTTAAATGCATCATCACAGAGCCTGAAATTTAAGACCAGAGCACCCGTAAAAGGTGGTCTTAGCAGGAAAGCATCTTTCATGTTCTTCTGCAAGAAGAAATCAATGCATGCTGGATTAGGATCAAAACATCTCCCCGCCCGTCGCTCCAGTTTCCCAGGTTTTACATCTGTGCATCATCTCCCAAGCTCAGGGTGCAGAAAACACAGCCCAGCCCCTTCAGGTCAATTAAACTCTGCAGAACAGCGTTGCAAGAGAAAACGGGCATGATGATCAGAGCTGAGGATAGGAAAGCAGGTGGACCGACTGCCAAGGGCAAAGGCCAGAGAGAAGCCAGGTGAATCTGAGACAGCGGGAGAAGAACGAAAGTTCTCATCTCAACAAGCAAGGTTGAAATCGAGGTAACACCCGTGCGTGGACACAGCTGGCCGCGGCAAGAGCCCACAGCGCCCATCACGGGAGCTGGGAGAGGTGAACGGCTGGGCAGGGGACACCACCTCTAGAGCGTCCTGGGGACGGGGGTCCCTGCTGACATCCGCAGGGGGCTCCCGGCTCGGTTCCAAGGTGTCCTCGGGTGGGGCACCTGCGGTGTTCTCCGCCCGCCGCTGGAAACAGAATTGTTGCATCGTTAGTCTGCAGGGGGCTTCCCAGAGCCAGAACGACAGAGAACTCTTTCTCTTTAGGATCAAACAAATGGGTCGTGCAAAAAAAAGAAAAAGCCATTTACGGGGACCCCTGCCCCCCAGTGGCCCAGTGGGTGGAATAGCAGTGGTTTAGTCACTCAGTCGTGTCCTTCTTGCTGCGACCCCGTGGACTGTAGCCTGCCAGGCTCCTCTGCCCATGGGATTCTCCAGGCGAGAATAATGGAGTGGGTTGCCATTTCCTTCTCCAGGGGATCTTCCCATGTCAGGGATCCAAACCAGGTCTCTTGCATTGCAGGCGGATTCTTTGCCCATTGAGCCCTGGTCCTCTGGTTGGAACGCCTCCTTTTCACTGCCGAGGGCCCTGGCTCAATTTCTGATGGGGAAACTAAAATCTCACACGCTGCTCAGCACAGTCAAAAGAATAAACAAACAAACAAAAATTTTTTTAAAGTCATTTGGTGTGATTTACTACTCTGAACTTTCNGCTCAGGGGTAAAGAATCTGCCTGCCAACGCAGGAGACATAAAAGACTCGGGTTTGATCCCTGGGTCGGGAAGATCCCCTGGAGGCGGGCACGGCAAGCCACTCCAGTGTTCTTGCCTGGAGAATCCCATGGACAGAGGAGTCTGGCGGGCTACAGTCCATGGGGCTGCAAAGAGTCAGGGACACGACTGAGCGTCTAATAATCTTCTATTCCTTCCTAAAGCAAGATAGAAGGGAAACTCAGGGATTTAGGCGGGCAAAAACCCAGGTGTCTTATCCACCTGGAAAGTAAAGTGGTTCATGAACAACACAACGGGGGGGAACCACTCAGAAATGTCACGGGATAGAGGAGAAACACATGGGGTGTCCCCTATGGTGGCCAGCCGACACAGGCGTTGTGTAAGAAGTCCGCCGCTGCGGGCGATGTGGGTTCCATCCCTGGTGAGGGAACTCAGATCCCCTATGTTGCATGGCGCAGCCATTAAAAAAAACAAAAAGGTGAGTGATACCGAACAGCTTTGGATCTCTGTGAGGTCTGCAAACTGTGGGGAAGGTGTTGACAACGGGTCACGTCGCACTCCAGCACAAGTCTCTATTTCTGGCCAACCTATCGTCTAAAAAAAAAAAGGTGAAAGCAAAGTTAGGACAACGCTTCAGGCAGATAACTAAAAATGCCTCATCTGTGTTCGCCTGCCTCTGCGGGTGCAAATACAGCTGAGCTAGAAGCAGGTCAAGGAGGTTCAAACCGGTCCATCCTAAAGGAAATCACCCCTGAATATTCACTGGAAGGACTGATGCTGAAGCTGAAGCTCCAATCCTTTGCCACCTGATGCAAAGAGCTGACTCATTGGAAAAGACACTGATGCTGGGAAAGACTGAAGACGGGAGGAGAAGGGGATGACAGAGGATGGGATGGGCGGATGGCATCACCGACTCAGACTGGGTGGTCAGGTGGCAGAGAGTTTTGCTCCCCCAGGGTCCCCGCAGGTCTGGTGATGGCCCCGTCCCATGAGGACCTCTTCCGATTTCAGCTGGAATGCCACAGGAAGACAAACCCCACAGAAAACCATGCAAGTGGCTCTTCTCGACTCTCCCCCGGATGGCACATGGTGAAGACCATCCCAGGGGGCAGGAGATAACTCAAGGCGTCACGGGCGACATCAGGTGGCTTCAGCGTGGAAGCCGAAATTGTTTCTCGAGGAACCGCCTTGGAAGGGGATGGAGCAGAGGAATGGCAGGAATCCTGGGTCATCGGATGACTGCGTAGGGCGGAGCACGCCTCTCTGCCCCCTCGGCTGGGCGTGACGCAGGCCAGGAGCTGACCTGTGTGTACTGGGGGCTGGGACTTTCCCGGGGGCTCAGTGGTAAAGAATCTGCCAGGAAATGCAGCAGACCTGCAGGAGACCTGATCTCCATCCCTGGGTGGGGAAGATCCCCTGGAGGCGGGCATGGCCACCCACTCCAGTAGTCTCGCCTGGAGAATCCCACGCACAGAGGATCCTGGTAGGCTGCAGTCCATGGGGCCGTAAAGACTCGGACACAACAAGGCCACTGTTTGAAATAAGCATCCCAGACCCGTCTCTTCCTTAGTTACAGGATTTATGAAAATAATCTCTCTTTTTTTTTTGGTGGGGGGTGGGTGAGAGGGGTGGAGGGTTCCCAATTCCCCAAATAAGGAACCCAGAGTGGGTCATTCACTAGATGGTCAGTAGGTGGCAGCAACGCAGAATAATTAATTGCCAAGATGCCTGCTGTGTCGTGCGGTCGCTAAGTTTGTGTTGGACTCTTTGTGACCCCCATGGACTGCACCCCGCCAGGCTCCTCTCTCCATGGGATTCTCCAGGCAAGAATACCAGACTGGGTTGCTATTGTCTTCTCCAGAAAGATGACCTTGGAGTGCAAAATAATGAAATATAGGCACAGACCCTATAAAAAGGACCCCTTCCTTATATCTCAGCTGGTAAAGAATCTGCCTGCAAAGCGGGAGACCTGGGTTCGATCCCTAGGTCGGGAAGATCTCCCCTGGAGAAGGGAAAGGCTACCCACTCCAGTATTCTTGGGCTTTCCTGGTGGCTCAGCTGGTAAAGAATCCGCCTGCAAGGCATGAGACCTCGGTTCGATCCCTGGGTTGGAAGACCCCCCGGAGAAAGAAACGGCTACCCACTCCAGTATTCTGGCCTGGAGAATTCCATGGACTGTGTATTCTGTGGGGTCGCAAAGTGTCAGACACCACTGACTGACTTTCACTTTCACGTCTTCTTGGGACTTAAATGTTTAATTAGGTTTTCTGCCCACTTCCTCCCCCAAAGTTTATTTTTTAAACATTTTTATTTTATTTGCTTTTGGACACGACTGAGTGACTTTCACATATACAAGCGCTATGACTTTCTCAATTTTAGACACACATGCTCATCGGAAAATAGTCAATAGAGACTTTCTTTCTTGTTTTTTTTTTCCCCCGGCCACACCTAACAACATGTGTGATCTCCCCAACAAGAGATTGAACCCAGGGCCCCCGGCAGTGGAAGCATGGAGTCCTAACCACTAGACCATCAGGGAAGTCCTGATAGACACATCCTTAAATGCTGATCTCTTTCAGAAACACACCCTGAAACAATGTTTCACCAGCTTCTGTGCACCCGTTACTCTGCTCAACTTGACTCATAAAACTAACCATTGCAACTCGAAAGGTTTTTTATTAGTTTTATTAATTTTTATTTATTTACATTAATATATTACTATACCATATTCATATTAATTTAGATTTATTTTAATAAAATGATTTCTATCTTATTTATTTATAATAATATACTGATATGACTATATTATTAATGTTTTATGGTTAATATATTGATTATTACATTAACCAATTATACTATATTATTTATATAAATTATGTTTGTATAGATTAATTTGTTAATCATATTAATACATTGATTAATATAACTGTATTAAATTATAATATATATTGCTATTTATATTTATCTATATTTACATTAATTTGTATTTTGGTTTTTATTTATAAATATAAAATTATATTTTATTTATATTTATGTTAATATATTAATATAATACATTATACAAATACATTTATACTTATTATTTAAATTATATAATCATTTATATAATTATTTCCTTTTATTAATTAATTAATTTATTTCTGAGAGATTGCCCACAGAGTCTGACTATCAAACATTTAACGCGAATGCCGACTCTTCTCAAAAAATCCGAACGGAAGGGCCCTACTGTATGGCAAACGGCATTATATTCAGTCCCTTGTGATATAACCTGTCATGGAAAACAATCTGAAAAAAAACAAATAACTGAAGCACTCTGCTGGACACGTAAGACCTAACACAATGCGGTCAGTCGAGTATAGTTCTTTTTTTTTAAATTCCCATTGCGGGTGTGGCTCCTGCAGGGAGCGGGGAGGTGGGTCTACAGGAGCGTAAGAGCTTAGTCCACAGAGTGTTCACATTCCTGCAAGGCGGATGCTTTCTGCTTAATCGACAAAGCCATTTCCTGGGGCCACAGCCAGGTGATGGGAAGACTTCGGGGTACAGCTGAACAAATTTCAAAAAAAATTTAGGAATAAGCTCACTTCCCAACCACCTCCATGGTGCAAACCAGGGTCTTTTTTTCTTTTTTCTCAATTTGTTTGGGTGGCTATGAATTCACAACTCCAAAATTCTACTAATGCATGGAAGCTGCCTGGACATCACCGATCCCATTGCTAAAGTGTAGAAGAGAAACGTCCCACAGGAACGTCAGCTAAAGATCGAAATGTCCGTTGTCTTATCATAATCAAGAAACAGCCCCCGGAAAGCTATTGGCGAGATGATGGGAAAGGACAACGTCCCTTCCACGAGGCCCCCAAATCCCACCCCCATCAGTGAAGTCATGCTAAGTCTCGAGAGCGACAAAGGGGTTTGAAAATGGCTTTTATGTGGCCGCCCGGATGGGAGGGGAGTTTGGGGGAGAATGGATGCATGTATATGAATGGCTGAGTCCCTACCCTCTGCAATTGGCTCTACACCAATACAGGGCTTCCCAGCTGGCTGTCGTGGCAAAGAACCCGCCTGCCCGTGCAGGAGACTCAGAGAGGCGGGTTCGACCCCTGCGTGGGGAAGATCCCCTGGAGGAGGGCATGGCGACCCATTCCAGTCTTCAGGCCTGGAGCATCCCATGGACAGAGGAGGCTGGCGGGGCTACGGTCCAGAGGGTCGCAGAGAGTCGGACTGAGCGGCTGAACAACGGCCTCCCCACCCTTTTGTGAGACAGCGGTCGTTATTATTGTCACTCATTTCTCAGATGAGCTGACAGGCGCCCGGAGAGGTTGGTAAAACTTGCCTCAGCTCACACAGCTCGGGCTGGAGGAGCCAGACTCTGATCTCAGGCTTTGGGCCTGAGGCCAGAGATTAATCACGACCGGCTTCCAGTACCACCTGNCAACTCATGGGAAAAGACCCTGATGCTGGGAAAGACTGAAGGCGGGAGGAGAAGGGGACGACAGAGGATGAGATGGTTGGATGGCATCACCGACTCAATGGACATGGAGCTTGAGTAGACTCCCGGAGTTGGACGGGGAGATCTGGCGTGCTGCCGTCCATGGGGTCCCAAAGAGTCAGACGCGACTGAACTGAACTGAACTGAACTGAACTGAACTGAACTGAATAGGTGTTAGAGGTTATACAAAGCAGATCAGGGGAAGACAAATACAATATCTATAAAATCACTTACTGTTTCAGCCGTGCCCGACTCTGCGACCGCATGGACTGCAGCACGCCAGGCCTCCCTGTCCATCACCATCTCCCGGAGCTTGCTCAAACTCATGTCCATCGAGTGGGTGATGCCAGCCAATCATCTCATCCTCTGTCGTCCCCTTCATTCCTGCCCTCAATCTTTCCCAGCATCAGGGTCTTTTCCAGTGAGTTGGCTCTTTGCAACAGGTGGCCAAAGTATTGGAGTTTCGGCTTCAGCATCAGTCCTTCCAGTGAATATTCAGGACTGATTTCCTTTAGGATGGACCGGTTGGATCTCCTTGCAGTCCGAGAGACGCCTGACCTCTCTACAAATCTCACTAACATCCACATTCACATGGTTGCTCCAGGTAGGAAGGACCCCATGGCACAGGTTCCCTACACGGCTCTCAACGTTTCATTTCTTAGAACCACCTGGATCTGCAACCCAGTACCGAGCACTGGGTCAGAAGTAAAGAAACTCGCCTGCAATGCAGGAGACACGGACTTGACCCCTGGGTTTGGAAGATCCCTTGGAGAAGGGAACGGCAACCCACTCCAGTATTCTTGCTGGAGAATCCCATGGACAGAGGAACCTGGCGGGCTACAGTCCACGGGGTCGCAAAGAGTCTGACACAACTGAGCGACTCTATTTAAAAAAGAAAACAGCCGAAGCAGACTGCTTGGCGGAAAAGAAAAGCAACTTGCCATCAGCGACAAGAATCTGAATAAACGCCTATGTGATCGTCTCCAATGGTCAGAGAAAGCTTTTTTTTTTCTTCTCCTCAATCTTTCGGCCACAATGTACAGCATGGGGAGTCTTAGTTCCCCAACCGGGGATCGAACCCTTGCCCTCTGCATTGGAAGGTGAAGTCTTAATCACTGGACCACTAGAGAAGTCGCAAGCAAGTTTTGGTTCTGATTGCAAAGTAGCACCCAGCTTCACCAAACAAAAACCGCAGTAAAAACACTAAAAAGTGAACTCTTTTTCAAGGTCCCAATGCATGGATTTGCAGACACTGGACTCCACTGTACAAATAAACATGCCTGTTAAAGACAGACCAAGAAAGAAAATTTCCCGGGACCTTACCTTAAAAGGTCTTTTGCCTGCCTACTGAAATTCACTGCAGAAACTCCAGTATGGAGCGCATGCAGCGTTTTACTTTAAAAAAAATCAAATGGGTGCCCATCCAGAGCTTGAAAAGCCCTCTTCAGACACCGCCTTCCACGGCCTCTTCAATCAAGGACAGAAAGTGGAAAATGCCCGCACCAACGGCGTGTGTAATCAGTCACTTCCAGCCACTTAATCAATGAGTGGCTCTTTCCCTGACGAAGCCGGGTAATTTAAATAATGATTTTGGCGTCGATTCGGTAAACCCAAGCCGCAGTTCTGCTCATGAAACATTCACGATTTTGCAACCCCCCCCAAAAAATAAATAAATTGCCTGCCTCTTTCAGCACCTTCCTACGTGAAATACAGGACATGAATACAGATGAAAAGTATCACAAGACGTAAAGCTTTGGTGGCTCCTTAATTTCCAACTATGGTCTTTATTTTTTGCGGTGAAATAACGCATCTTTCCTCGTCTAATTCCTCTCTGGTGTGTGTCGACATTATTTATTATCTTCTGATTCCCTCATTTTTAAGTAAACATGTCTATAAACGCTGAACTATTCCTGAACGTCCCTGGTGGTGCACTGGCTAAGACTCTGGGCTTCCCATGAGCGGGGACTGGGGTTTGATCCCTGGTCAAAGAACTAGATGCCACGTGCCGCGACGAAGACCTGGCGCAACCAAATAAATAAATACTTTTTAAAACTGAACTTTAAAAAATATTATTTCTTCTATTATTGTAGTCCTTGACAGATTTTGTTTTTCCTCTTCTAAAGGGAAAGGTTTTTTATCTTCCTCCCCCCCGCCAAACTGTCTTGAGATATAATTGACATACAATATTGTGTAAGTTTTAGGTATATAACATGTTGATTTGATACAATTATATTATGAAAAATGGTTACCACTTGATTTGAGGGGGGATGTAATTTACTTTATTGGAATGGAGAACTGTCAAACAGCTAACACCTTAACTGAAAACTATTTGTGAGGTCGTAAAACTATGTTATAATTTGAAGTCCAACTTCTTCACCCCAGAAAAAGGATCATAGTTAAAATAAGAAAATAAGTATTTGGATATTAGAAACAAAAAAAACTGTCAAATTTTTACCATTAAAAATGTGATCGGCACAAAAGTGGCCAATAGGTTAAAAACACAACATCTGTTAAGTACCACTTTGAAAGTGCCTTTCTTGGAAATAAGGATGTAGTTTACTATAAAAACAAAAATTTATGTAGAAAATCCGCCTCTGAAACGTTGACAGATTTTTTCTTTTTAAATGTAACTCAGTAATTGCTTATAATATCCTATATCTTGGAGAAGGAAATGGCAACCCACTCCAGTATCCTTGACTGGAAAATGTCATGGACGGAGGAGTCTGGCGGGCTACAGTCCATGGGGTCACAAAGAGTCGGACACGACTGAGCGACTCACACACATCCTGTATCTGTCTTTAAAGAAAAAAATTAGAAATGAGAAGAGAAATGAGAAGAACATGGGGGAGTCTGCCTTTGAAGAAAATGCCCAAGTGTGGCTCATAGAGAATTGATCCCCGGTGAAAAGAAATTTTCTCTTTCTTTTTAATCCCTGGTTTCAACTCCGGGGTTTCAGGATGCTTACCGCGTGACCTGGGGACCCCTGGTGGTCCTTGTTCCGGATAGTTTCACAAAGAGGCAAGATGCGATGGTGGTAAATTCCCCACCACTGGTTAAGGAAGGACGTCTGATGCTGGTCGGCCCGCCCGGAGCCCTCCTCCAAAACGGAGCCCGTCTGGGGATTGTACTTGTAGTTCCAAGGCTTCGAGGACCCCAGGAAGTGGACCACCTTCGCGCTGGAGCCAAATCTGAGGAGGAGACACACATGGAAAAAACATCTCGCTATCCTCTTGCGAGCGACCACGCCCAGAAAGCCAGGGACGGAGCCCCGTGGTGGCCCAGGGCTTAAGAATCTGCCTCTCAACGCAGGGGACACGGGTTTGATCCCTGGTCCCTGAAGATCCCACTGCCTCGGAGCAACAAAAACCCGAGATCAGCAAGTCTAGAGCCCGTGCTCCGCAACAAGGGAAACCACCGCAGTGATAAGCCCGGCACCCCGCCTGGAGAAAGCCCATAAGGCAGCAAGGAAGCCTGAGCACAGACAAAAATCAATAAAGTTAGAAAAAAAGAAAGCCAGTGACCACCACAGGACTCGTCACAGACAGCGAGGTGCAACCATGCACCTCGACGGCTCAGGGACCATCCTCTCATGACGGCCACTTAGACTTGCATTAAAAAAAATAATAATAATTGTTTATAGTCAGTCCACAGTGGCACTCTTTCATTTTTCTGTAGACCAAGGAACATAACCAAGACCCACTGGGATGCTCCCCACAACAGAAAGAATAAATCAGGAGTCTTAGAAAGGTGGGCGGTTTTGTAGCCCAAATCATCTCACCTTGAAAACGGTGACAGATTTAAAAAAAAAAAATAGATTTTATAGGAGAGAACGAAAACTGCAGACCAGAAAACTGGCTTCTTGGGCAAAATGGAAAATTTTCCCCTCTCGACTTTCGTCTTTTTATCGTTATCACCACTCGTACCAACCTCACAGTTTTGAAAACGTTTTTTTCTTAATTTCTTTGTTTTTTTTTAAATTTTTGTTTTTTTTTTCCCCCCCAGAGATCTATGTTCTGTATGGCCCACTGTGCCCACTCTGGGACTTTCCAGGAGTTAGGATTTTGCCTTCTAATGCAGGAAGTGTGGGTTCCATCCCTCACTGTTTAGTGTCCAACTCTTTACGACCCATGGACTGTAGCCCGCCAGGCTCCTCTGTCCATGGGATTCTCCAGGCAAGGAGACTGGAATTGGTAGCCGTTCCCTTCTGCAGGGGATCTTCCCAACCCAGGGGTCGTACCTGCATCTCCTTCATTGGCAGGCAGACGCTTTACCATGTGAGGCACCAGGGAAGCCCTCATACTCATAATTCATGTTGAGATTTGACAGAAAACAACAAAAATCTGAAAGCAATGATCCTTCAATAAGAAAATAAATTAATTAAAAAATATAGTCTATCTAAACTACATTTTCAAAAAATGTGTAGTTAAATCTATACCTTCCATATTTTCTTAGAAAATCTAACTGCAACTATATATAAAACCCTATTATTTTGAAAATGTATGAAAAGGGACACATCTTTCATATTTTTTCACAAACCGTAACTGTCCAAAAAACTCACTGTTTGAAAGCAGGACTGTAGGTGTACGTGGTATTGCTGCTCAAGTTATAGATGAAGGGCAAGTGCTTCTGGATGTCAGCGGTGGACCAGTTACTGAAGAAACTGTTCAGCAAGCCTTGGTCTGCCCCTAGAGAGTTACAATGCAGCCAAAGAAATTAATAACGAATGGTGTAGTTTTCGCCTCCCCGCACTGGGAGCTCGGAGTCTAAGCCACCGGACTGCCAGGGAAGTCCCTCAAACCCCATCTCTAACTTGCCATTCACAGGTTCGAGGTGGCGGGGAGGAAGTGCCTTGGGTCAAAGGGGTGGCCACAGCCCCAGTCTGGCCCACAAACGTCCAGCTGCCCCTCAACGTACCGTCAAAGCTGCCGTGGTCGGTGGCGTGCTGAAGCAAGAGGCCGTGCGTCTCCAGCGAGGGTTGGAAGACAAACACCCCGCTGTTGAAGCAATCCGGCCATCCAGGATCCGGGGCCGCAGAGAACTCCCTCCTGTCGAACAGCTCATCGATGTTGGCCAGCACCTGGGAGACAGAGCGTGGGGGGCCCGGACGACGTGACGGGAGGGAACCAGTCTGACCCCAGGTTGAATCTGGGTCTGTGACTTGAACTACTATACGCGACTGCTCCTGCTACAAGCTCATCACTAAAGGGATAAAGCACATGGCTTCCCAGCTGGCTCAGGGGTGGGTAAAGAGCCGACCTGCCAAGGCAGGAGACGCAAGAGGCGTGGGTTCGATCCCCTGGGCCGGGAAGCTCCCCTGGAGAAGGGAACGGCAACCCGCTCTAGTAGTCTTGCCTGCAGAATCCCATGGACAGAGGAGCCTGCGGGCTGCAGTCCATGGGGTCACAAAGATTCGGACACGAGTGAGCACACATGTCACTAAAGGGATGTTGCGCTTGAGCTTAAATGATACACAATGGCCCACCTCTGTCTCTAGGAACCCTGCCTCCAACAGAATGAGCGTTCAGCTAAACTTCCCTTGTTTAGCTCCCATCCTGACCAGGGCAAGTTCATCACGAAAGGGAATTTGCCTGCAAGCTTACAGTTGCTCAGTCACTACGTTGTGTCCAACTCTTTGAGCCCCCATGGACCATAGCCCGCCAGGCTCCTCCGTCCACGGGATTCTCCAGGCAAGAATGCTGGAGTGGGTTGCCATGCCCTTCTCCAGGGGATCTTCCCTACCCAGAGATCGAACCATGTCTTTTGTTACCTGAACATTCCTGATGAAAGTGTTTCAGTATTCACTTACGTAACGAATCACCATCCACAGGCATTACTTTCCGCAAAAATTCCCCGGTCAGTAATATGTTAACATACAAGTGAGAAATGCAACAGGAACTTCATGATGACCCAGATGGGACATTTATACCCAATTTTTTCAGTGACCCTCTTCTTTGAGGTTTATATTCCAAAGAGAAGAATGTGTGTATAAGATGGCTCCCTCATTTTATTTCAAGGGATTGAAGCAACACCATCTGTGAAACAAAATTATCTTTGACAGGTTCTTAAGATCGTCTGTGGAACACTTGAACACTTAATTAGTTGTATTTATTCTCTTTCATCTAGCAAACATAACCGACAAGATGGAAATCCATGAACATAGTGGTCTGCAAGTCGATACATTGATGTGTGTCGCTCAGTCGTGCCCGACTCTTTGTGACCCCGCAGATTGTAGCCCACCAGGCTTCTCTGTCCATGGGATTCTCCAGGCAAGAACACTGGAGTGGGTTGCCATTCCCTTCTCCAGGAGATCTTCCCGACCCAGGGATTGAACCTGGGTCTCCTGCAGTGCACGAATATTCTTTACCATCTGAGTCACCAGGGAAACCCCAATTTATTGATGATATGCTCTTAATTGTATTTATTCTCTTCCATCGAGCAAATGTGACCTACGAGACTGGAAATCCACAAACATGGAGGTTTGCAAGGCCATATGATATCATCCACTGCCTGTGAGAGCTTGACCACTAACAGCACTCCTTTCCAACACACCTATTGGCTTTAGAAATTGTGCTCATGTTTGGAAAAAAAAATATTACTGTGATTGTTCCTCTGTTCTGATTTTCCTCTGCACCCCTCCATCTTCCTACACTGCTTTTGCACAACCAAGACAGCCCAGAGCGGATCTCCAACACTCCAACCTCATGTCACATCTCGACGTTCCAATGGCTGTTTCTGAACGCACCTGACCAGGGCTCCCACAGCAAGGCTCGCTACCCCGAACGACTACAGTGGGGATGCCATAGCTTAAGAAGCCAGGTTTCCAGGCCCACGAGGACTGTATAATTCACGGTACAATCACAGAAGAGTATTGTTCCAATATTTTATTTTGTGTAGATGACATAATGAAATAACTCGTCCCAGGGAAGGAACAGGCCTTCAAGTAACCAAGTGTTCTCAGTAACACCACTGGGTGTCTTCTACTCGATGTTGACTGACTAAATGATGTTGGGTGTAGAGATGGACATTACCTCGTGGGGATCCACCAGCATGGGCTAGCAGCCTGCTAATGGAGAGAGGGGCCTGATCTTTGAGTGGGTGGCTCCTCATCAAGCACAAGGTCTGGGCCTCCCCCTCCTCCATACTCACCAGGGTGTCTGCATCCAGGAAGACACATTTGCTGTAATGGGTGAGCGTCCAGCAGTGAAGCTTGGTGAGAGTGATTCCGAGGTCAGGTCTCTTCAGAAAGGCCAGGTGGACGTAGTCCGCACTGTCTATTAGGTTCACCTCGATGACCTCATCAAACACCCTTGAGAGGATAACCCTGGAAAAAGACAGGCCAAATTCTAGGAGACCAGGAGACCCTTTAACACAAGATATTCTGTCCCTTGTGGCTCACATTTCATTTTGCTGGAGTATATGCTGAAGTGTTTTTCTCTAAAAGGTTCTGGAGGGATAAAAATCCTTGTACAGATACATGTGCTCAGTCGTGTCCATCTCTTTGCAACCCCATGGACTGCAGCCTGCCAGGCTCTCCTCTGTCCATGGGATTCTCCAAGCAAGAATACTGGAGTGGGTTACCATTTCCTCCTCCAGGGGATCTTCCAAACTCAGGGATCAAACCTACATCTCTTCCGTCTCCTCCAGTGGCAGGCAGGTTCTTTACAACTAATGCCAACCAGGAAGTTGGGGGAAAAAAACATGAAATTTTTTTGTTTTTTTTTTTTCTGCAAGCATTTTACCTCAGAAAGACTATCTTTCTGTCAAATTTTACCACAGAAGGTCCTTCTTCCTGCCAAATTTTATCTCAGAAACGCCTTCTGTGAGATTTTATCTCAGATCCTCCTATTGTCTGTCAGATTTTTGCCTCAGAACCGCCTAGTTTCTGTCAGATTTTACCACAGAGACCTCGAGTTTCTGTCAGATTTTACCTTATAATGTTCATCTTTCTGACAGATCTCACCCCAGAATGTTCATCTTTCTGTCAGATTTTACCCCGAACCCCCTTGTGTGTCAGATTTTACCTCAGAACACCCTTGTTTTGTCAGATTTTATCTCAGAAACCCCTACTCTCTGTCAGATTTTACCTATGAACCTCCTTCTGTCAGGTTTTACATCAGAACCCCCCAGTGTCTGTCAGAATTTGCCTCAGAACCCCCAGTTTCTGTCAGATCTTACCACAGAGACCTCTAGTTTCTCTCAGATTTTACCTTCCAATGTTCATCTTTCAGTTACATATTACCTCAGAACCACCCCCCCCCCAACAGTCTCTGTCAGATTTTGCCTCAGTCTATCAGCTATATTTCAATAAAAATGTAAGAGAAGTAACAATGCTTTAACTTAGCTCAAGATGTGGGCTTCCCGGGTGTCTCAATGGTAAAGAACCCGCCTGCTTATGCAGAAGACACTGGTTCGATCCCGTGGCTGGGAAGATCCTCTGGAGAAGGGAATGGCTACCCATTCCAGTAGTCTTGCCTGGAGAATCCCATGGACAGAGGAGCCTGGCGGGGTACGGTCCATGGGTCGCAAGAGTTGGACATGACTCAAGGAGTGTGCACGCATGTGGACTAGTAGGACGGTTGCTTCTCAAAGTCCCCCACTCCGCCCGGACCCCAAAACAATGACACTGATTTCCACATCTGAGGCAAGGAACTATTCTACACACACGTGGCGCTGCGTGCCAGGATTCTGAAGTCGGCCACGCACCCGGCGGAGCCCCTTCCTCTAACAACGACCGCAAGGCCCTCTGCGAGTGTCCAGGGCCCCCCACGTGTGCGCCGGTCCAAGCTCACGGACCACGGCCGAGAACCTCCTCCAGCTTCCACGTCAGAAGAACCGGGTGTGCGTGTGACTCATACCTGAGCGGGTTGGACACCTGAGGCGTGACCAGCACCACCAGCCTCCTGGTCGCCCTGTGCTCCCGGAGCGACTGCCCCAGCACCAAAGCCCCCTGGCAGTAGACGTCGTTGGTGGCCAGCGTCACAAATGCCTGGTCGGACACTGTGGACAGAAGCAACCGGGTTATGCTCCCGCCTGGTCTCGGGGGTCAGCGGTGGGACTGAGCGTCACCTCTGACTCTCTCAAGCTTCGCGACGCGGACTGAACAAGAGTTTCGCAGGTGGCCCCAGCGGTAAAGAACGTGCCTGCCCGTTCAGGGGATGTNTTTGATTCTGCATTCAAGTCTCAAAAACTCACCCAAAACTTTTGGGTCTCGGGTGAACACAAAGCCAAAGGTAGAAACAACGCTCAGATTGATCTGAGTTACCACGAGGATTCCCACCCAACTTGCCAAGAGAACTGGGCTTTCAAAAGGAAACGGCCAGACCTATTAATTAAATCCCACATGCCCCAGTCGTTGGCAAGACTTCAACTCAAGGGTGTATGAAGCCAAGGAGACGGGCTTCAGAAGGGAAAGGAAGACTGCTTCATTCAGCAAAAACGCCCTGTTTCCCCACTGTCTCCGCAGCAGGGAAGGAAACTCCCACAGCCGATGGGACTGAAGGCACTTCCAAGTGCGAAGAACGCGTGATGTGGACGTTCACAGGGAATTTTAAGCCGCTTGATTCTGAGGTCCCCAAGAGCGAGCCGGCCGCCGGGACGAAACCAAGGGGGGATCAGGAGACCCGGGCCTTGGCTCCCGAGCTCTCGACAGAAATTAACATTCGCAGCATCTGGTCTGGGGCTGGAACACACACAGCCCAGTTCTCCACGGCCAGACAGAGCTGCCCTGTGGCCCCTGCATCCTCCCCGCCTCCAAAGACAAGGTCACCCGGAAAAAATAGCAGGACCCAAGCCTTCCGAGCCCGTTTTCCCGTCTTAACCTTGGCATTCTGCTGGGGTGAGTGCCCACCGGCCCAAGGAACTCCTGTCTACCCCTGGCTGCGGTTCTTGGATTAAGGAGAACTTGAGGATTCCTGGCATCTCTGCTGTGAGTTATTACCGACAGGGGAACTCAGAACTCAAGTCTGCAGCCCCAAAGATGGCTGTCTACTCATCCACCCAGCTATCATCATCTATTAACATTAAGAACATCCGTATAGGAAATGGCAGCCCACTCCAGGATTCTTGCCTGGAAAATCGCATGGACGGAGGAGCCTGGTGGGCTACAGTCTGTGGGGTTGCAAAGAGTCGGACATGACTGAGCGACTTCACTTTCTTTCCCTTTTTTTCTTTATCCACCTATTTATCTACTTACTTACCTATCTTGATATCTACATATCCTCTATGCATCTTATCTGTCACCTATCATTATCTATTAATATTGATAACATCTATCTATCCATGTGTTTATCATCTACTTATTTATCATCTATATTTATGTATCCTCTATCCACCTTACATGTCATCTATCATTATCTATTAATATTAACAACATCTAGCTACCCATCTATTTATTAGGGCTTCCCAGGTGGCGCTGGTGGTAAAGAACCCGCCTGCCAATGCAGGAGACATAAGAGACGCGGGTTCGATCCCTGGGTGGGGAAGGTCCCCTGGAGGAGGGCATGGCGACCCGCTCCAGGCTTCTTGCCTGGAGAACTCCATGGACAGAGGAGCCTGGCAGGCTACGGTCCGTGGTGTGGCAAAGAGTCAGACACGACTGAAGCGCCGAGCACGTACGCACCCACACTGAAAGGCCGAGTTTCCACGCACGGGGTGTTAGGGTGGGGACGTCTGGCATGGAGCACAGACAGGTCTGGGGGCTGTCCTCTAGCCCCACGTTGAAAAAGAAAAAAAACCCCAAACATCTCCCAAAGTGGACTTCACCCTGCAGATGGCGGCAGCTGTCGGTTTTATGAGGGGTCGGGAAGAAATGTTTACTCCGATTCCTCGCCTCCTTCCCCCCCACCACCGCCCACCTAGCAACCACTCCCCCAAAATAACACCGCTGGCTTCCTCGGGGGCCCCTCCGCTTCCACTCAAAGGCGCGTTTTGTTCCCGGCCGAGCGCTGAATCCCCAGCGCGCTCCCCGCAGCACGCTGCCCAGCCCGACGGCCATGGGTCCCAACGCCCCTCCTGAATGCCACCATTTATACAGACCCTCGCCGGCTTCCAGAAAAGGCGTATTTTTTTTTTTTTTTTTTTTTTTGAGAGCTCCAAGCCACTCCCTGGAACACACATCAACGGAACCTTCTGGCTTACAGCAGGAAATCGGCCCAAACAACTCTGCCTCTCTAAGGCACGGAGGTGGAAACCAGTTGGGAAGCCGCCTGGTGACTTCTTACCAAATCGCTCCTCTGAATAAAAAGCAACCTGAATTTTTTTTTTTTAATGCTCTCATGAATGATCAGGCCTGACTTGGTGCAAGAAGAGACTGTCTTCATGATAAACAACAAAACAAAACAGGAATGAGCAGGAACTCCCCGGCAGGCAAGTGGTTAGGTACGGCTTCCCCGGTGGCTCAGTGCTAAGGAATCCGCCTGCCAGTGCAGGAGACAGGGGTTCGATCCCTGGTCCAGGAAGCTTCCCTGGAGAAAGGAATGGCAACCCACTCCGGTATGCTTGCCTGAATTCCCATGGACAGAGGAGCCTGGCGGGGCTACGGTCCATGGGGTCGCAAAGAGTCGGACAGGACTGAGACACTTAGCACGTACTCAGGGAAGCGGTTACGATGCCAAGCTCTCCCAGCTGGGGGCCCAGATTCCACCCGTGGTCGCCAAGGCAAAATCCCACAAGCCGGGTCAGGTGGCCAAACCAGCCCTCTTCCCCACAGGAAAAAAAAAAATAAATAAATAACAAAACAGACCAGGACAGACATCTTTCCCATGGGAGAAGGTTACATTTTATCATCCCATTTCTAAGCCTCTGAGGTCCACTGTCCCAATAAGATGTCCCCGCCAAACCCGAGGGCGGGCAGACGGGACGCAATGGAAGCCCTTGGGAGTCAGCGCTTGCCACAGCCATCTCACCAAAGTCAGCCTGCTGCCCTGCAGCGGGGATTAACCCCGGATCTTTATACGGGAAGAAGCAGCTCTGTCTCTGGTCTGACCGTGGTGAAGACCAAAGACGCTCTGTCTTCCCAGAGTTTTAGGACCGTGAACTTCCCATGGTTCTGCATGGCAGTAAGCACACAGTTCCGCGCCTGCCAAGAAAAGGGTCCACCCAGCCTCCAAGGGCTAAGCTTTCACAGAAGGAAAATTACCAAATCTCAGTGCCCCTTGACCATCTTTGTTGAGGGCAGGAGGAGAAGGGGGCAACCCAGGACGAGCCCCTTGGATGGCAGCACCGACTCAACGGATGTGAGTTTGAGCAAACTCGGGGAGATGCTGATGGACAGGGAGGCCTGGCCCGCTGCAGTCCACGGGGTCGCCAAGAGTCGGACACGACCGAGCCAGTGAACAACAGCCACAAGTGTCCCCCCACTGCCGCTGAGACCCCCCCCTGTCGTCGCCAATCGCACCAAAGGACACCAAGCTCTCCAGCCCCCGGGGTGAGCGAGGGGCTGGGCGGATACAGCCCCGTGGGCGCTGAGGAGTGTGGGGACCACCTTGTGCGGGCAAAGCGGGGAGGTGGGGGTCCCCCCCGCCCCCGGCGCAGTCCGTCTCACCCGGGCTAGCAGAGCGCGGAGGCTGGCCGCGAGGAGGGTTCTCCGCTTACCGGGCATGGTGTGGGCGCAGCGCGCGGTGGGCACCACGCGGCCGAGGGCGCCCGGGCGCGGCGGGCGGCCTCTCTGCTGGGCTCCAGCCGCCGAGCAGAGCGGAGGCGTTGTCTGCGTCTCCGGGGGCCCCACCCGCTCCGAGTTCGAGGCCTGCGGAGACAGCTGGGTGTTCCGGATACCCGCACCGCCCCACGCCCCGGCCCCGCCTGAGTCAGCTCAAGTCTCCACCGCGCGCAGGGGCAGCCGCGGGCCTGCCGCCGCCTGGGCGCCCCCGGGTGTCCTCAGGGTCCCCCCGCCGCGCCCGGCACTGGCTCCAGGCGCCCCCCCATACACACCCCCATCCACTGCCCAGACTTCAGCGGCCTCGCTACGCCCCCGACACTGAGCACTCCTTTCACCGCGCGCCCAGCCGTGCGCCCCGCCCCTCTCTGAGCTTCTGCGCTCTAGCAGCCCAAGTGCACCCCCAATCCGCTCCCGGGCCCCCCCACCCCGAGCGCCAGGCTGCAACCACGCCTCCGGAAGCTTCCTCCGCCCCCACCCCTCAGCCTTCCACGCCCCAACGGCCCGCCCCTCCTCCGAGCTCCGGGAGCACTGGGTCTCCGCCGCGCCCAGGCCGCCCCCACGCGGTGCGCTGGGGCAGCCCCGGCCTAGGCCTGCATCCCCGTTCCCGGCCCCCGATCGTCGGCGGCGCCCCCCACCTTCTCCGCGCTCCTGAAGTTGCTGGCCCGGGGTGGGCGGGGCGGCGCGCGGCCGGGAGGTGGGCGGCTCTCGGGAAGGTCAGCTCCGCCCCCGGGCGGGGGTCCTCCGCAAGGTCGGCCCCAGCCGCGCGCCCCAGGCCCCCCCCCCTCCCCCGGAAGGGAGAGCCTGGAGGCGGACACCCAGGCCTCCGCGTCCCGATCCCTCGGCCTCCTCCCCGCAGAATCCAGGCGTCCGGGGCGTCCTGGCTCTGAAACCTCTAACCTTTAACCCGCCGCCCCCAAAGTCAATGTTGGTACTGGCCTCAAGGGCCGGGCCCCAGGCCAGCACGCGGCCCAGGGCAGAGGCCGCCCTGGAAACGTGACCGTGTGGAGGGAACGTGCGGTGAGCGGAGGAGGCGCGCGCGCGGGGCGTGGAAAGTGCGTGGGTGCGGCGTGGACGGTGCTTGGGCGCAGGAGAGAGGGACTGATCTGAGCCAGTGATGGAGAGAAGCGTTAACACGGGCGGATGAACCTGATAGAGAAAGGAGAGAACAGTTATGAGTGAATGCATACCTAAGTGAATGAATGAATGAGTTCCCGTGTGCCTGCCAGAATGAATTAATGAATGAGTTCCCACGTGCATGCCTGAGTGAATGACTGAGTTCCTGCGTGCATGCCTGAGTGAATGAATGAATGAGTCCCCCTGTGCACACCTGAGTGAATGAATGAATGAGTCCCCATGTGCCTGCCTGAGTGAATGAATGACTGAGTCCCCGTGTGCCTGCCGGAGTGAATGAATGAGTCCCCGTGTGCCTGCCTGAGTGAATGAATGAATGAGTCCCCCTGTGCACACCTGAGTGAATGAATGAATGAGTCCCCATGTGCCTGCCTGAGTGAATGAATGAATGAGTCCCTGTGTGCATGCCTCAGTGAATTAATGAACGAGTTCCCGTGTGCATGCCTGCCCGAATGAATGAATGAATGCCTGCAAGAAGGGGTGAGTGCGTGAATTCGTGAATGAGCTGGTCTGCTAGAGTGGGTGAGTGGGTGAATTAATAATTCATGGATGCCTGAGTGCATGCGTTAACTAACCACACACATGGCAGAGGAAGCAGATTGCTTTGGCCCAGAGGGAAGGAGAGGGTTAAAGAAGCCGCATTCCAGGTTGGGGAGGGGGCTGGGGGGTGCTTCCTGGCACTTTCTCCTGCCTTGGGGGAGAAAATGAGACCCTTCCAGGCCAAGTGAAAACGAAGTCCTGGAGGAGGCAGATTCCTTCCGGCCTCATCCCTGAACCCACCCTTTCATTTCGGTTTGCAGCTCAGAAAGCATCCAAGGAATTCCACGTTCTACCCAACCCTCGGGAGATCCAGGAAACACCACGAGGCGGGTTGATAGGTCTGGAGGAAGTAGAGACCACCCCCTCCCACCCACGGAAGCCGGACACCCTAACCTGCGGTTCGCTCGAGTCCTCGTCCCCCAGCTTTTGCTTCCACGGGTCACAGCATCTTCTGGGACGTTCTGACAAACAGTCCCAGCTCTCATTACACCCCTAGCCTCAGGAAACTGCGTATTGGGGCCAGTACCCTCTGTCAACAAGCTTCGCTCCCCCTGGTGGGTTCTGATTGCTGACGTGTGGGCTTGGGATGGCTGGAGCGCCCTGTGGCTATGGCACGGGGGAAGTAGGTGGGAGCCAGAGACAGCAACTCAGGGAAACTGTAGAGATGTTTGTGTCTGTTCTTTTTTCCAGTTGCCCTGTCTGTTTCATATTGCCAGCGAGTGTACGGAGCTGCTTCAGTCGTGTCTAACTCTCTGCGACCCCATGGACTGTAGCCCGCCAGACTCCTCTGTCCATGGGACTCTCCAGGCAAGAACACCAGAGTGGGTTGCCATGCCCGCCTCCAGAGGATCTTCCTGACCCCGGGCTCAAACCCAGGTCTCCCACAGTGCAGGCAGATTGTTTCCCCGCTGAGCCCCCAGGGATGCCCATTGTATATGCATCAGTCTCAATTTCACACTTTATCCCACGCTCGGTTTCTGCTTTGCAAATACGTTCATCTATGCCCTTTTCCTGGATTCCACATGTATGCATTAGCATACAATGTTTGTCTTTCTGACTTACTTCACTCTGTATAGACAGTCTCTGGGTGCATCACATCTCTGCAAATGGCACAATTTCCTTCCTTATTATGGCAGAGGTATGTAGTCCATCCTAAACGAAGTTAATCCTGAACATTCATTGGAAGGACGGATGCTGAAGTGAAGCTCCAATCCATTGGCCACCTGATGCAGAGAGCCAACTTAATGGAAGAGACCCTCATTCTGGGAAAGATTGAAGGCAGGAGGAGAAGGGGACGACAGAGGGTGAGATGGTTGGATGGCATCACCGACTCCATGGACAGGAGTTTGGGTAAACTCTGGGAGCGGGTGATGGACAGGGAGGCCTGGCGTGCTGCAGCCCACAGGGTCACAAAGAGTCGGACACGGCTGAGTGAACAATAGCAGCAAGCAGAGCAGAAGGCGGTCAGCCACAGGCAATCCTCCTGGATCTCCGGGCAAAAGCTGGGTCCATTTTTAAACCCGGAGCAGACATCCTGCCGTGGGCGCGGCTGGGTTCCTTTGCGGGTGGGGGGCGCTATCCAGGAAGCCAGGTGACCTGTGGGCGCCGTGAGCCCAAGGCGGTCTCTAGTCTCGGGTGCCTCACAAAGCATGTTTGCTGATAGCAAAACCGAGGCTGCATTCTCCCAAGACGTTGTTCGGAGAAAATGAGTCTTTGGTTGCTACATCACATGCAATGTTGTTGGCAAGTTACAGGGCTCTTTGTGAGACATAGTTCAAGCCTAGCAGCTAGAAAAATACAGCAACCGGCTGAGTTGCTTGCCGCATTTTTGTGATGAAAGCCTTGTGAATAACCTTGACAGGCAAGCAGGAGAACGAGAACAAACTCCACAGTGTGTATATATGCTTCCTTCTGTGTGTGCACCACGATTGCAATTATATATCCATATTTTAGGGCCTCCCCGGTGGTTCAGCAGTAAAGACTCCGCCTGCAATGCAGGAAACTCGGGAGACACGGGTTCGATCTCTGGGTCGGGAAGATCCCCTGGAGGAAGGCATGGCAGCCCACTCCAGTATTCTTGCCTGGAGAATCCCACGGACAGAGGAGCCTGGCGGGGCGGGGCCACAGTCCAGGGAGTCGCAGAGAGTCGGAGGCGACTGAGCGACTTTCACTTCGCTGCTGTTTGCCACTCGTGGCTCTAGGAGTTACAGACACATCCGTGCTTTTAACAAATGTATATTCTAGTCGGGGAGGTGGGGAGAAGCCAGGCAATTTTGAAATTGAAACAGTTGAAAGTCATACTTTGTAAGGTGTTGGAAGTGGATACGGGAGACAGAGAGAGAGAGACCAAAAGTCTGAGCAGAGGAGGTGGGCGAGAAAGTGCCCTTGGCCACAGTAGCAATGGTCTCATCTCTCTTTGGTTTACAGCCAAAGGTGAGAGAGCCAGATGGTGCCCCAGCCCTCCACTCCAGCGGCAAAGTGTTCCGTTTGTCAGTCCAAGCTGCTGTTCAGTCGCTCAGTCGTGTCCGACTCTGCGACCCCATGGATCACAGCACGCCAGGCCTCCCTGCCCATCACCAACTCCCAGAGCTTGCTCAAACTCATGTCCCTCGAGTCAGTGATGCCATCCAACCATCTCATCCTCTGTCGTCCCCGTCTCCTCCCGCCTGCAATCTTTCCCAGCGTCAGGGTCTTTTCCAAGGAGTCAACTCTTTGCATCAGGTGGCCAAAGTGTTGGAGTTTCAGCTTCAGCATCAGTCCTTCCAATGACTATTCAGGACTGATTTCCTTTAGGATGGACTGGTTGGATCTCCTTGCAGTCCAAGGGACTCTCAAGGGTCTTCTCCAATACCACGGTTCAAAAGTATCACATCCAAGTACTGCTTTTATTCTGAGTTGAGGGGAGTTTGGGACATCTTTCCATCCATGGGCCATTTATGGAGCCCCAGCTATTTGTGGACAGGCAGTTATCTTTGCCACACACCTGTTCTAGAAGGGGGAGTGGGGTGGGAGGGAGGTGGCCAGGATAAAGGACAGACGGCTGCGAGGCACAGCTGTGCTCATAGCTACGCTGGATTCCGGAGAACACGCCGCGTTTATATTTGGAACTCTGGGGGACAAGCCTCTGTTAGGAGGACGGGACTTGGGCGGACGCCAACCCACACCCACTGAAGCCTGTCAACACCCAGGCCCAGAATAGTGTGTGACGTGAAATCAGACAAGCTGATTCTATTATTCCCTCTAGAGTCTGACCTGCACATAAGTGCTCACGGGATGGGGCTGGCACTTGGACACCTTGATCCTGTTTTCACGTTTCGCTGCATCTTCTCTGTTTGCTAGGAAATCTCATGAGACTTTTCACCCACGAGAATGGGCTTCTTGTGGCTCAGACAGAACTTGCGTTTGAGCACGTTGTGTCTCCGAGGAAAGCAAGAGGGTGGCCCAGTGGTTAGCGGTCTCTAATGGAGAGGACGCAGGTTCCATCCCTGCTCAGGGAACTGAGATGGTACATGCCGTGGAACAGCTAGACATCCCAAGTGCCACAACTAGAGCAAGGCTGAGCAGTGCAACAAAGACTCGTAGCAGCCAAAAGTTGAAAAAAAAAGTTTTTTAATTTCAAAGAAAGAAAACAGAAAAGGCACTGAATTACCCCCACCGAGACTAACGCTTATTCTAAAACCACATGGCAGATGGTGACTGTTTCCAGATGTATGGGCTTCGCAGGTGGCTCAGTGGTAAAGATCTGCCTGCAATGTTGGAGACTCAGGAGACACGGGTTCGATCCCTGGGTCGGGAAGATCCCCTGGAGGAGGGCATGGCAGCCCACTCCTGTGTTCTTGCCTGGAGAATCCCACGGACAGAGGAGCCTGGGGCTACAGTCCATGGGGTCACAGAGAGTCGGACAGGACTGAGTGACTAATACTTTCAGTTTCAAAGGAGTTATTCTAAGAAGCCGGATGGTTAATGCCGTTTGCAGAGACATGGCTGGACCTAGAGAGTGTCACACTGAGTGAAGTCAGAGAAGGAAAAATGTGGTGTGGCATCCCTTACGTGTGGAATCTAAAATGAAGTGGTACAAATGAACTTAGAAGACAGAAAGGGACTCAGAGACTTAGAGAAGGCGCTTATGGTTGAGGGGTAGGAAGGATGGGGGGAAGGGAGAGTCAGGGAGTCTGGGATGGACATGGACACGCTGCTGTATTTAACATGGACAACCAGCAAGGACCTGCTGGACAGCTCAGGGAACTCTGCTCAATACTCTGTGAAAACCTGATGGTCACCAGGGGGAAGGATGGGGGAAGGGACAGTCAGGGAGTCTGGGATGGACATGGACACACGGCTGTGTTTAACATGGAGAACCAGCAAGGACCTGCTGGACAGCTCAGGGAACTCTGCTCAATACTCTGTGATAACCTGATGGTCACCAGGGGGAAGGATGGGGGAAGGGACAGTCAGGGAGTCTGGGATGGACATGGACACGCTGCTGTGTTTAACATGGAGAACCAGCAAGGACCTGCTGGACAGTCCAGGGAACTCTGCTCAATGTCACGTGGCAGCCTGGATGGAAGGGGAATTTGGGGGGGAATGGATACATGTCCATGTATGCCTGAGTCCCTTGGCTGTCCGCCTGAAGCCATCACAGCATTCTTTGTTAATTGGCTATACTCCGAAACAAAATAAAGGTTTTTAAAAATAATGAAGCTAATATTTATGGCGGTGGGGGGTGAAAGAAGCCAGAGGGTGCAAATAAAGAGAGAATTGAACAACAAAAGGTTAGGAAACATTTGCTGAAAGTAGAGATGGTTCTGCTACACACGGTGGCTCCTTCCATTTGAAATACCGGAGATGCTGGAAATCTTCTTGAACGTGGATCCCAAGGGGTTTCAAAGAAACTGATTTCTGAGCACAGATAAAGGGAGTCCTCCAAACCTACGCCAAAAAAAAGCCAACAAATCTAGACTGAATTACCCGAAGGAGGATAAGAGAACAGAAGCGCGCACATATTCTGTGAAACGGTTCTCAAAATGAACAAGACTCACCGCAGTCAGAAGAAAACACAATTTGAAAGTCAGATTCCGTCACGTCAGCAGAAACATATGGTCCCTCAGAGAGCTGCTCTCCCCCAGATATATACGTGTGTAGACAGTGAGCTGTCGCAGAATGTTAAATGTCTAGTGAATTTGCCGTGGAAAGAAAGAGGAAAGTCCCTCCAGAGCCACTGTGAAGATCAGCTGTGCTCGTGGCATGCCACACGCCTACAGAATCCAAGCAAAAATACTCGAAAAAAAATTCAGAAAGAACTCTTTTCCCCCAACTTTACTGAGATATATAATCGACACGTAACATTGTAGAAAGTTAAGATGTACATTGGGATGATGATACACTTCAGTGGGATGATGATACATTTCAGTGGGATGACCGTGGCAGCTACTTTTCAGTGGGGTGAGCACCGTGGCCTTGTCTGACATCTCCACCCTGTGACATAATTCTTTCTTTCTGACGCGAGAATATTTAAAATCTTTCAAAATACAGGATACAGTTCCTTGAGGGCTCCAGGGGTAAAGAATCCGCCTGCCCATGCAGGAGACTGCAGTTCCATCCCTGGGTTGGGAAGGTCCCCTGGAGAAGGAGATGGCAACCCACTCCAGGATTCTTGCCTGCAAATTTCCATAGACAGGGGAGTCCCGAGGGCTACAACCCATGGGGCTGCCAAGCGTTGCACACGACTTAGCGGCTGAACACCCACAGCCTCATCACCCTTTGGGAAGCCAGATGCCACTAACACCCGCTTTCCAGATGAGAGGACTGATGCTCAGAGAGGTTACACAACCTTCCTAGGGTCACACAGCTCAACTTGGAGAAGCCAGACTGTGATCTCACNAGGGTCACACAGCTCAACTTGGAGAAGCCAGACTGTGATCTCACACTTTGGGCGTCAGTTCAGAGTTTAATCATGCCTGGCTTCCTGTGTCACCTGTATAGACAAGCTAGATGCATTCCTCATTCTCGCTTTTAAATTAGGAAAAAAAAAAAAACCACCCCACAACTCCGTACCCAAAATGCATTCATTTATGTATGACTTTTAAGGATGTGTTTAACAGAATCCCAAAAAAGCTGGGCAGATATATCAAACAAGAAATATGTATCTTATCCCAGGTTAAGAGTCTGGAAGTCCAAGACCAAGGGGCAGGCAGGCAGGCACATCCTCTGAAAGTTACACGGGGCTCTGTCCCGGCTTGCGATAGCGCTTCGCCTTGTGGCTTGTCCACTCTGAGCCACTCAGGTTCTTCCCCTGGTGTCTCTCTGTGTGGCTCTGAATTTCCCCTCTTAGAAAGACACAGCTCATATTGCTTTAGAAGCCATCCTCCTGTTCCAACTCATCATCTTAAGTGATCACAACTGTCCCCAATCTATTGACAAATAAGGTTCCACTCTGAGATCCCACGGGTCAGGGCACCAGTGCATGAATGTGGTAAAGAATCAACTACCAGTGCAAGAGGCCCAGGTTCGATCCCTGGATCAGGCAGATCCCCTGGAGGAGGGCATGGCAGCCCACTCCAGGATTCTTGCCTGGAGAATCCCGGGGACAGAGGAGCCTGGCGGGCTACAGTCCACGGGGTCACAGAGGGTCCAATATGACTGAGCCGCCAACACATAAGGCAGTTTCAGTTATTCATAAAGATATACGTGTATTCTTTTCCTGGTTCTTTTCCATCATAGTTTATTACCAGATTCTGAGCAGAGTTCCCTGTGCTATACAGTAAGACCTTGCTGTTTATCTGTTTTACATATAGTTCGTGCATCTCTTCATCCCAGACTCCTCATTTATGCCTCCAAGCTTTCCCCTTTGGTCACCAGAAGTTCGTTTTCTGTGTCTGTGAGTCTATTTCTGTTTTCTAAGTCAGTTCATCTGTATTCGTTTTCTTAGATTCCACACATAAATGATATCATATGGTATTTGTGTTCTGCAGACTTACTTCACTTACTATCATACTCTCCAGGTCCACCCATGTTTCTGCAAATGCCACGGTTTCACTCTTTTTCATGGCTGAGTAATATTCCATCTGTATACATGTGCCACATCTTCTTGACTCATTCCTCCGTCGATGGACTCTCAGGAGGCTTCCAGGTCTTGGCGAGTGTGAACAGTGCCGCAGTAAACATTGGGCTGCAGGTATCTAAGGGGGAAGACCCACACATAGAACGTCTAGGATTTCCGTGCATCATCTTCCTGCGTTCCAGACTCCAGTGACCATCTTCCTCTTTGGTTCTGATAGTCAAGCCCTAAAAGTTCTATCAGCATGCATCTCAGTCCAGCAGACTACACTCGTCTGCCCAAACCACCCTTTCTCTCCTCCCCTAAAGAATGACTAAAACCCAAGCAAACAGCTGGGCTACTTTTTAGATGCTGAGGGTAGACAGTTAGTCCGGGAAAAAGAAAAGTATACACCAAGGAAAGCGCTGATGTTGTGTTAAGAACTGGTACCCACAGAGGATCCAAGTCCAAAGATAATACAAACAAGTCTCGACATCTCAAAATCTCTATCCCACGTTCTGGAAAAAAAAAAAAAAGTAGAAACCATACAATTTCACGGCAAAAAAACACCCCAAGATCGCTTCCCCAAGGCGGTTTCCACACCATCGGCCTTGCACTTTAGTTTCCAAAAATCCAACCTCATCCTCTGCAGGTGATAATACTTTTGTGAGCTGAGATAAAGTTCAAATGCTGCCGTTAGGGTCGAAACGCATTCATTCCTGATTCGCGGGCGGAGGTGAACGGGTCCGGATTCCTGACGTTCACTCAAGGGGGTTTAGTTTCCCTGGCGGCTCAGACGGTAAAGCAATCTGCCTGCGATGCGGGAGACCCGGGTTGGCTCCCTGGGTCAGGAAAGATCCTCTGGAGGAGGGCAAGGCAACCCGCTCCAGTATTCTTGCCTGGAGAATCCCCAAGGACAGAGGAGCCTGGTGGATTACAGTCCAAGGGGTCTCAAAGAGTCAGTTGCCACTGAGAAACTAACACTTTCACTTTTGCAAGGAATCTATAGCATCAGCTAAGCTTGTCTGCTGACAAGCAGCTGCTTTCATCCTTTGGAAGTCCTCCACGGCAGCCCCACCCAAGACCCCCAGCTATTCTCCTGGCCACTGTGTTCTCTGACCAGAGTCAGAACCTCTTAGGCCGCATGGCCAATGGAACCCACAGATCAAGCAATCTCTTTACAACCCAAGATCCAGCTGTCGACCTTGTTCACATCGATGTATCTGAGGAATCAGGAACCCCCTTCTTTGTGGGGGCAGCGCGTCTATTGCAAACAGAAGGGAAGACCCTCCAGGGCAGCGGGTGAAGGCAAGAATGAAAGGGACGTTCCAGGGGATCGACAGGGTTGTCATCTGAACGGAGGCTTTCTCAGAGCGGTGGGTGGATTCTGAAGACCTCAGACAGACTGTGGTTCTGCAAGGAAAGATTGAAAGCAAGACATCATAGTTAGGGGGGGATAAAAAACCACTTCAGTGGGTTGATCTTAAAGCACTGTTAATTGTTTTCACTGTAGAGGCGGCAGACGATGAGATGGTTGGATGGCATCACTGACTCAACGGACATGAGTTTGGGAAAACTCCGGGAGTTGGTGACGGACAGGGAGGCCTGGCGTGCTGCAGTCCATGGGGTCACAAAGAGTCAGACACGAGTGAGCGACTCAACAACAACATCTCGGATGAGGCATGTGGTCCAGAGTGTAAGGGATTTTTTTGTTTGGTTGGTTTTTTGTTTTCAGGAACTCTGCTTTCCCCCCCAAACTTTGAGGCTGGGGTGTTGTATAGACCAAGGCCCTTCCTGGCCAGGGTGTAAGTCAATACCACCCCACCACCAGCAGAGGGGGGCAGAGGGCAGCTATCGAGATTGTGAAGGCACCCAAATCCAAAAAATAAAAATATAAACACTACTGGAGTAGACTTCTGTTTCATAGCCTCCCTCGCCGGCAAAACCCAGGTAGGTGCCGACATGAGTGGTCTCCGGACCAGAGCTTGAGAGAACCCAGATTACCGTCTGAGCGGTTGCTTCTTCTGCAGGGGAGCGTCTCTCCCCGACCTTCCCTTTAGCGACGTCTCCAGGAATTTCCTGGGTCACCAGCCAGGATCTCTGCCCCCAGGGGCGGCTCCCTGCGCTTGTAATTCTGCAAACCCAGGAGCTTGGACCCAACGTTGAAGCAGAAAGCCCCAGAACCACCCCCCGCCCCCTCCACAAACTCATTTCCCGGGAGGTCGCGTGTGCGTGCTGGGTCGCTCAGTGTGCCCATGGGATTCTTCTCCAGGCAGGAACACTGGAGTGGGTTGCCATCTCCTCCTCCAGGGGGTCTTCCCGACCCAGGGGTCGAAGCCGCGTCTCCTGCATTGGCAGATGGACTCTTCACGCCGGAGCCACCAGGGAAATCTCGTGTGCAGCAGGGTGAGTCGATATTTTTTATANGAGCCACCAGGGAAATCTCGTGTGCAGCAGGGTGAGTCGATATTTTTTATAGACTGTACGACACTTAAAGTTTGGAGGAGAAAACGGCAAGCCGCTCCAGGATTCCTGCCTGGAGCATCCCATGGACGGAGGAGCCTGGCGGGCTACAGTCCACGGGGTCGCAAAGAGTCAGACACAAACAGAAGTAACTTAGCACATGTTTAAAATCATTATGAAATATTGGCTCTACTGCAGCCGGGGATGTTCCAAACAATACATCCTTGTAGCTTATTTACTTTGTACATGGTAAGGAAGGAAGTGTTAGTCGCTCAGTCGTGTCCGACTCTTTGCAACCCCGTGGACTGTAGCCTGCCAGGCTCCTCTGTCCATGGGATTTTCCAGGCAAGGATACTGGAGCGGGCTGCCGTTTAGCTGCTTCCTTCTAATCCCCTCCCATCCATCTAACCCCTGCCCTCTCTCATCTCCCCACTGGAAACCACCAGCTTGTATTCTGTATCTGTGAGTCTGCCTATTTTTCATTCTTATTCACTCATATACATACATATATATTTAAATCAGGCTTTACGACTAGCTTGTTGTCTATATCTGTGAGTCTGCCTGTTTTTCACTCACTCATATATATATATATTTAAAATCAGGCTTCACCACTTAAGGCAGACACAACTGGGGGCGGGGGTGGGGGCAAGACTTGCCGTTTGTCCTGAGACAGTTTCTTCTCCGGTTATAGTAGCTGACTGCCGCCCCAATCAGCGTCACCACCACCACGGAGACGATGGGAGATGCAATCTGCGCTATCCTGTTGCCTGCGGGAATCCAGGGGAACAAGAACGGGTCTCAGGAAAAACAGCGCCAGTGGGGACACCATGAGTCCCCATCGACTCTGTACTCACCCCCGCGCCCGGCCTTCCCGTCCCTCCGATTCATGGGAAAAGGATGGAATTCATCGAAGAAGCCCAAGGGATGCATCCTGCTTTATCTAAGGGGCGCTTACTAACCATGTCTGATGGGTCTGGGGCATCCAACGGTTCTGTACAGATATATATATATATATATATATTTTTTTTTTTTTAATTTAATGGGTGTGTTTGGATGAATTTGTATCTTCGGGGACAGAAAATGTCTACTCATGTTCTTCAGTTGCTCAGTCATGTCCAACCCTTTGCGACCCCATGGACCGCAGCACACCAAGCCTCTCTGTCCATCACCAACTCCCGGGGCTTTCTCAGACTCATGTCCATCGAGTCAGTGATGCCATCCAGCCATCTCATCCTCTGTCGTCCCCTTCTCCTCCTGCCTTCAATCCTTCCCAGCATCAGGGTCTTTTCCAGTGCGTCAGCTCTCCGCATCAGGTGGCCAAAGGATTGGAGCTTCAGCGTCACTGCTTTCAGTGAATTTTCAGGGTCAGTTTCTTTCAGAGAATCGATCTCCTTGAAATTTAAGGGACTGTGTGTATAAAGTGCAGACCAGCCCAGTGGTCACCTGGCCAGTTACATACGTAGCCCACACATCCACCACATTCCATATCCGGCCCCACGAATTACTACAGTTCCTGGGGGTCCATTCAGTCAAAGCTAGCACAACACCTCTGTCTCCTGTCCTGCCTGACTCCGAGACATCTGCAGACCGTGCCTTGGAGATGTCCCCTCCAGGAGCACGCATTCCGTCTTCCACCCCACCCCAATCCTGAGTGAGACCTCTGTCCTGGCGAAAGTGAAAAAGTCTTAGCCGCTTCAGTTGTGTCTGAGTCTCTCTGACCCCACGGACTGTGGCCCCACCAGGCTCCTCTGTCCATGGGATTCTCCGGGCCAGGATACTGGAGTGGTTTGCCATTTCCTGCTCCAGGGGATCTTCCCAACCCAGGGATCAAACGCACATCTCCTGCATTGCAGCTGGAGTGTTTATCCGTGAACCACCAGGGAAGGCCCCCTGTCCTCCGGAAAGGGAAACTGAAAGTCACTCAGTCGCATCCGACTCTTTGCGACCCCATGGGACTCCATGGGATTCTTCAGGCCAGGATACTGGAGTGGGTTGCCATTTCCTTCTCCAGGGGAATCTTCTCAACCCAGAGATCAAACCAGGTCTCCCACATTGCAGGCAGATTCTTTACCAGCTGAGCCACCAAGGGAGCCCAAGAATACTGGAGTGGGTAGCCTATCCTTTCTCCAGGGGATCTTCCCAACTCAGGGATGGAACCGGGGTCTCCTGCATTGCAGGCGGATTCTTCAGCAGCTGAGCTACCGGGGAAGCCGCTGTCCTGCCAAAGACTGCATCAAACCGTGCGTTGGACCTGGATTCTTGTCTGGGGAGCACCTCTCCTCCCCTACCTCCAGTCCACGAGAAGGAAAGCACCCGTGGCCTTCGCAAATGTCCCACAAACACCTGCGTCCCGGAAACGGCAATACTTCCAGCAAATGGCAATACGTCCCGCAAACGGCAATATTTCAGTGCTGCCCGGGTCCTGGGCCTCAAGGCTTAGAAAGTGAGCTCTGTCCCCCAAAGCCTTGGGGTCTGCCAGGTGGGATCACCATCGCTCTGCACCGGTGTCAGCCTCCAGATTCCCAAGAAGCTGGTCTCCATCGTCCCAGAGACACACGGCCAACGCCCGCTGGCCACACTCCAGGCCTCCCCTGCGGGCCGTGACGGGGCGGGCAGGGCCCCGCTGGGGGCTTCTAGGGGGTGAAGGCTGTGGTTTCTCTGCTGCTCTCCTTGGAGGCTTGAGTCAACGAAAGGGGTGCCGGTGGTGGGAAGCAGCAGCTCCAAGCACCGCAGACAGCTCTCAAAGCCCAAGCATCTTTCAGCTCCGAATCGGTCCCCAGAGCCTCAGGCATCTTGCAGCTCTGAGTCAGTCCCCAGAGCCCCAGGCATCTTTCAGCTCTGAGGCGGTCCCCATGTCACCTTCTCTGACCCCTGTGGGACAGACCCCGCCCGGAAGGAGCTTCTGCACGCCCACACAGAGAGAGCAGGTGGTCCCTGAACGCCCTCAGCAGAAACAAAACCAGGCCTGCCCCTGGCCCTCCGCAGACACGTGGGGAGCCCACCCCTCAGAAGACCGTGCGCTCCGCCCCGGGCCCTACCTTGCTGGTTGCCGGGCGTGGAGTAGCCGCCTCCACCTGGAAGGGGACAGACACACGGTCACACGCATATTCGGAAGAGCTGGGCCCGGGCTGCCTGCTGCTGGGAGGCGGGCATTGCATCCCAGTGGGGCGGGGATGGGGGTGGAGACCGAGGGGCTGAGGCTGTCACTTCAGGGCGTGGGGTACACACAAAGGCATGCACAAGAGGCGTGTGCACACATCCATATACACAAGGCACACACACATGAACACACATGCAAACCCCATAGGCATGCATACAACACACACAGCCACACACACACGTGACACCCCACATACACACGGGCATGCACATATAACACACGGACACACCCACATCCATACATGCACACACATGCAATGCAACAGACCCCCCCATATACAATGCATCACGCACGAACATACATACATGCACACACTTGCTGCACACTCACACGCCCACGCACAGACATGCAATACGTGCACACCCGTGTACACATGTATGCATGCATGCACAGCGCGAGCACACGCACACACACACATCAGCACAGCCATGCACACACAGGCAGGCGCGCACACAAGTATCGCAGGCACTGTGCCCATGTGGACATGCGCACATACACATGCATGTCTCCACACGTGTGCACAGGACACTCCCACACATATACACATGAATACACAAGACCTATACCTATATCCACGTGCATGCATCAGCCCTGACCCACACACCCATAGCACACACAGACACGCACATGTGTTTCAGATTCATACGCATGCGTGCACAGATACACAGCGCAAAGGTACATGTGAACATGTGTACACATGTATAGACACACGTGCCCATATGCCCACCCAGCCACATGCACATGGATGCACATGCAGGGACACACACATGCCCACACGCGTGTGCACAGGCAGTAACGCGCGTGAGCAGGCCTTCGTGTCTTGGAAGGGTTGCGACCCGCGTGCCAAGCAAACCCCTCCCCGGCTTCAGCGCACAGTGAGGACAGCGCTCAGAGAGCCAGGCGGTCAGGCAGCGCCCACGCGGGGGTTAGCTCCTCAGCAGGAGAACGTCTCCTGGTTTGCTTTTACGAAAGACCTCCTTTACCATAATTAGTGCCAGGAAAGCCGGGTCTGCCGCGCCCTCCTCGTCCTGCGGGACAGAAAGGCCAGGTGAAGAGGAAGAGAACGCTCGGAAACGCCGGAGACATCCCCAAAGGAAGCTTCGAGAAGGACAGGACCCCAGAAGAGAGGCTGTGACATCCGGGCCAAAGGCCCCAGCCTGATTCTCCCCGAGCCAGAGGAAGAGACAAGCGCGCCCCAGGACATTCCCTGGCTGCACCGAGTCGGGCTGAGCTCACCTTGCAAGTTCAGCAGGTCTGCTAATGCCAGGGGTATGCTCACCCCCAGCCAGAGAGAGAGGGGGCTTGCCTGAGCTCAAAACCCTACTTCTCAGCACATCCAGGGAAAAGCCCAAGGCCAGGCAGCAAACAGTCATCTCAGTGAGTGAGAAATAAAGGAGGTTTCTGCACACCTTCTTATGTCCAGAGGGCAATTTTTTTCTTCTTGGCTGCATGCAGGATATGCAGGATTTTAATCCCCTGACCAGGCATTGATCTCAGGTCCTGCCAGTGAAAGCCCACAGTCCTAACGACTGGACCGCCAGGGAAGTCCCCGGGGAGTAATTTTAAAAAGAGATTCCCTGGGGGCTCAACACAGTATAGAATCCGCCTGCAACGCAGGAGGCCTGGGTTCGATCCCTGGGTCGGGAAGATTCCCCTGGAGGAGGGCATGGCAACCCACTCCGATATTCTTGCTTGGAGAATCCCATGGACAGAGGAGCCTGGTGGGCTTCAGTCCACGGGGTTGCAAACAGTCAGACACGGCCGGGCAGCTAAAGAGCACCAGCTATATTTACAAAGTGTCACATGACTACTTTGTACACCCGAAGCTAACCGAATGTTTCATGAGGATTCTATCTCAGTTGAGAAACATGAATCCAATGCATTTTGTTTTTTTGGCTCAATTTTTCTCCGAAGTTCGCTTTACAGCACCAGAGACTCTCTGGAGATTTCAGGATCTATCCCTCGCTTTAAGGAAAGCTCAGTATAGACAAGAACGGAGTTTATTTCTCCCGGGGTAAATTCCTTTCATTCTTGGCATAATGCACTATCCACATAAAGAATCCACAATTCCTGGGCTGTTCTCTCCCTAATGAGGCTTGCAGCCAGGGTCTCTGTGTCTTGTTACCTGGACAGAGGGGTGTGGGGTCAGCCCCTGGACACCTGGAGGGCTGGACGAAGCCAGGCTGAGGGTCAGCAGTGAAGCGGCCGACACCCGAGACCCAGGAGGATGCTCTAATGGGAGCCCTGGAAAAGCCCACACAGCCCCGCCACCCCCACGGGCCCCAGAGTTGCGTGTAGCGAGCCTGTTACCGTAGCTGTCGTGACCCGGGTGGTAGCCGCCTCCACCGCCGCCTCCTGCAGGAGAGAAGAGGGATGTGATGGCCATTCGGAGTGTGGACCTTGGGGTCCAGCAGGCATCCGCCCGGCTGGCACCAAAGCCGGGCCCAAGAGTCACCCACAAAAAAGCGCTGGTTGTTGNCTGGTTGTTGTTGATTCGCTCAGTCGTGTCCGACTTTTTGCGATCCCATGGACCACAGCACGCCAGGCCTCCCCGTCCATCACCAACTCCCAGAGCTTGCTCAGACTCATGTCCATCGAGTCGGTGATGCCATCCAACCATCTCATCATGTTGTCCCCTTCTCCTCCCGCCTTCAGTCTTTTCCAATGAGTCGTCTGGAGACCTATGTGGTGGAAAAGCTCGGGACCCTCCAGAAGATGCTCTAGGGAGTCCCTCTCCCAGAATCATGGCTCCTGGATGGAAAAACTCGTGCCACAGAGAGCCCTTCAGAAAGCTGTGTGTCTTCAGAGATTACACATGCCCCCACGCCCCCGCCGACCCAGAGCTTCAGACTAACACAGGCTTACTCCCTACCTCCAGGGACCCACTTGTATCATGTTATATGTCAACTGTAACACACTAAAAAATACATTTTGGGGGGGAAAGATACAGAGACACATCTGCAACATCTCTGTAAAGATAGGTGTGTGCCTGTGTGTTCAGGCGCTCAGTCGTGTCCGACTCTCTGACCCCATGGACTGTAGCCTGCCAGGCTCCTCTGTCCACGGGATTCTCCAGGCAAGAACAGTGGAGTGGGTTGCCATGCCGTCCTCCACGAGATCTTCCTGACTCAGGGATGGAACCCAGGTCTCCTGCATTACAGGTGGATTCTCTACTACTGAGCTGCCTGGGAAGCCCAAAGATAGTAACTTAGGAGTACAGATAGATTTAGATCTAGAAACAGATAAAGATATAGATATAGATGTAGGTATACATGTAGACAGACACAGATATAGAAATAGGTGCAGGTATTGGTATACATATAGATGAAGATGTGATATAGATATATAGGTGGGTTTCCTTGATAGCTCAGTTGGTAAAGAATCCATCTGCAATGCAGGAGACCCCGGTTCAATTCCTGGGTCGGGAAGATCTGCTAGAGAAGGGACAGGCTACCCACCCCAGCATTCTTGGGCTTCCCTGGTGCCTCAGATGGTAAAGAATCCACCTGCAGTGACGGAGACCTGGGTTCCATCCCTGGGTTGGGAAGATCCCCTGGAGGAGGGCATGGTAACCCATTTCAGTATTCTTGCCTGGACAAGAATTCTTGCCTGTGATACTCTGTCCAGTGTCAAATGGACAGAGGAGCCTGGTGGGCTAGAGTCCATGGGGTCAGAAAGAGCTGGACGTGACTGCGCACAGCATAGATATAGCTATAGATATAGCTAGATATAGATATGCACATAGATATACATGTGCATATATAGAGACATAGACATACATATAGCTATAGATATGCATATACATATAACTATACATACAGATATACCTACAGATAAACACAGATACAGATAGATGGACATATAGGTATCACTACAGATATAGATATACATATAACTATAGATATAAATATATATACAGATATAGATATACACATGTATATATAGACATAGATATACATATGTATATACTTACAGATATACATACAGATAAACATAGATACAGATTATAGATATGTATATCACTATAGATATAGATATACATATAACTATGGATATAAATATATATACAGATATAGATATACATATGCATATCTAGAGACAGAGATATACATATAGCTATAGATAAACATATACATATAAATATCTATTCAGATATACATATAGATAAACATATAGATAGCTGTACATATGGATATAGGTACAGATATAGATAGGTATACATTTAGCTACAGATATATATACAGATATAGATATGCATATAGATAAACATATATATATATACATATAGATATAGATATAGACAGATATATATAGATATACATATAGCTGTAGATAGAAATATATATGCAGGTATACACATACATATGCATATAGATAAACATAGATATAGATACATATAGATGTAGGTATAGATGCAGATATAGGTGTACATATAGATATGTGTATACACACATATACACAGACATGTATATAATAAGTACGTATGTTTGTGGAGGTATGTATATGGGTGTACACACACATGCACGCACACACATATTTACATGGAGATGACCCCCACTTCTAAGCAGCATTGGCCCTGTGGTTGGTTTTGTCCACCTTGCAGACCCCAGGCGTGGACAGCCTCAGGGACGCGCCTCCCTCCCGCCCCCCAGAGGCTGGAGGGGAGAGTCCACAGCCCACCACCTTCCACGCGGGGTCTGGGACGGGGTCCGGGGTGGGCTCACAGAAGCCCGCACGTACCTGCGGGCGGCCTGGGTGGGTAGTGGCCGCCGTTGCTGAGGTCCGAGTCGCTCAGGAAGCCTGTGGCACAGAGCAGAGGGTGGTCAGAACCCGCGGTCCAGGGAGCCCCCTGCACACCCAAGCTCACGCATCAGGGGCGCACGGACACCTTACGGAGAGGGGGTTCCACAATTGGAGAATCCGTGCACCCCACGAAAGATCCACAGGCTGAAACTAAGACCCGATACAGCCAACATAAATATAGGACTCTTTAAAAAGAATTGCTTTAAAAAAAAGAAAATAAGAACTTTTGCATATTTTAAATGCAACACGTCTTTCGCCATCGAGGACCGAATTCTCCAAACCATCTTACGGAAGACTCCTTAGTACTTCCGAAGAGGCTTCTGGAAGGCGTCTTAGTCCGGAGGACTCACCTCCACTGTTCCCAGGCTGCGGGCGAGGAGGCGGCGGCTTCGGCCTTGGGTAGATATCTGTTGGAAAACACGTGATTTTCAGGAAAAGAGGGACACCTCCCAGTGACGAACCATTCACACAACGCAAAAGGCAGGAATACAAAATGACGTTCCGGCTGATTTATGTTTGCTGTTTATCGCTTCCACGGAATCGCTGGTGCTCAGAATCCCCAAGCATAAAGCTCTGTTTAAACATGAGTTTTTATTGGAGTATACTTGCTTCCCTGGTGGTTCAGATGGTAAAGCGTATGCCTGCAATGCAAGAGACCAGGGTTCGATCTCTGGGTCGGGAAGATTCCTTGGAGGAGGGCATGGCCACCCAGTCCAGGACTCTGGCCTGGAGAATCCCACAGACAGAGGAGCCTGGCGGGCTACAGTCCACGGGGTCTCAGAGAGTCAGACACGCCTGAGCAACTAACACGAACACACACACACACACACACACACACACACAGGTACTTCACAGCGCTGTGTTAGTTTAGGCTGTCCAGCAAAATCAATCTACTATGCGTATGTGCTAAGTCGCTTCTGGCATGTCCGACTCTGCAAACCCGTGGACTGTAGCCCACCAGGCTCCTCTGTCCGTGGGAGTCTCCAGGCCAGAGTCTTGGAGTGGGTTGCTATGCCCTCCTCCAGGGGATCTTCCCCACCCAGGGATCGAACCCACGTCTCTTAAGTCTCCTGTGTTGGCAGGCGGGATCTTTACCCGCCTGGGAAGCCCACATTACTCACAGCAGATAGAAATTCATTAGTCAGGGCCACCACCACCATTTTAAAGGCACTAGATTCGAGCAGAGTTTAAAAACAAAAGCCAGGAAGCAGCCTTCCTCTGTTCTGAAATGCGTCGGCCGCCGGAGCCCTGAGTCACACACGGTTCCCTCCCAAGCCTGAGGCTGGCCCCGTGAGCTGCCGGATGGATGAGTCTCCCAGGACCGTAGTAGTGATTCATCTTATGGGACGGCCAGCATCTAAGATTCTCTGGGGCCCACAGAACGGAAGCCCATGAAAAGATGTTCAAGTTTCCCAGAAAACTATAGCAAGAAACACCTCCCATTAGACGAGCAGAGACATCACTTTGCCAACAAAGGTCTGTATACTCAAAGCTGTGGTTTTTCTAATGGTCATGTAAGGGTGTGAGAGCTGGACCACAAAGAAGGATGAGCACCAAAGAATTGATGCTTCTGAACTGTGGTGTTGGAGAAGACTCTTGAGAGTCCCTTGGACTGCAAGGAGATCCAACCAGTCCATCCTAAAGGACATCAGCCCTGAATAGTCATTGGAAGGACTGATGCTGAAGCTGAAGCGCCAATACTCTGGCCACCTGATGGGAAGGACAGACTCATTGGAAAAGACCCCGATGCTGGGAAAGATTGAAGGCAGGAGGAGAAGGGGACGACAGAGAGTGAGATGGTTGGATGGCATTGCCGACTCTATGGACACGAGTTTGAGTAAGCTCCGGGAGTTGGTGATAGACAGGGAGGCCTGGCGTGCAGTGCTCCNACATGACTGAGCGACTGAACGGCAACAAAGGCTTCTTTCAGCCTCCGTGACCTTCCCTGAGTTCCAGTGGGCAGGTTCAAAGCTGTTTTGAAATGAATGAACATTCTTACTTCCAGTGTTGTTGGGATTTCCAGGCTGTGGGTGATAGGGGGGCCTTGTGTTGGGGTAGATATCTGTGGGAAAAATGACATTGCACGATTAGAAGAGAAAATGTCCTTCCATCAGAAGCAGCTTATAAGTATATAAGCTTCACAGTAGATTTTATATTTTATTCACAGTATGTGCTCATGAAATATAGATTATCGTTGATCAGCTTAAAACAACGTAGACGCTAGAGGCAGAACCTGAAAACTTAGAACTTGAAAAAACTACGTACACACACTTACAAAACTGTTTTGCATTTATAAGGTGTGTAAGAAGCAAAAAAAAACTGTTTATCCCTTGAAGGCTTGGGTTTGATCCCTGAGATAGGAAGATCCCCTGGAGGAGGGCATGGCAACCCACTCCAATATTCTCGCCTGGAGAATCCACATGGACAGAGGAGCCTGGTGGGCTACAGTCCCTGGGGTCACAGAGAGTCGGACACAACTGAGCAACAAATACACACACACACAGAGGGAAATTCCAGGTGCCGCTTTCTGAGGGAATGCCAGACTCTTTTCTGTGGAGGCTGCACAATTTTCTACCCCCACTGGGAACACACAGATGTTCCAAAGTCTCCCACACCCCCGCCAACACTTGTTATCATCCCTATTTCAATCCTAGTGAGAATAATATCTCACCGTGATTTTGCGATCCATTTCGTGAAGCACTTGGGTTTGCTTTAAACATCTATCTGTCAGTCTCAGCCTCCACAACCCTATCATTGCTGTTCTTTAGCCCGCCAGACTCCTCTGTCCATGGGATTCTCCAGGCCAGAATACTGGAGTGGGTTGCCATGTCCTCGTCCAGGGCATCTTCCCGACCCGGGGGTGGAACTCATGTCTGCTGCACTGGCAGGCGGATTTTTGACCACGGAGCATCCTGGGAAGACCCCATAAAACTCCTTCCAAAACCTCAGCTTGTGGTGGGGCAGCCTCATCTCTGTCCACTCACCTGAGTCAGGAAGTCACTCACCTGAGCTTGGCTTCTTGGTGGGCTCTGGGGACAGAGAACATACGTGCGATAAGCCCTGAGGGTTTTTGTGTGGCTCAAAGAAACAATCATTAGAGTCATAATGTAAAAAAAAAAAAAAGAAAATCTCGAGGCACTAACAAAGAGACGATCAGTGCGGTTCAGTCGCTCAGTCGTGTCCGACTCTGCGACCGCGTGGACTGCAGCACGCCAGGGACCAACACAAACTCCATTCCGTGTTCGAGGGGGCAGGGGACTCAAAGGACAAAAGGTCCCTTCAAATGCAAGCCCGCCAGTGTTCCCTGGAGCAAATGCAAGCCCACCAGTGTTCCCTGGAGCAAATGCAAGCCCGCCAGTGTTCCCTGGAGCTGTGCGGAGGTTGAGGGCTGGAATAAAGCTTCTCCGAGTTGTCAGTAGGAAGGAATCCCGACCCCACCCCACCTGGAGCCGAGGAGCAGCTGACGCAGTCTGCCAGAGGCACTTACCGGGGTCGTCGAGAGCGTCGGCCAAATCAAAGTCACCATACTCCCCTATGAGAACACACAGGGCGTCAGTCACAGCGACATGGAAGCGGCCACCCGTTTCCTTTGCCCCAGCTGCCCCGATAGCGCCCCCCTCAACCCCACTCCCAGCACCCCGAGCTCAGCAGAGAAGGAGAGTTCCACCCCTCCTGCCAGCTCCCCTGGGCTGGGTCTGTCCAACCAACATCTTATTCCTAGATGTCCCCCAGGCTCTGCCCATAGCAAAAGAGATCCGTGAAGGAAGATAACTGCACCCTCATCCTTTTTTTAAAAAAATAAAGTGTAGTTAATTTCTGGGCTTCCCTGGTAGCTGAGCTGGTAAAGAATCTGCCTGCCATGAAGGAGAGACCCCGGTTCAATCCCTGGGTCACAAAGAGTTGGACCCAACTGAGTACTGAACTGAGCCAGACTGAACTGAGTGACTAATACCTTCACAGTGGATTTACAGTGTTGTGTTAGTTTCAGCTACACAGCAAACTGATTCAGTTATACACATCTATAAATTACTTTTCTATACATATACATGTATCTATTCTTTTTTCACACACTGTTCGATTATAGGTTATTGAAGTGAAAGGGTTAGTCCCTCAGTTGTGTCTGACTGTTTACAACCCCATGGACTGTAGCCCGCCAGGCTCCTCTGTCCATGGGGATTCTCCAGGGGAGAATACTGGAGTGGGTTGCCATGACCTCCTCTAGAGGATCTTCCCAAACCAGGGATAGAAACTTGACCATGTATATATGTGTGTAAATGTGTTATTAATACTATCATTTATGAATAAAGCTGCTATGAACATGTGCAAGTCTTTTCATAGGCATAGAGTTTCATTTCTTTCCCTTATGTCCCCAGTAGTAGATTACCTAGGACAAAAGGCATCATGATGTTACGAAATTTGTACATGCCAAAAGTCATGTATATGAACTTAAATCCAGCGGAGCCTCAAGTAGACTACCTACAAATNAAGATTGAGAGCAGGAGAAGGGTACCACAGAGGATGAGATGGTTGGATGGCATCACCGACTAGATGGACATGAGTTAGAGCAAGCTCCAGGAGTGAGTGATGGGCAGGGAGGCCTGGCGTGCTGCGGTCCACGGGGTCGCAGAGAGTCGGACACGACTGAGCGACTGAATAACATCTGACGGTGACTCGAGGTCACGGGGGAGGCGGCCCCTGGTTGTCACGGGTGTGGCACTCTTTGCAGAGCCCAGAGCGTGACTCACAGACCAGGCGAATTCCACCCAGGGCCCTTGGCGTGGGGCCGATCGTGTCCTGCAGGCCTGGCTGGAGTCTAACAGCCTCCCTCTGGTCTCCAGAGGGGCTGCAGCCAACATCCTACCTCCTGTGCCCGCTGCCGCTTGCGTGGAGGTGTAGCCAAGCCCCGTCACAGTCTAGCCCCGCCCCCACATACTAGCCCCACCCCGTCAGGTTCTAGCCCCGCCCCCATTACCGTCTGTCCACGGTCTAGCCCCGCCCCTGACACGTTGTAGCCCCGCCCCTGCCATGGTCTAGTTCTGTCCGCGCAACGTGCTAGTCCGGCTCCAGTACTTTGTAGCCCCGCCCCATCGTGGTATAGCCCCTCCCAGTCACGATATAGCCCCGCCCCATCACTGTCTAGTCCTGCCCTCCCCCCGCCCCCCGACGTTCACATCGCGCAACGTGCTAGTCCGGCTCCAGTACTTTGTAGCCCCGCCCCATCGTGGTATAGCCCCGCCCAGTCACGATATAGCCCCGCCCCATCACTGTCTAGTCCTGTCCCCCCCCGCGACGTTCACATCACTCCGAAGATGTTGATTCAGGGGCTCAATGTCGGGGAAGATGGGGTGTGGGAGACGCCACTCCCTGGAGCAGTTATTTCCACAAGCTTTGTTTTTCCCCTCAGAGCCTAAGGACGGGGCTTGGAACTCGAGATCTGTTTCCCATCTTCTTCCTTTAGCAGGCCCCGCAGTTTCTGATCAATCCCACATGTGTTCTGGGCTCACCACGCGGGTCACCATGGCTGACCTCCTGGGAACCTGGGTTGAAAAGGACTCAGGCTCGTGGGTGGGAGGTCTTAGCGTCAAACCCCAAACCCCCTTACCCTCCGAAAAGAGCTATTTAGGACGGATTTTAAAATATATATATATATATATACGTATATATTTTTATTTATGGCTGTGCCATAAATAGCTATGTTAGTTAGGGATCTAGTTATCTGACCTGGGATAGAACCGGGGCCCCTGCATTGGGAGCGCAGAGTCTTAGCCACTGGACCACCAGGGAAGTCCCAGAGGGATTTTCAAGATAAAACTTGCCTGGGAAAAGGGAATGGCTCCCCACTTCAGTCTTTTTGCCTGGAGAATCACATTGACAGAGGAGTCTGGCGGGCTACGGTCTATAGCCCATAGTCTCAAAGAGTCTCAAAAAGTCTCAAAGAGTCAGACACAACTGAGCGACTTAGCATGCAACAGATGGTCAGACAGTCAATGATAATTAGATACATGGATCACAGGGTATAGATGGTAATTAGAAAGACAGATGAGAGATATAGTTAGATGTTAGAAAAATAGATATAGGACTGATAATTATAGAGAGAAATAGAAGATAGGATACATAAAAATAGATGATAGATACATTAGATGGATAATCAATGATAATTAGATACATGGATCACAAGGAATAGATGATATTTAGAAAGGCAGATGAGAGATTTAGTTAGATGTTAGAAAAATAGGTATAGGATTGATAATAATTATATAGAGCAATAGAAGATAGGATATGTGAACATAGATGACAGATACACTGATAGATACACTGATAAACTGACAAATGCGTTGACAGACACACGGACAGATACGACAGGTACACAGGGAGATGGCGTCTCTAGTGCTCAGGCAGGAGTTCTCAACCTCAGCAGTGTCGACACTCGAACCTGGATGACAGACAGGACAGCCTGCTCTGCGGGGCATCCTGTGGATCAGAAAACATTCAGCCGCATCCCTGGAAAAGTGAAAGTCGCTCAGTCGTGTCCGACTCTTTGCTGCCCCGTGGACTAGAACAGTCCATAGAATTCTCCAGGACAGAATACTGGAGCGGGTAGCCTTTCCCTTCTCCAGGGGATCTTCCCAACCCAGGGATCAAACCCAGGTCTCCTGCCTTGCAGGTGGATTCTTTACCAGCTGAGCTGCCAGGGAAGCCCAAGAATACTGGAGTGGGTAGCCCATCCCTTCTCCAGCGGATCTTTCCAACACAGGAATCGAACCAGGGTCTCCTGCATTGCAGGACGATTCTTTACCGACTAAGCTATGAGGGCAGCCCAAGGCCCTGGCCCATCTGATGATAGCAGTGCCCTCCCAGTGTTGACCACCAAAAATGACTCCAGACGGTGCCAAGTGTCCCTAGGGGGCAACATCACCCGTGGTTGAGCATGGCTGGCTGTGTGAAGAGACACTTGGGGGTGTGATTTCTGCACCTCCTGGGTGAGAGACGCGTCAATATTATGGGAACCACAGAGCAGACATTCCCCTGTAGCAGAGACGCTTGAGGCTCAACCCAGCGGTTAACCAGATGGCTGGGGGCTCAGACCTCACCTGTCAAAGGGAATCCCGACTCCATGAGCATGAGGATGTTTCTCAAAATGCAGCTGCCCCATTAACGGTTTCCCCAGTAGTCACGTACGGATGTGAGGGCTGGACTGTAAAGAAGGCTGAGCCCAGATGAACTGATGCTTTTGAACTGTGGTGCTGGAGAAGACTCCTGAGAGTCCCTTAGACTGCAAGGAGATCCAGCCAGTCCATCCTAAAGGAAATCAACCCTGAATTTTCATGGGAAGGACTGATGCTGAAGCTGAAACTCCAATCCTTTGGCCACCTGATGGGAAGAGCCGACTCATTGGAAAAGACCCATGATGCTGGGAAAGATGGAAGGCGGGAGGAGAAGGGGATGACAGAGGATGAGATGGTCGGATGGCATCACTGACTTGGTGGACATGAATTTGAGCAAGCTACGGGAGATGGTGATGGACAGGGAAGCCTGGTGTGCTGCAGTCCACAGACTCTGAAGAAGTCAGAGACAACTGAACAATGAGAACCACAGTCACTCCAGCGCCCACACATCTACCTAATGAAGCTCTTGAACCACTGCAATTGGGGTGGTGCCTTCATTCATCTTTGGCCACGCCGCACAGCTTAAAGATCTCAGTTCCCTGACCAGAGATTGAACCCTGGGCCGTGGCATTGAAAGCCCGGAATTCTAACCACTGAGTCACGAGACGAGCTGAAGGCATCCGCCATCCAGTGACCCCAGAGGGATCGGACCGACTGGGCCTGGCAGGAGGCTGAGTTGCCTGTAGCAGCAGGTGAGCCCAGAGTTCTGTGTCACTGCCGAGGGAATAAATGCTCAGACAGGTTTTGCTGGCTTGGCTGCGGGGCGGGACTGCGTAAAGACAGAGCTTGGCCTCAGTGTGCTGCCTTTAACCCTGGTGTTGGTTCAGAGAACTCACATCTCCCCACAAACAGAAGCTCCTGACCACGTTTTTGCGAGTCCCAGGTGCGGGAAGATGCTCAGACCATGTGGATTCGTGGAAGGGTCTCTGGGAAGATCCTGGACTCTGGGTGCCAGGATGGCTCACAAAACCATACCTGTTCCTAAATACCCATCCTCAAACAGGTCAAACAGGACGTGCCACAAGAGTGATGTCCAAACAAAATCTTTTCACTCCTAAGCTAGTTATGTACGGATGGGAGAGTCGGACCGTAAAGAAGGCTGATAGCTGAAGAATTGATGCTTTTGGAAGGTGATGTTGGAGAAGACTCTCGAGAGTCCCTTGGGCAGCAAGGAGATTCAGCCAGTCCATCCTAAAGGAAATCAACCCTGAATATTCATTGGAAGAACTGATGCTGAAGCTGAAGCTCCAATACTTTGGCCATCTGACGAAGAACTGACTCATTTGAGAAGACCCTGATGCTGGGAAAGATAGAAGGTGGGAGGAGAAGGGGACGACAGAGGATGAGATGGTTGGATGGCATCACCAACTCGATGGACATGAGTTTGAGCAAGCTCCGGGAGTTGGTGATGGACAGGGAGGCCTGGCATGCTGCAGTCCATGGGGTCAAAAAAGAGTCAGAGACGACTGAGTGACCGAACAGCTACGAGCAACACTGAAAGAAAATCTTTTAATTCCTAACCTACAACATATGTCACTCTTAAGCGCCTCCCAATCCTCAATGCCTTAGAATTTGAATATCCAAAGGACCAAATATGCATCTCCAGTTGCTATTAGATCCTGCCCTTCGTGGGTTAATTATAGTTTCCTGAGCGAGGTCCCTCCCTGCCTCTGTTCCGCAACACGCCAAGATGGGGACTAGCCCATATTGGAGTTTCGGCCGTAAACAACTCACATGTTTTTAATTTGCCAAGCGGAGGGCTGACATCGAGGAAAAAAATATCTGAAACAACGTGAACCGAGGCTGTCCTTCCTGAAAAATCCCGTCTCTGGCGACAGGGGCCCATCCCGCTGAACCCAGCCGCGTCCCAGCTCCGTGGCCTCCCTACAGAACTACACAAGACTGCTGATAGAAAGCGAGGAAGTACAAAAGTCTCAACCCGCCCCAGGGACACAGTCACTTTTTCCATGCGTGCCACACCCAGAGATCAAAACCCGAGAAGCAAAGAAAATACAAAAACCACAGCTCGCTCCTAAGGGTGTCCCCAGCCTACAGATCTGGGTCCATTCCCCCAGACACCCCCCAACGTGGTACCCGATCCCCTTGTTCGCTGCTCACCACCATCAGACCGGGGTCTGCTTTTGCTTTCTACACTCTGGCAGTTTACAGCCATTTCCTGAAAGGAAGTGGTTTAGGACGGAGTGTTAATTTTTTTTCAGCAAGCAGATAGAAAGGCACACCCAAGCACCTCTTTCTGGGGGAGCCAGCCCTCCCTTACCTCGGACGTGCAGCAGAAAGCAGAGGAAGGTGAGACAGAAGAGACCCTGCCATGCCTCCATCCTTGGTCTCCGGCTGGCGGGCGGGTGGGCTGGGGCCACCCCACCCTCGACGGGTGATGCTGTGCTGATTCCTGCCGTCCTCCGAGGGAAACAGGAAAGAAAAATAAGAAAAGGAGGAACCAGTCTACAGCCTCCTGCTGTAGTGATGAGCAGGGCGGGGCGGTGCTGAACTCCCCAGCCTGGAGCCCGCCCGTGGGGACCAGCTCCTACACGCCCACTGCAGGGAAGGCACCTCCCTCAGCTGTGCTGGGCCAACCACCCCCAGGAAGGTGGGGAAATAGGCGACCGCCCGCTGCCAATGGGCGTCCTGGGGTGTAGAGAAGCTGGCACACCTGCTCGGCAGCTCTGCGCCCTGCATGCGTGGGAAGAGCCCCAGGATCAAAGGTGCCAAGCTTGGGCGTAAGCAAGAGCTGCCTCGCCCGGGTGGAGGAGGCGGGTGGTGTCATTCCCAAGACCCTCGTGCAGGGCGACGCCAGACCCGGAGCCCAGAGCAGCCCAGAGACTGAGATGTGTGTCTCAGTCGCTCAGCCGTGTCCGACGTAGCCTGCCAGGCTCCTCTGTCCATGGGGATTCTTCAGGCAAGGATACTGGAGTGGGTCGCCATGCCCTCCTCCAGGGGATCTTCCCAGTCTGGGAATCGAACCCAGGTTTCCCGGACTGCAGGCGGATTCTTTANCATGTAAAAGAACTGGCATCAAGCTGAGCCTCTGTTCTGGATAATCAGCTTAGAAACACTGCAATATAACCCACAGCCCCCTTTCATAACATTATATTCAGTGAGAACTGAATACAATTGGCCCACATTCACTTTCCAGATATTACTTGCCAGGACATTCCAGTTGCACTCACTGAAGCCCTCAACTTTGAGATTTACAAAGGTACTTTCTGAATAGAATGAAACCAGTGTATAAATGAAAGCCCACTGCAAAGATCTGGTATGGCTTGCTGCTGACCTTGTCCTAGAGAGAAAAGTGGATTTTTGCTTGTGGATGACTAAAGTTCCAAGGTAGACTTCAATTATTTAAAATTAGATTACTTCTTGAGTTTATCCTTGAGCTAAAGACCAGTGGCTTTGGAGAAGTCTAGGCTCATGACTTCCAGGAATACAATATGCATATAAAGACAATGGGGGCACTGTGGGATTATATCTTGTCTAGAGTCATATATTTAAAATGATAAAATGCACTAATTGTTTGTCATATTTTCCAAGAATTATACAATGCATATTAGTACACATTAAAATAAAATTTGTACTTGAACAAAAAAGAACATTAAATAACATTTTTAAAATGTTTTAAATATTAATGAGAAAGCATCTCTTTGGAGAGAAGAAATATCAGGTATCAACTTCTGAACATCTTCTAAGAATCTGTTTCAGAAGGATGCTAAGACACAGATTGACCATTGACCATCATTCCAAGTAGATAAACTAGCTAAAAACCTCTAAATACCTCACTTCTTATCATCTCAGTAGGATTCTAGTCAACATGAAACACTGACAAATGTTGCTAAGAAGAATGGATCTAGAGATAATTAATAGTGTAATCAGATAAATAAAAATTGATCTTCTATTCATGTAATCTCTGTAAAGGATAATGAATATATTTGAGTGAAAAAAGTACTTGCTAGTCCCACAGGATGCTAGCTAAATAAAGAACTGGAAACATTACATCAGCAAAGAAAGAAAGTGAAAGTGAAGTCGAGTGACTTTTACGACCCTGTGGACTGTAGCCTACCAGGCTCCTCTCTCCATGGGATTTTTCCAAGCAAGCCTACTGGAGTGGGTTGCCATTTCCTTCTCCAGGGGATCTTCCTGACCCAGGGATTGAACCGAGGTCTCCCGCCTTGAAGGCAGACGCTTTCCCCTCTGAGCCACCCGCCTGGGAATGTAGGAAATGTATAAGAGACGTGGGTTTGATCCCTGGGTGGGGAAGTTTTTCCCTGGAAGAGGGCATGGCAACCATATAAGATACGTGGGTTCGATCCCTGGGTGGGGAAGTTTTCCCCTAGAGGAGGGCATGGCCACCCACTCCAGTCTCCTTGCCTGGAGCATCCTCCAGGCATCAGAAGAATTCTCTTCGAATCAGACAGAGGCCCTGCTTGCCTGATGCTGCAAAAGCCTTCAGACTGGAGACCAATGAGCCCGCTCTGGCTTTGAGGATGCAGCTCGCCAGCACACCACGTGGGAGGGAGGATCCCCCCCACGCTCCTACCCACCACCGTCCCACCCCGAGGATGTCTGGGGAGGACCCACATCCACCGAGGGAGGTGCAGAGCAGCGCTGGGCCCCATGAAGTGGGCTGGAAGGAGAGACAGCAGGTGGAATTAAAAAAACACCCAAATGTGTCTGCTGCAAGCCCCCTCCCAGTTGACCCGGAGGACATGCTGGGTCTCAGATGGGAAAGATATTCTGGGTTAAGGGGGAGGGTGCTGGGAATGCCAGGAGGTTGGGGGACTTCTTGACGTGGTAGCATCCCCGAGACCTGTACTCGGAAGCCTGCGGGTGGAGACGGGGTGCGTTAGGGCGCTCCCAGGAGCTGCGAGGGTGTGACGTTGGCAGGGGGAACATCTCCAGATTAACTTGCTGCAACTAGAGCTCGGGGCATGCCTGGGAGGTGGGTCCCAAGGATGGACACGGGCCTAGGGGGGCATTTGATGAGAGCAGAAGGTTCAGCAGCAGGTGGCCCCTGGCCCCCGAGAAGGCCTGCTCAAGTCCAGAGCTGAGTCGGACCGTGAGCGCACAAGGGCACATCCACCCGTTCCTGGGGACTCTCTAAGCAAGAGAACGTCGGATTCAGGGATCGGTTCTCTGGTGTGGGCGGCGGGAGGGGAAAGTGTTGAGCTGAGACAGGACTTGTCGGAAATCCTCGGGGATGGAAGTGTGAGTCGCTCAGTGTCTGACTCTTTGTGACCCCATGGACTGTAGCCCGCCAGGCTCCTCTGTCCGTGGGATACTCCAGGCAGGAACACTGGAGTGGGTTGCCATTCCCTTCTCCAGGGGATCTTCCTGACCCAAGGTTCGAACCCAGGTCTTCTGCATTGCGGGCAGGCTCTTAACCATCAAAGCTGGTGGCTTTCCTGGGTGGGAAATAGGTGCAAAAATAACTACTACTGGTTCCACTATGCCTGACTCCCTGCAAGGTGCAGTTAGAACAATTTTATGTTTTCAAGCGGGTGTTACCAATCTTTTTCTCTAAAGGATTGAAGAGAGGAACAAATTAAAAAAAAAATCATTCCTCCCCTGGAATGTCCAGGAATTTAGTGGATGCTGTAAATTGCATTTCAGATCCGTGGGACAATAAATGGTTTGCAAATAGTGGGATTTTCCCAAGATGGTTTAAAAAAAAAAAAAACTACATATCAATAAATCTGTTAAAAAAAAAATCATTCCTCCCCTGGAATGTCCAGGAATTTACTGGATGCTGTAAATTGCATTTCAGATCTGTGGGACAATAAATGGTTTGCAAATAGTGGGATTTTCCCAAGATGGTTTAAAAAAAAAAAAAAAACTACATATCAAGAAATCTGTTAAAAAAAAAATCATTCCTCCCCTGGAATGTCCAGGAATTTACTGGATGCTGTAAATTGCATTTCAGATCTGTGGGACAATAAATGGTTTGCAAATAGTGGGATTTTCCCAAGATGGCTTGAAAAAAAAAAAAAAACTACATATCAAGAAATCTGTTAAAAAAAAAATCATTCCTCCCCTGGAATGTCCAGGAATTTACTGGATGCTGTAAATTGCATTTCAGATCTGTGGGACAATAAATGGTTTGCAAATAGTGGGATTTTCCCAAGATGGCTTGAAAAAAAAAAAAACACTACATATCAAGAAATCTGTTCCTCATTATCGTGATGAAAATGCATTCCTAGGGGATAAAATAGTCTACTCAAATTATGTTTTAATTAAAAAAAGACCAAAAAATTTTATAAGACATCACGAGGGGATTTTTTGTTTTGTTTTTTAAATAATATCAGTATGTGTGCATGCTAAGTCACTTCACTCATGCCCAACTCTTTGTGACCCCATGGACTGTAGCCCACCAGGCTCCTCTGTCCATGGGATTCTCCAGGCAAGAATCCTGGAGTGGGTTGCCATGCCCTCCTCCAGGGGATCTTCCCGACCCAGGGATGGAAGCCAAGTCTCTTATGTCTCCTGCATCGGCAAGTGGGTTCTTTACCACTAGCACCACCTGGGAAGCCCTAATATCCATATGGCTGATGCTTTTCTAGGTATGAAAACAAGCCCAGAAACCGTTCACTAAGTTCACTACACAAAAAATAATAAACGTGAAGGGCGAAAAATATGACTTCAGAGTTAAAAGGTGGAGCATAAAGTGAAAAAGCACATTTGCTACTTATGTCAAGTCATATCTTTAATATGTGAAGAGTTCCTACAAATCAATAAGAAAAGGACGAGTAACACACACAGGCAAACAGCATCTTCATTTCCTTCAAAAACAGAATGGCAATGGGTCTCCCACACACAGATTCTCAATCTCACTTGTGTTAAGACAGAGGCAACATAAACACAGTTGATGGGATATCATTCTTCAACTCAGAGATTGGCACCGATCAGAACGTTGGCTCAGCCGTGAGGAGACAAACCAGACATCATTGTGGTGTATCGTGAATTTGCACAACCTCGGTAGGGGGGTGTTTGGGCAATGTCCATAAAAATTAAACATACACATGCTTTTATTTTTCCCGCTCACAAAGCCAGCTTCAGGCACTGATGCCACACACACACTGCACTTGCATGGAGCCACAAAACCAAGCTTCCAAAGCTATTCACTGCAGCATCTCACAGCAAAAACTTGACCACAGTTTACAGGGGTTGATCAAATCCATTATGACCAAGACTTGTAACAAACCCTCTGCTGGTATATTCTCACTTAAAATAAAAACTTGACGTTGATTTCAAGACCTGTTGGACTGTGATTTCTTTAAACAGGAGTTCCAAAATGATTTTTAAAAGCAATCAGCATGTCAAGCATTTACTCATCAAACCACGCAATTTAAACTCAATTTTTCCAAAGGCCCCACCTTTGATAAAGTCCTATTCATCTTAATGCCAACAAGAAATTGAGCTGAGTCTACAACCATGTACATACACTGTCCATAAGAAAAGCCC